TAACCCACTTGCTCAATTCATATACCATGTCAATCCTTGAGGGTAAGTAAGGTCAAGAAACCGAAGAAGCCAAGGAATGTTCTTTATTGGTGAAATGGAGACCATGAACATCTTATAAAGGATTTCAAATGATTCCTTCTGACGCTTCTCCTTGTCACGAGTGAGCTGCTGTTTCTTCTCCCTTAATGGTGCATTGCTCTCTTCTCCCTTCCAAAGGCCACATTGTTATGTATCAGCCAAAGGATTTTGCAGCATATACCCCTAGGATTTTTCACTGTAAATCCTCAGATTCCTGAAAACATACTCTTCAGAATAGATGTATCTTTCAAAGCAGTGTGCAAGGGCCGGCCCTATTATTATACAGAGTGCAACCTTCATCTCAAGTAGTGGATAACCCAAGTAGTGGATAACCCAAGGGAGTAAAGTTTTGAGGGAGAGTGCAGTGTACCACATGTCCTAAACTGCCTAAGCTCACTTGCTGCCTTCAGGTGTAGTAGGACCCTCTCCATTTTTTAAAAAAATCAACTCTCAATCAAGAATCTCTGATCTTTGGTCGAGGCAACAAAATATTTCAGGCTAGCTTTAGCAAAGTGCAGAAGTATTCAATTTTGAATAGCTCTGTGGATGTCTCCTATGTGCACAGAACTAATTTTGACATACATGGCTTTTGGATCTCATCTACATGTCTCATTGTCTCATCCCTCTAGCCACAGCATGAAGATGCTACATGACCTCTTTTTAAAATAAATGTCTTCCTATTGTTTCCCTTTATCTAGGTGTATCTCATCTGTTTGGGTAATTCTGGGAGTTAAGCCGCCAAGGTTGAGAAACACTACTTTATCTCATCCCAAACTATAGCTGAGGCAGCTTAAAGTTTTAAAGTAGCGTTCCTATTCTTTTCCCAATATTCTTTGTGCCATGGATATGATCCATGATGCACAGCTAGAAGCTAGATCCTATTGGCCACTTTAGGCTTCTGCAGGCATGCCCTCCTCTCTCCTGTTGCTAGTACAGCTCTCCATGGCCATTTTGTCCTGGACTATGATGTCGGCAAAGATACCTGCCCACTGTTTCCTCAGAAACCACAGTTCAGGTAGTATGTGGGCTCTTTATATACAAGGGTTTATTGTAGCTTTCATTTGAAGAGCAGTAGATCTGTATTTTAAAAAGAGGCTCTGTCAAAAGAAAGTGCTAGACAGCACTGTAGTCTTGTACTGCGAAGAAGACCAATTTAATAAGAATGAGAGCTAGGTTCTGCCAGCTTTTTGGGGGGGGTTACCTCTGTCATAGATATATGCAATTTCCACAGCTTCTGTCAGCAGTGAGCTTTACTTGGTCGTGTTTTTAAAATATCTTTATTTAATGGGATAGGGATTTGAGCTACTCCTACATAATTTTGCATAATTCTGAGTGTGGCTGCAAGGTCACAACTGCAATTATTATCCATTTGGCCATTTGCTACTAGCATGTACTTGGTCCCTTACTCACAGTAAACCACAAACAGAAACATTCAGAAATGTCTTTGTTATGCGGTAGTCATTCCTGTCAATGGAAATAACTATTGTACAGAATTTCACAAGTGCAATTCTGCACGTCAACAGACAATGGACCCACTGCTGAAGAATTTCATGCAGCTGCATTTCTTTTACATTTATAATATTTTTATTGGTTCGCCGGAAGTAATAAGATGAGGGAGGGATACTGGAGGAGGCAATGTTTCCCATATCTCCTACTCCACCCAAACTTTCCTCCATTAGAATGAGCTAGTGTCAAGCCCTTTGAGGCTGGCTATTCTAGAATGTTGTCCAGAGCAGGAAACAGATTCTACAAGTTTGAGGTAGTTTCTTTGAGGTCATATACTTGACTCTATATTGCAGGGGTGTCAAACTCGCAACGTTACATGATGTGTTGTGATGTATCACGTCTTTTTTTCCATTGCTAGCAATGGAGTGGGCACGGTTTCGGCATGATGCATCTGGCCTGCAAGCCGGTAGTTTGACACCCCTGCTATACTGCAAACTCAGGGAACAAGAATTACTTGGATGTTTGGAGTGATATTTAATGCTCGTAGGCAAATAGAGCAGACTTCAAAGGAACTCCCTGATATAATAGGTCTTCTAGGAGAACTCTTTGCTTCATTCTGCACATTCTGTCATATGCCTATGATCTATCTGTTGGGTCATTTTTGGACAAAGGACACATTTAATGCTCTTTTAAAAATGCACCAGAGTCATATTTAGAACAGAATAAGGAACAGCCATAAAGGCAAATAATGGGTATATAATTAGTCCAGGCTTGTACCTGCATTCATCCAACTACCCCTGTCACACATTAAGGAGAGTGTTTGCTGGATGCATTTTCCACTGGGAGGTGATGTGGACGGAAGTATAAACCAAGTTGAGTGGTTCTAACCTATTACACCCCTTAAATTGTTCTGCATTAAAAATTAAGGACAGGGCCATTTGTGAGCCTCTTTACTTAGGCAGAATAGAACTCAATTGACAGTACATTTCATGCTAATATATTTTCATGTCAATTCAAGGATTAGAAAAAAGCACATTAATAGAGCTATTATGAAGCAAAGCAATGAGTGATGAGCTTTGGGAATGGGTTCTTTCAATCATCATGTTATAACAGAGCCTAAGAAAAGCAGTATCACAGTTTTCCAGAAGTGGCATTTATCCTGTAATATGTGAAGTAAACCCTGGATGGATTTGGCCTGGATGGACACCATTCAGTAGAACTTGGAATTTAGCCAGTGATGTTCTGTGGAAGAAATGGCAAAAAAGTGGAGCCAATGCAGACTAAAGAGCTAGCAAAGGGAGCAGTTCTTCAATAATTCCTCTCTGGACAAGAGGGAACTTGAGATCTCCCACAGGTGTTCCAGACAGCTGCTCCAGACGAGGAGACTGCAAGATAATAATCTCTAGTGGGTTTTTAGCCCAAGGAGATCAGGAGAATCTTGCTCAAACTGTGGTTGGCCCCTTTAAGAGGACACTAAGTCTGCATAATTCCTTTTTTAATCATTTTTGGAAATTGCTTGTCAGCTGCTTCCCAACTATTAGGAACCTTTGGATCAACAAATTTTTACAGCACCAGGTGAGTTTTCTTCAATTCTTAATGAAATAAATTTTAAATACAAGATTAAGGACATTAAAAATGGAATAAATGGGCAAAGGGCAATTAAAAGTTTGATTTTAGAAAGTTACTAATGGCCCAAGGGTCCAGATAAATTTGCAATAAAATGTTGGAATTAATTATAAAGGATCCTTCCCATGGGAAATTTGGTTTAAATTCCTTTTCAAAAAGGTAATACAGATAGTCAACTTGCAACCACAATAAGACTAGAAAATTCATCATTAAGTGGTACAATCATTAAATGAGGCATCACATGACCCACCCAATATTATGACCTTTTATGTCATAGTCATTAAGCAAATCACCATGGCCATTAAGCAAGATATCATGTGACTGTGACTTAAGACTTTCCTTGCTGGCTTTCTTATTGACAGAAGCCACCTGGGGAGGTTATAAATAATGATCACATGACCAAAAGATGCTTTGACTATTAGAAATGCACAACAGTTGCCAAACATCTGAATCGTGATAATGTGATCATGGGGACTCTACAAAATAAGTGCAAGGACTGATTATAAGTCACTTTTTTCAATGCCATTGTAATTTTGAACGGTTACCAAACTAATGGATATTAAGCAAGGACCATCCATAATATAACACTTCAAAAAATTGGACATTTGGGGGAAGTAGAAAGAACTAAAGATTATAATTAAAGGAGAAGAACACTCAGACTCAGCTCACAATTACAAAATGAAGCAAAATATGTTAACATTGAACATACTGAAGGATAGTTTTAAACAATGAATCCAGAAGTTAATTTTAAGAATGTCTGCCTCTATAGATAGATAGACCGTGTCTGACAGATGCTATGAAAGAAGAACAAGTTTAACCTGACAAGACTGAGAGTGCTTTGAAAGTGGATTTAAAAATGACAGGCTTCAAGTATAAGATGGAAAAACATGTTACATCGGACATACAAAATAAACTGACTGATGCTTTAATAATTAAAAAATAACAAAGTAAGAGAGTGGCCTGGATAACATTCCTACATTAGATTTGCAAAGGAGACTTGTTAAAGCTTTGAAGAATTTTGGTGAAAAGGGACAAATAAAAAAGTGAAAAGAAATCAAATACTATACTAGAAAACTATTTGAAGGGACTAAAGAGCAAAACTGTTATAAGTAAAAGGAAGGAATATAAAGTTAATTTATTTAACCAAGTTACAATAGATAGTTTGTTATCTGTTGCAACCCTTAATGGACTTTTGCCGACATCAGGGCCGAGATGATGAAGGTTTAAGGATTAGTTTATAAACAAGAAATGTTGTATTTAAGAGAAGGTGATAAGTTACTAAAATTGTTTGTGCCTTGTGATAAAGGATAAGTCACTTCTTTGTATATTTTTCTTTTTCTTTATTATACTCTTATTTTTCCTTCCTATTTTTCTTTGTATTTTTCTCTTTTTCCTTTCTTTTCTCCACCTTTTATTTTTTCTTTTTAATCTTTTTTTTAAAGTTTGTAGTAGTTTTTATTATTGTAATTGCAATCTTTAATAAAATTACTACTTAAAAAAGAACTTAGCCAGTGACATGATATTATTGGGAATTTCTTTTTTAATTCTATTTTAGCAAGATGCTTATGACAAAGTTGGAATTAGGTTTGGAAGTAATAATAAACAGAAAAACCACATTGCATGAATATTTATCTTAATTTTAGAGCCAAAGTTTTCTTGTCGCATTTTATATTTTCTTTGTTGTGCTTTATGATTGTAAAATACCCTGAACATATGGAGATAAGCTGAATGCAAATGCTTACATGCATACATACTACCATCAAACCAACAAGCATACTGGCTAGCACATTCTTGTCTTCAGCCTATTTCAGGTTTACTTTTTTATTTTATATTTCTTTTTTTTTTCCCAGTGGTCACTTGTAACAGTGGACAAAGTAGAAATCCTGAAGGTTAGTAATCTACTTCATCACCAGGTTCAGTTTTTGAGTCAGGGCAGAGCCTACTTCTCTAACTCTTTCCTCTGAGTTAAAGGAAGCAATCACATAGGCAGCAGAAGGATAGAAACTGTAGAGAGTAAGGCAAGATCCTGGGTGACAGAACTTTCATGTCTCCATCAAGGTCATCTTTCTTACTTCTCACAAAAACAGTGGTGGTTGATTGAAAGTCAGTTATCACCCTCCAGCCTCGACTTCTATAGAGGAAAATATTCTTTATGTCACAAGGCCTATCTTGTGTCTCTTTGTTGAGTCCCTTAAGCTACCCAGCAGTAGAAATATAAAATTTACTAATTTCGTAGCATCTCTGTGTGGAATGAGGGGGCGCCAGTTTATTTTTTGCCTCAGGCACCAAAATGCCAACCCTCATTAAGGAGCAAGTCTGAGTCTGGTGGGAATTATCCAATTATGTAAATATGCATAAGCTTTACTCGGATCTAATTGTCATGAAAGTATGGGAAGTATGTTGATTGGTAAGCATGTGGCAATCTCAGTTCAGACTTCATTTTGTCTGAAAGGAAAAAAAGCAAGTAGATATGTCTTTTTCAAGACAAATAATGTTTGCTTTTTCATTTTTACTGATGGCTGTGATGCCCAGCTCCTCTTAAATATAGTAGGTACCTTTTCTTTTCATGTTTCCATAATAAGGAAAGGCATGAGGTCTATAATGTTAGAGACTATGAAATCCCACTTACACTGCCTAGCCATGTTTAACCATGGTTTAATAAATAAACCATAATCGGTCCACCCATCTCATCGAGCCTAAAGCAAACCAATTATTTCATACACATGCAGTCCCAGCAGCACTGGGAGGAAGAGAAAAAAGACTGCAATGTATCTGCCAGGACCGCAATAATTCCATTTTTTTTTTCTATCCAGAAATGGATTTGAGGCTTAATGGTACAGGTTGCAGATGTTCTGGGTGGCTGGAGGTGCTTCATGCAGCCACATGGAAGAGGATTGACAGCAGAAATTTTACACAGCAGAATGCAGAACTTGCCTGTGGACAACTTGGTTGCCACTTCCCCTTCGGGATCTTGCAACCATATGTTGAAGAATCGGAGAAGCACGAGACTTGCTTGATAACCTGCCAAGGAAACGAGACAGCTCTCAAGGACTGCATAGCCTGTGATTCCCATAATTTCACCTCTCTGGCTGTGTTCCTAGTTTGTCAAGGTATGTACAACCAACCCCCTTCCTATTTGCAGGCTGTCTTTGAACAAAGTCTGGGTCATATGGGGACAGCCTCTGGGAAACTGATTTTGTGGTTTAGTTGAATTGGAAACCAGTCATAGAGGACAGAACATGGATTGGAAACCAGTCATAGAGGACAGAACATGGATCTAGCCAGAACATGGATCTAGCCTGTCTTAGGAATTGCAAGAATCTTGAACAGTCACTCTACCTAGGTTTAGGAAGGTTACTGCATTATATGCCTTGGCCCAGAGATTGTGAGCACTTCCACACTGGCACCACTTCCTTTCCACAATCCTTCAGAAGCATTTGGAAGAGGATCTGAGATTTTTTTTTTCCAGCTTCCCAGCATCAGAGCATTGGGGGTATGAAGCAAACAAATCACAACCTCATAATGTGTTGCCTCAGGTCTTGTGGCCATAAAAATCCTCATGGCTCCCCTCAGCACGGAAGAGATAGAAAGAAAACACATTAAGTATGGGTAATTTTCAGCAGTATGCACCCAGCAGACTCCGTATATCCAGATCAAAGTAAGCACAGACACCACTCAGTTCAGTTAGCACATAATATAATTTGACATTTATTTTTTTAAATTCAGCATCCTTCAAAAACAGTTAGCTGGCAATACACAACAAAAGGAAGGCAAAAGCAGAGAGAATGAAATATGATCAAGAAATAAAAAGGCAAAGGACTTAAGGCCAACAATCTACATTAACATATATTTATATATCAAAAAGGCACAGAGCTTTCCAGAGCAATGGAAATGATACAATGGGCCATCAGCATGGGCAGTACTAAAAACAGTATTTGGTTATTCTGGATGTCAGCTTTCCTATATACATAGTCAAAGAATAGAAATGGCAAATAGCACATCAGCTGGTACTTTTTCTGTTTTGCACCATGGAAAAAAAGACATGGGTGGACAGGAATAATGCATCCAATATTAGGGACCCAGACTGTACACTTGAGAACTCTTCTTACTTTTATCCTTGCTTACTTCCCTACACTGTTGAAGGAGAGGAACAAAACTGTCAGACAGGCTTTCCCTGAGGTGCCTCTTGCCCCCCCCCCCAGTTGAGTCTGAAGTAAGTTGGCTCAGCTACCAAAAAGGCACAGGATGCAGGGCTAATCTAGACGTGGCTTGAAAATCTCATGCAGATGTATCTTATGTAGGCGCTTCCCAAAGAATGGTTGAATATATAATAAGCTTTTCATAAAAGAGAAAAATAAGGATACAAGTTAATAAATCTCAATATGTTTTTAAAAAGTTGAAGTCTAGCTAAGGCACGATGAAAGGGACAAAGTGAATAACTGAATTAATGTTCAACTTGCTGGCAAGTTGTGAAACCCAGATCATAGCTGAGTACTGAAGAGCAAGATAGATAGATAAACTATCTCTCATTTTACTAATCTAGGTGAAATGTTAATATATATTGCTAATCCATGTATGATATGCCCTATGCTAAATAAAATAAATTTATCTCTTGGATTGAAATCTTTCTTTCTAAAATACCTTGGATTATCTTTATCATTTCAGCTCCTGTGCAAACCACTCCGATATTCTTGCCTACAACAGCACCCCTGGTGACCTCCTCAAAACCCTTTGGTAGGAAAACCCAAATCTTTGCTGATGGTGATAGTGACTTAAAATTATATGCTACCTGACTTCCAACAACTTTGGATAGTTATTTTTAGATCATTCACAAGAACATGAAAGGCAGCAGAACTTTCACAGTTGTCTCCACCCTTAAAACATTTATTCAGAATAAAAATACATTCTTCAATTAAGGCATCTTGATTGTCCTCACCTTTGTCAAATTCTCTCAAAGCTTATAAACCAAAACTGCCCTGTGACAATGTTGGCTAATGCTGAGACAGTTAATATTCAAAACAGCTGGAGAGTATTAGCTGTCTACACGTCACGTATCATCTCTAAAGTATTCATAAGGAAGTGGTCAACGCTGCTAACATTGGATGTTCCCGTTCTGACAACTGATGAAAATGCAGCCATTTTCTCTATTCCTTTAACATGCTTTTTTTTACTTTAGAAATTAGGTGCAGCAAGGGGGGGGTGGAATGTAAGCTCAGCTAGCCATAATAATAAAGCTGCTGTGGGAATCCAAGGACACGTTGATAATGTTTTGGCTGGCTGTGGAGCTGAGGAGAAAGCCCACACTTTAAGCTAATTGGGGAATGTGATTTATGATAGTTAATTGGGGGTGGGAGTTGTACTTTGTTACTTTGTATCTGGGGGAAGGGAATTTAGTTTTTGGGTTCAACTATGTAGTGCCGATACTTTGTATCCCGAATAAATGTACTTTAAGGAAGAATTTTGGAAGAATTTTGCCTCGAAGTTCTTTTGATGGGTTTCATCTATCGGAACCATGACAGAAGTATTTATGGTTTTCATTGGAAAAGTTAAAATATGAACACAAAACCCTGAGTTTGACGCTTGTACTGTTAATGGTACTTGATCCATGCCTTGTGTTACCTTCCCCAGATCACCCAAGGACAAGCATTGAAGATGGAACCTCCTTGTGTTCATGGATTTTGAAGCCAGATGTTGAAAGCTACAAGAAAATGCTGTGCCTGAGTTTACAAAGATGGTGGAATAAGTTGGGACCCAGGGTCTGCCAGGGAGTAAACTGTGAAAATCCAGGACACAAGGATCAGAACAAGGAAGGGTCACTGCACCACTGGGAGAAGCTGCAGTGTGAAAAAAGGAATCTTAGCATGGGTGACTGCTCAGGAAGCACACAAGAGTGCTTAAGCCTAACACTGGTTAGATGCTCAGGTGAGCAAACCTCACTAGAAGAGCACACTCAATCCCTGTGCTGCTTTTCATTTGTGCTCATCATTTAAATTACACAAAATGGGTCTTTCAGTGCAATTATGGGAGGGCAACTTTGTACAAAGTGGTTGAGTAATGTACTAGAATTCTGGAACTGTACCAGCTTGTGGAGGAATGGTTATGTTTTCTAATTTCCCTTCCCATTTTTTAAAAAAGAACTTTCCTGTACTATCCTTCCAAGAGAGGAATGTTATTCCTGAAATGCTAGATCTACACTGCATTCTAAAAATACGAATCTACCTCTTCCCATAGTATGAACAGTAACATCCAGAATTCTACAAGCTCAGTATAGCCCCTGATCCTAATGCTCTTCGTTTCTTAAAAGCTCTCTGAAAGGGAGGTTTGAATTATACTGATAAGAAAACTAGTCTGTTAACAAGTATTCTGAATGTTGATGTTCAGAAGCAACCTAATGGGTGACAGATGGTATGTGGTAGCTAGTATCTAAATGATATTTATAGTGGAATGATATTTATAATGGAATAATTCCAGTACAGTAGTAATTCCTGTACTGGAATTATTCCTGTACAGTCAAGCTAAATGATGGAAGGAAAAAAAACAACACCCTGCAGTTCTGCAAAAAGGAGGAAGGGGAGTCAGAAACATTCTGCTGCTGAAATATTGAATGAGAGGGCCTAAAAACTATAGTATTTCTATGAAAATGAACTTATTGCTACTATTGAAGATAGAGAGCTCTTTCACATCTAGCTGCAGTCCCAGTATCCATGTGAAATGAGTTATGATCTGCTGATCGTGCTTGCATCTTAACAGGGGTTTGCAATTATAGTAATAGTAATAATAATAATAGTAGTAAAGTTGGAAGTGACCTTGGAGGTCATCTAGTCCAACCCCCTGCTCAGGCAGGAAACCCTACACCATTTCGGACAAATGGCTGTCCAGTCTCTTCTTAAAAACTTCCAGTGTTGGAGCATTTACTGATTCTGGAGGCAGGCTGTTCCACTGATTAATTGTTCTCACTGTCAGGAAGTTTCTCCTTAGTTCTAGGTTGCTTCTCTCCTTGATTAGTTTTCACCCGTTGCTTCTTGTCCTGCCTTCAGGTGCTTTGGAAAATAGCTTAATTCCCTCTTCTTTATGGCAGCCCCTGAGATATTGGAATACTGCTATCATATCCCCCCTTGTCCTTCTCTTCGTTAAACTAGACATACCCAATTCTAGCAACCGTTCCTTATATGTTTTAGCCTCCGGTCCCCTAATCATCTTTGTTGCTCTTCTCTGTACTCTTTCTAGAGTCTCAACATCTTTTTTACATCGTGGTGACTAAAACTGGATGCAGTATTCCAAGTGTGGCCTTACCAAGGCATTGAAGAGTGGTATTAATACTTCACGTGATCTTGATTCTATCCCTTTGTTAATGCAGCCTAGCACTGTGTTGGCCTTTTTGGCAGCTGCAGCACACTGCTGGCTCATATTTAAGTGATTGTCTACTAGGACTCCGAGGTCCCTCTCACAGTTACTACTATTGAGCATGGTGCCACCTATGCTGTACTTGTGAATTTGGTTTTTCTTGCCTAAATGTAGAACCTTGCTTTTTTCACCATTGAATTTCAGTTTGTTAGTTAGTGCCCAGTGTTCAAGTCTGTCCAGATCCTTCTGTATCTGAAGCCTGTCTTCTGGAGTGTTGGCTATTCCTGCCAGCTTGGTGTCGTCGGCAAATTTGATGAGTTCCCCATCTATCCCTTCATCCAAATCGTTGATGAAGATGTTGAAGAGTACTGGGCCCAGAACAGAGCCCTGGGGCACCCCACTACACACTTCCCTCCATGTAGATGCGGTTCCATTGAGGACCACTCGCTGAGTACGGCCGGTCAGCCAGCTACGGATCCATAATTATAAGCATTATAAGCAATTTCGGTATATCTCTTTCATAGTTGCATCATATTTGTGGCCAAGGAAATGTTTCATGGCAACAAATGCAACTTCTGAAGGGGCAATATATTGCACTTTGTGCTTAAAGGAATGCCCTAATCCTTTTGAAAGAAACTTGATCCATGTTGGTTCACTCTATGTTATCCTTTTGGGGATCCTGTCACAATGGAACTGCCAGTATGCCAGCCTTGGGAATTCAAAGGGTAGTGGAGGCCTTTTAAATCAGTTCTTGGCCATTCTGAAAAGACTGCAAAAATCAGTGATTGGCAGATGATTCTTTCCAAGCTTTAGACATACGATTATTTTCATAGCATCTTGATAACCAAATAGAACTGCAGATAATCCAGAGAACCTGATCAAGTCTTCAGCACGTTTTCAACTTAAGTTGGGAAGTGGAAAACCCAGCTGTTAGGAAAAGTTCATAATCTATAGGATTTTCTGTCTCCAGATCAAGATTTGAAGTCCCAGAAATCCAGTTCAGAGACTGTCTTAGGAATCCTGCTTGGTCTTGTTCTTACTGCTGTTCTTTTGAGTATCTGTGTTCTTCCTACCTACAAAAAAATTATGAAAAAATGTAAGTAAGAATTTACTGCTGGTATAAAGAGATTGTCAGAGTCTGTTTTGGGCCTCAGCTTTTTCTGTTTGTGTGCTCTTACAACCATGTGAAAAAAAATACATGGTCGTCCAGAAAAAAGCATGATGACAAAAAGTCTGGTGGCTCAGGCTGAAAAGACTGGGGCTTAGGAGATCCATTGATTGCACCAGGAATTTTCTGGTTCTCACATTTTATTCTAGGACTACTGTGTGCTTTATTGTACTCTCTACAGAAAAGTATGCCCATGTACCCCTTTCTTTTTTAGGTATCCTGATGAAATCAATTTGCATGGTGTATTTTGTCCACATGCCTTCATTTAAGTATTACCTTCTGCTATCTAGAAATGTCTTGAAAATAAACCCCATTAATACTAAAGTTTGAATCCCAGCATCAGATTCCATCAAAGTTCAGATGCATCTCAATAAAAAGAAAATACTGTATAGGTATCTCAGAACTGAACTATGAACTTGGTAGTTTGCTTGCAGATGTTTCATTACCCCACTAAATGACATAATTAATGCATTGGGGGGGATGATGTTACCTAGGTGGGTAATGAAACGTCTACAAAAAAACAATCAAGCTTGGAGAGCAAAAACGACTCCATAGATGGATACTGCTGGGCCCATTTTCTCTCTGATTATTGTTTCCATGTCCCCTGTTTCTTACCAGGTCACAAAAAATATAATGGCTATACAGATGTTTCCTAGCAGTACCTGGCACTAATTAATAATTCTTCTATTATAGAATTATAGTTATTTTCAACACTGTTAGAAGAATTTTGTGCATGTTTTAATCCTTCTGTGAACATTAACAGCCTGAATATACAAAATGCATTCGAAATGATTTTATAAAATCCTTTCTATTCATCACAGTTTTTGGAATGTAGTTAATGGCAATGAATAGGAACATTCTTCATGCTTTTTAATTAGCATGCAAGCATACAGCACTACTAAAAAAAATAAACAGGATCTTTCTGAATGCAGCCATTAATCATCTCAAAATATCAGTGGTTCCTTAATATATTGCATTAAAGCATTTCACTTCAGAGTATTTTACTATTATTTTAATTATGTCTAAGTTGGAAGTGATTAGTGCTGTTTAAAAGATAATTTTAAAGGCCATCCAGAGGAGGTTAAAAAGGTGTTTGCAGCAAAGAGTAGAGTGAAAGTGTGCTGAGCTGTGATAGTCTGCTGCTTAATAAGTTATTACTGAGGTCAAAAGCAAATCTGTCTAAAAAAATATAAAAAGTTAGATTGGGGTAACTGTACTGGCAATGAGTCTATTATTTTACCACCCTTTTTTAAAAAAAACACAGATTTCCTGCATACCTAGGAATGGAAAGCATGTAGTTTGATTATGTTATGTAACCACTTTCCATCCTCCTCAATATGAGTGATCAAGCCATGCAAAGTCGCCAATAAATTCCTTGTCCAAAGAGCATTGCCTTCCACTGAGTGGTGCTCAGAGGAGCCCGTTTCTCTAGATATCCAGTGCCACTTCGTGCACGGTGCATGCTTTATACACTAAAACAGGGGTCTTCAAACTTGGCCCTTTGATGACTTGTGGACTTCAACTCCCAGAATTCCTCAGCCAGCTGGGAGTTGAAGTCCACAAGTCATCAAAGGGCCAAGTTTGAAGACCCCTGCACTAAAAGCTTAAGGTTCTTAACTAATAAGGATTATACTCATGGAACTTGGGGGAAGAGTATTTATGCCCTACCTGGTTATATCATCAGTCCCATGTCCCTTCTTTCCCTCTATCTGCAGATTCCAAGAAGAGGCAGCAACAATGGATTGGCCCAAGTGGGGTGAACCAGAATGGTAAGAAATCACCTGCAGAGCAGGGAACAAGAATCCGTGTTCTGATTTCTCCTGCAAGTCAAAGGGAATGTGCTTTCGAACGTACCCAGGGACACTGAATGTACACTTTTCTAATGCAATTTTTATGTTCTCATTATAAATGGATATAAGAGCTCAGGTTGGTGATGTGACTATACCATCCTAGCCAGATTTGATCTCAGAAAAGTAGGAGCCATACATACCTTCTGATCAACATACTTTGGATGGGGGGTTATAAGAATAACCACTGCTGACTTTGGGCTGGTGGGACTTTTAATTCACCTGGCTGGTAGAATAAAGAGCAATTTAGTCACCCTCCATCCCAAAGTGAGTCTCTCATCTGGGAAAGCAGATGGGCAACCTTACAGTAGCTCCACCTGCATCATTAAATGTAAAGCACAATCCTGTTGGATGATGGGCAAACTCATCCCACCCCAATCATGCAGTCTTTGTGGGTTTAACTTTATCTTTCATAAACCTGAATACCAAGAGATCAGATTTTCACATTTGTTAGACTCATAAGACATTGACTGATACCTGTGAGTTACAGGCTGCTTAAAGAGACTGTCATCCTGTAATTCTAGCCTCTATGGGAAGAGTGATAATTCTCTTCTAAATGTACTCTTAAATAGCACTCTATTATTTATGACTGGGCCATATATTTCACAACTAAAGCTGACATTCCAAAACAGATCTGCTGGGTCCTGGTCAAAATTCTGCTCCCAAAGCACTCACTTTCAAGTTCTTCATCAGAGGAAGAAAAGCAGCCACCCCTTTAAACATCTCACTGTCTTTGCAGTGGATGCAACATTATTGAACTCGAAACATATGGCAGAGAGGAACTGCAAAAGAATTCCAGGCAAGACGAATGTCATTTGTTTCCTGGCAAACATGAGAATTCTAATGTAAATGCCACAAATGCCTCTTCTGATTATGGACAGAGATCTGGTGTCATCATCACAATTTCAATGAAAAACACGGGTAGAATAATAAATGTGTAGGTCGGTGTGGTTATTTTACTGTTCAGTTATTGTCAGAGACCCTGTCCCAAAAATATGGTTTGGCTCCCTCTAGAGGCGAGAAGTAGGTTGGCAGCCCAATGAAGACTGCAGTGCAGACCTGCTTTTGTTGATATCTAGCCAAGCAAACCCATTTGAAGAACCAGACTGTTCATAATTTAACTGTGTGACTGTAATCCTGATCTTTAATTTTGGAATTCTGAGTAGCAGCAATGAAAGGCCTTGATCAGGCTGTGTGCACACCTATTTGAAACCTCCTTCTCGCAGTCCCCAGGACGTAGGGTTCAAAACACCCTCTTCTTCCACACTACTGAGGATGCTTTTAATCCTGGGATGGCAGTGCAAATCTTTTTTTAAAAAAAAGAAAGGTATGTGTGTGCATTTTTGCACTGAGAGGTATGCGTGGAAGGGCTGTTGAGGGTGATTTCAAAGGCTGAGCCAGAAAAGCATGTGTTTTGTTGAACTAGAACTGTTTTAAGAATATGGTGGTTGGTATTAATATATTGGATGTACATGAACATGGACATTATTCCTTTCAATAAACTGTTATGAATGAGGCAACTCCCGGATAAACTTTTTTTAAAACAGTGTCACAAAAAGCATCGCTCATTAGGGCTTTTCCCTACAAACTATAATTTTAATTTCAAAGTCAGGAAATGTATAACCCAGTGGTGGCGAACCTATGGCATGCGTGCCAGAGGTGGCACTCAAAGCCCTCTCTGTGAGCACATGCGCCATGCCCCAGAGATGGCAATTGTCCCTCTTCAACCAGCTGCCCGCTAACTCACCGAGGTCCCACATGGCTGGATGCACCCCAGCACCCATGCGCTCACTGGCCTCTGTGTGCAGGGGCCGATGGTGTCAGGCAGCAGCCGCCCTGGCCCCTGCCTCACCTTGTCCTGTGACAATGGCACCCCTGCCCTGCCTCATCTCTCCCTGCAGGACGAGCCTCCTGCCCACCGCCCCACCTGCCAGAGACCCCCTGGATCTCCCCCAACCCTACCCAGCCCCCACAGGCATCCCTCCCCACGAGCAACATTGAGGTGATCACGCCCACCTTTGCCACACCCACCCAATCTGCCACAGCCACACCCATCCAGTGGGCCACACCCACCTGGCACCCGGCGATCAATAAGTGGGTTTTGGGTTGCAGTTTGGGCACTCGGTCTCTAAACGGTTCGCCATCACTGGTATATCCTCACATGCGGGATTCACGTGTGGGATTCAGTATATAGAAAGAAAGTTCACATTATGTTTTTCTTTAGTTTCATTCCATCGCAAGAACTCTACTGCCTTCCAGACCCATCTTGAAAGCCCAGTTGTTCAGGAAGAGGGGAACAAAGCTTCCCAGAAAACCTATCTCTCACCCTATGCAGGTAACATTTTCTTGCTTAAACTAAAAGTGTGTCTCACCTCTTAAAATATGTATCTGTCCAAAGATGTTGAGCCAAAGCATCTTAGTCTCACAACAGACCAGATGGACACTTCTGATACTAAATGATAACTTTATCCCAGTTTGATTCCTTCCTTCCCACATATATTAGAATCCAATCATTTGTAGCTGTGCTGGCCAAAAACATTAATCTAAACAGACAGGGCATCATGACCCATAATAATGTTCAATTCAGTACCAGGCTATGAATATATATTATTTTTATCTCCACTGTGTGCAATTGATTTATAAGCTACATTCAGGTACTGCTTATCAGATCATCGCACTACAACATGTACTTTAGCTGTGTCTTCAGTGTCATTTTTTCAATATCCTAATGGAGGGCCAATTTCTCAATAATCTATATTTTCTGATGGATCCAGATGAAGTAAACTAATCAATTCTCATTATGCCAGTACAAATCTCTTTTAATTATTCTTTGTGAACAAATTATGAATAGTAGCTTTCCATTTTTGCATTTAATCAAAAACTGCATTGATGCTAATATTGGCCTGCACCATATTTAAAATCTTGTTCTGATACTTACAAGCAATCAGTGACAGAGATAAGAGAGTGCAAACATTTTATATAACCCATAAGGTCATTATAACTGTAATTTTGGTTACTATTTGTGATGCTATAAAAGAACAGATTAGATAGGCAAGAGAGAGAGAGAGATGATAGATGGATAGATAGATGAATAGATAGATGAAGAGAGAGAGAGAGAGAGAGAGAGAGAGAGAGAGAGAGAGAGAGAGAGAGAGAGAGAGAGAGAGAGAGAGAGAGAGAGAGAGAGAGATCTAATTTAGCAACCACAATTGTATCAGCAACTTGGTCTTTAAATGAAGCACTCACTAAGTGAAACTGCAAATGAGTTTCACATTTTATTTTAGATTCCTTTGCTTTATAGATCAGCAAAAGTCATAAATGTGAGGACTGGTTACAAAGTTATTTTTTCATCATAACTGCATATGTCATAGTACAAGACAGTCACTAAACAGGGACTACCTGTACGTAGTTGATATACAGTTAAGTCTATGGGATAATGTTAATAAGCCAGTACCTGACTAATATTTAGATAGATTGCTGAAGAGCACATGACATGAACTTTGTAAATTGTTAGCAAACATAGTTATTTTGTATTTTACTTTGTATTTTAAACATATTTACTTTGTATTTTGATTTGATTTACTTTTCTCTCTTTTAAAATGATGTTAGGTTTTATAAAACCATTAGATTGGCATGTAGGAAAACTTCTTATCCTATGGCTGTATGGATTGATTAGACAGCTTCTAACATTCCTAAACTGAAAAAATAAATTACAGAAAGAGGGCTGGATATTATCTCCTGATAAGATAAAGTTTCTTAGTGTCAGCTGGCATTTGGTTATCTAACTTCAAACAACCAACAGTGGTTAATTTACTGTTGCAAAGGAGGGGTTATTTTTATCTTGTCTTCTTTCATTTTTTTTGTTGTTGTTATGTTAACTATAAAAGGGAATGTAAGCTAAGGATCAGGGTTCCCTCTTTGAATGAGAGAAATCCCTTTTGTCTGAATATTCTGATAAATTGTAATAAAATGATCTTCCTGTCTCAGTCTGTCTCACTGGAAAATATGCATGCCAAGGCACAAGTCTAAAAGAGCCATATTTGGCCTTTATTGCCCCTTGGAAAATCCAGGGCTATAAATCAGATTGGGAAAACTATTGGTAAGGCCACACTTGGAATACTGCATCCAGTTTTGGTCACCATGATGTAAAAAAGATGTTGAGACTCTAGAAAGAGTACAGAGAAGAGCAACAAAGATGATCAGGGGATTGGAGGCTAAAGCATATAAGAAACAGTTGCTGGAATTGGGTATGTCTAGTTTAATGAAGAGAAGGACCAGGGATGACATGATAGCAGTGTTCCAATATCTCAGGGGCTGCCACAAAGAAGAGGGAGTCAAGCTATTCTCCAAAGCACCTGAAGGCAGGACAAGAAGCAACAGATGGAAACTAATCAAGGAGAGAAGCAACCTAGAACTAAGGAAAAAAATTTCCTGACAGTTAGAACAATTAGTCAGTGGAACAACCTGCCTCCAGAAGTTGTGACTGCTTCAACACTGGAAGCTTTTAAGAAGAGACTGGACAGCTATGTCTCTGAAATGGTATAGGGTTTCTTGCCTGAGCAGGGGGTTGGACTAGAAGACCTCAAAAGTCCCTTCCAACTCTATTATTGTTATTCTGAAAAAAGGAAATAGCAATTCTTGTTAGTATCATACTATGAACATGATAAAGATTTGAGTCACCAGGCATCAGATTGGACTTGAAGACAACATTACATGGCAAAGACAAACCCATGGTTTGTGTTGAAGCAGAAACCTCTGAGTGCATCTCTTTGTATAACTTGCCACGTGCTCCACCTAGCGTCCATAAATAATATATATTTTTTCGTAGTTTATTTTTTATTATATTTTACACAGCTCTCCTTAGTTCTAGATTGCCTCTCTTCTTGATTAGTTTCCATCCATTAATTTTTGTCTTGCCTTTGGTGCTTTGGAAAATAGGTTGAACCCCTCTTCTTTATGGTAGCCCCTCAAATATTGGAACACTGCTATCATATCACCCCTCGTCCTTCTTTTCACTAGACTAGACAGACCCAATTTCTGCAACCGTTCTTCATATGTTTTAGCCTCCAGCCCCCTAATCATCTTTCTTGTTCTAAACATCTTTGTAGAAGATGCAAAGATTTCAGTCATTTCAGGAAGGGGTAACCTATTAGCATCAATTGGTATTTCATGGCAATGTGATTCCATGCTGAGGGTTATTTTGTTTTGTTTTTTTCTCCTCCATGATGCAGCTCTGGAAGGAGCAACCAATAGATCTCCCAGCCCTTTGGATAACTCCTCTGACAGCGATTATGACTTATGTTCCGCACAGCAGTTGTAAACTCTGTGAAGTATGGATGACACTCCTTCCTGTTCACCTGCAGTATAGTGGTTAAGGTGGCATTGAAGTGACCCTTACTCCATCCTCAGCTCACTGGATGACTTCAGGCCAGTCTCTCTCTCTCTCAGGCTTAAACTACCTCACAGGGCGGTTGTGGAGAAAAATTGGAGGGGAACACAATATGTATGGTTTGAGCTTCTGAGCAAAAAACCCAATATAGATCTGATAATGGAATATCCTTTAAATGAATAGTAAATTCCAGGGACATGATCACTGTAATAAATTTAAAGCAGTTTTTGAAAGGAAGGAAACTGATACTTGTAATATAGATCTTGGATAGATGAGTTTCTCTACCTCCACAGCGATAGCAAAACCAGTCCACCAACTTACTCATAACCTGAGCATCAGCAGGTTTTTCCCAGCCAACTATATTGCATTTCAACGCCTATAAGTCTCAGTCCATCAAGGAGACGCTGATAGAGATAGAAATCTCCCAATTTCAGACACTGAAAACCAATTTGGATTATGGACCACTGTAGGATTAAAATCCTCCTACCTGACAACCCAAAATAAGGCTAGGTGATCTCTGGCAAGCCAAATAAGGAAGATGTATGTGTCAGTTAAAATTTCAAGAAGACGCAGTATATATATACTAAGTAGCCATATGTACAGAAATGTGGATACACGGATCATCACCTTACTGAGATACTGAATTAGAATAAGTCAGAAGAGCTAATATTATTCAGTTGGAAATTTCAAATAGCATACATCTCTTGGCCCAGAGCATTTAAATTAATGTTCATTTTTTAGGGTGTACAGTATCAACATATACTTGTAAAAAGATTATAACTCTATGTGTTATAAATATGTTGCAATTAAATAAATACTGAAGCTAATTAGTGAGAGCTTTAATAATTGTTAGATCTATTGAACTGTCTTCAAGCAACACTAGTTTAATCTGAATGGTAGTTGCGGGGTGAACTATGCATTCAACATTCATGTAGCTCAAATGACATCCATTCTTTATTTGGTTATTGACATTAGGGACTGCAAAAAGTTGGTCCATAGTTCCAATTTTCACATCTGGTTCACAACTGATTTCTCCTATGGATTAATGCTATGTTGTTCACCTGTTTAAATTGCTGTACATTTCAAAAATAACATGGTTATTATCTTGCTGTCTTTGGAGAAAGGGGGTAGCCTCTCCAACCATTTAATATATTTTTGGTGGGACAAATGATTGTATCAAACATTTTCAACCAGTTCTATAGTTAGTTCTACATTTGGAAGGGAAAGTTTTTTTAAATGATACTGAAGCTCATTCTTTGTACAGTAGTTAATAAATGGCATACATGTTTTTGCTTTCTTAAGCTGCGGTTCACTTTGTCAGTTGAAATAACCACATGCACAAATGCAGATACGTACTTTTTCATTGGATGGATTGCAGCTTACAAAAGCTTAAATCTTTTAATAAAATATGTTACCAATAGAAGATAATTTTTTGTAGCTTGGGATTGAACTGTGAGGTCCTTGGTGCTCTCTGAGCTTGGTGGTTGACTTATAGATGTTTCATTACCAAACTAGGTAACTAGTTATCAGTGCTGTTGATGTCACCTAGTTTGATAATGAGAAGAAAACCACCAAGCTCAGAGAGCATCAAGGACGCCACAATAAAATGTGTTTGTTGGAAAAGTGCTTCCAGATTCATGTTTTGTTTTTTGATACCATAGATTAACATGGATCTCCCCTCATTCCAAGTCTTTGGAAGCCCATGTTAAAAATTGTAAATATCTATGGAGCTTCAGCCTAATTTGGAAAATTCAAATAGCATACTTATCTTGATCCAGAGTACTTAAAAAATATTTTGAATTTTCCAAAGACCTGAAAATATGTTTGGCCAATACAATTACTTTCTTGTAATTCTTTTTAAAAAGGACCAGTATGTTGTCCTGGTGCTGGAGAGATTGGTGATTATATCCTCACTTGTTTCAAAAATGATAGGCCAGTCACCACTTTTCAAATAGACTTAGCTGAGCAATGAGAATAGAGGGAGAACCAAATATATTGTTCTTTGAAAAATGGCACTTGGACATAAAAATGTAATCACAAAACTTTAAAAAGAAAAAAAAAACCTGTTCCTTTAACTAACAAATCAACTAGAATCTTGAAGCCTATTCTCTAGAAGTAGATTGTTTTATTGATTTGTATGGAATTAGAAACAACCAAGTATGCAATTAATCAGAAAATGGAACAATGAAACAACTACGCTTATCTAAGCTTTGTGTGCAGCTATAAAAAGCTTTCACAATTTTTAGATAATATTGATCTAAACTAGATTACTTCAAAAACAACTCTCTGGTGATTAATTTTGGCATGCAACTGAGAGCAATTTGCAATGCAATTGTCTGCACGGTTTAACAAATGTCCCTTGTTGCTCAGATTCCTTGAATTGGGGTGTAGTAAAATAAAGAACATGTCAAACTCATTAAGGCTTTTGTTCCTGTGCCTTCTTTGGATAGGGCAGGAACTGGTTTTAACTTAATCCTTGTGAGTGGCTGCAGACAACAGGGCCTCCTGGATCCAGGGATTTTTCATCTCTAACCTTGAGTGGGTTAGCTCTTGCCTATTAAAGACCAGCACCTTCTCTGTCACAGTGCCTGAAATTTGTGTGGTTCTACTCCATTGGTAATCTAGAAGGCTTTTAAGACCTGTGTCAGACCTGCCTCAGCTTGAACCTCTAAGTAAGAACGACCCTCAATCCTCCCCATTTATTGAGAAAGGTATGGTTTACTGGAAGTCAGGTGAATTACAGCAACGCATAGCCAGAACTGAAAAACATGCACCAAAACTCCCAAGTCTATTTTTTCCCTCCCTTAGTTGCCATCCATCACTGGGCTCCCATGTCCAATCAAATTCAAACAAGATATTTTTAGAACGGTCACTTCAGGCCAGAGGTTTGGTATGCAGCTGCGCTCCATTCCTAGCCAATTGTCCTTAAAGCCCATCTTGGAGAAATACAATGAAGTTTCGTTTCCTTCAAAACATCCTCCCTCCCATCCACCACCACCCCTTGAGTTCACGGCAGCTAATACTGAACGGTGGCAAAGTGCAAGGGGGAGGTGGCAGCTGACAACCTGGCTGTTCTACCAGGCCTTGAATTAGAGTGAATAGATGTCCTTTGTGGCAGGCATTTTGTAGATTAGTTCTCTTGAATAAACAAGATGAAATATCTGGCTACTTATCTTGTACATTGTTATTTTCAAATTCTGTTTTGCTATATTGTGACCCATCCAGAGTGGTGTGAAAAGACAGGTGGTGGCTAAATTGATTAAATAATCATTATCAGCTTTTACTGGAAAAGATATTTGTATTTCTGTCCATGTTTAACGTAGCTAATAATAATGCAATACTTAAATTCCCATAAAACAATAATAAAAATTAAAGTAATTCAAAATAAAAAATCCCTGGTTAAACTGGAAGATTTGGATTTAGTGTAACTTCCAAGGGAACGCATCCCAAACAAAGCTTGAGAAGAACACAAGAACTAGTCCAAGAGGCCATCTAAGAGAGCTTCTTCTGCCGAGTTTACTATTTGGATAGGTTCATACTAAGATAATTGTCCCTTAGATATTTGTTTTCTAAGCTTTCAACATTGAATTCAATATTTTCAACTGTCTGAAAAACAATGGACAAATAGGGCAGTTTTCCAACAGAAACATTACGCTTCATGTATCATGTACCAGTTAGCTGCCTTATTCTTCGTTTTACAACATCTGAACCTTCCAGACATTTTGCAATGGTCAACCCATATAGAATCGATTATAATAATCTAAACCATCATTAAGATGTGATGTCTTACTTTCCTCAAAGTAATGGTTGATTAAAAACTAACGACCTTCTCTGGACGTGTAATGAAATAACTTCTGCAATCCTAGCTCCTCTAGAAAAATACTGTAAAAGCAGGGGTGTCAAACTGCGGGCCGGATGCATCATAGCGAAACTGCACCCACCCCATTTCTTGCAATGGCAAAAAAAGTCACGATATGTTGCAACACATCACGTGACATTGCGAGTTTGACACGCCTGCTGTAAAGAAACAACAAAATCTAGGGGGGGTGGAACCTAAGTAAAATAAAGATAGAAATTGGCAACAGGTGACACAGACTATGGCTTTTAAATTCTGCAAATTACAATTTGGACTTCACTGTTATTTCCCCCCTTTCCCTGTGCAAAAGGAAAAAATATGCAAACAGATATAAAGTAAATGACAAATTGATATATTTATGATGCATTCCATAAAGAACCCAAAGAATCAGTCTATCATAATAATTAAAAATGCCTTCATAGGTGATGTAGGACTCACATATTTTGTTTGTTGCAGATTTATGAGGGTACAAATTCTAGCCTGCAAATAACTAAGTGACAAGATATACTACTCCCCGACTTTTAGACTTTAATGGTATCGCAAAATCTTCGGATGGTTTGATCAACCAATTACTTAGTTAAGAGCATACAATTTTTACTAGGGAAGAAAACATTAAACTTGGAATTATACCAGTTAAGTTGGTATGAGAATCTTCTTGCATTCCCAGGAAGGTCAAAATATAGGGGTCACAAATTAAGACAACGAATATTGGGAAGGGTGTGATTGCTTGATGTGTTTATAGATATTTAAGGAATGTTTGTGGTAACCTTAATAGGTGAATTAGTTTAGAGTAATGGTTTTGGGTTTGGGTTTTTTTTGGTATGTCATCTATGTTATTTGTTGACAAAACACCTGAATGATTTGCAGTCAATGTTTGTTAGGCTATATGATGCCACAAGGTTCAGAAAAATAATATACCAAACAGAAGATTGTCTTTGACAGGCAAAATGGAGTGGATGACTGCCAGATATATATATTGCTCATAAAAATAAAGGGAACACAAAAATAAGACATCCTATAAGTTTGTGTTCCCTTTATTTTTTTGAGCAGTATATAAATGGAGAAAAACTAAAGCAAGCAAATCAGTTTGTGTACTTTGGTGCGATGCTTACTAAATATGGGAAAATGGAGAATTTAGGATAAATGCTGGCAAAAAAGGTAGTGGCCCTTAAGTGTTCTGGTGTGAAATTGTTATGTATAACAATGTGCTTCTCCCCAATTTGTTATACAGAAATGAAAGGTGAATATCTTAGGAGAAACGTTAAGAACTTGGATGCAGCTGGAATGGGGTACAGTACTTAAGTATATGCAGCAAAGGAAGATGTGGTCAGTGGCGAGGGGTGTTGGATGAATATGGATTGAATACAAAAGTGAATATTATGAAATGATTTGGTTATTTGAGTGATTTGGTTATTTATGGAGAGAATGATAATCAAATCTCAAATATACAAAGAAAAAAATGAAAGGCTGAAGAGGACATCATGATTCATTAGAATTGGTGGTCCAAATAAACAGATATGAGAAGTTTAAAAAGCAAAAAGCTACATATGGAGAAATGAATGGGAAGAGTGAAACCAAAGACGCAAGGATACAAACATTTGGAGTGGTCTAATGAGTCATGTTCATGTAAATTACAGCTTTTTGCTTTTCTATCTGTCTTTAATTTTTTATTTCTTACTCCTTTCTACACTTTATATGAAATTGCTTAGCTAGAAAAAGTCATGTGATGGATATATAGATATGAAGTTATTACACATTAGGTCAACACTGGAAAAATCTAGAATTAAATAATAATTTAAATCATTATTGGCCAAGCAGCAATTTATACTGGGAAGAAGGATATAAAGAGAATGGGGAGACAATAACAGAATAATAAAGGAGGAAATGAATCATGAAAATTAAAATTTAGAGAATGGAGATGCTTCAGTGTTAAAAGAATTGGAGATGAGTTAAATCTATTGGTCCATGGGGGGGGATAGAATAATAAATATATATCTTTAAGTAAATTAAAGGTCAGCTAGTACAAGAGAGTTATGAATCTGAGATGAAAATGAAGCGCCTATTGATACAATATAAATCAAAGAAAACATGTTGCAAAATTTCAAGTATAAATCAGCTACAGCCTCATTTCCAAAATTCATAGCAACACAATTATATGCAGTTCATCAAATTTTATTACCATAATCAATTACATATATGCAATTGCTTCCATCAAATCTGAAAGTCAGTCAAATCTATTGTTTATTTTTAAAAAATAAATTACAGACAAGCAAGAGGATAAAGTGCTTAGCAAAACTATTTTGTTTTCCATTACATCCCCTGCACCCTATTAATTGACAGCCAGTGTTTCTTCTTCTCAACCAAAGTGAAACAATAAACAAAAAGAAGGGAAATGCCTCCGTTTCCTATATTCTCTGTAAAATTAAAAGATTAAAGAAAAGGATCTGGATATGATGAAACCTACAAATCCAAATTCCTGAGAAGGTTGTCACACTCAATAATGTAGGTAGGACATTACGTCATTTATTCCTCAATATAAATAATGCATAGTGATTTGGCTTTCTATTGGTCAATAATGCTAACCAACTACCAAGCAATGCCAAGATCACAAGTTGCTTAGGTCAAACAAAATCACAGAGCAACTGTTCAAAGGGTAACCTATGGACTGAAGAAGTCATGGTTAAGTCTCGTTCCATGGTATGAAATCAAGAAAGTACAAGTTAACTTGTTATGGAAGAAAGAGGAGAATCCAAACAATGGCACCTTTTTTTAAAAAAAAATGCAGCATAGGATGAGAGGAGCACTTTGTGGATTCTGTGGAAGCTCTCAACACACATTGCAAAATTGGGGGGATGGCAAGAATAACGGAGCAAAATAGTTTTGGCCTTTGGTGCTGACCTCATCCAGTGCTGTTAATGCAGTTTTATGAAGAAACATGCTCCCTTAGACTGACAAGGGTTCTCCAAGCCTTCCATATGGGAATATCCATCCACAATTGTTTGGTAATCTGCTATAGCTATGAGCAAGCAGAGAAGACTCTTTCTTTCTTTGTGGAGTTAGCAAACATATCATTATTGTTGAGGAGGTACTTCCTAATGCCAAGAGACACTTTAGACTTCTTCCTTAGAAATCATGTTTTACATCAGAAAAGCGTAACTGATTTCTCCATCAGATTCTCTGTAAGAATATAGGTATATACAACTTTTTAATATATTCTAATATACTAAATTAGAAAACTACACACACACGCCTACACACGCACACACACACAAAACCAGATCGAGGTTGCTGTCCATTAAGTCTTCTTTAAAGAGCTTAGCAAGCACAATGCCATGATAAAAGCTCTGGGTCTTTGTGTGTATTTTATACTATGGCTTGAACTGAATGTTTGGCCAATACTGATTCCATTAAGGCTGCCTACCATCACTATACCTACAAACCATCAAACAGTGGCCTTCCTTTGCAGCTCTTGCCAGTATTATTCCATCATTTATTCCATCAGTGTAATGCTTCTGTATATATGTTTCTCAGGATGACCCTCCCCAATTTTCATCTTGGGGCTGATTAGCTAGCAAGACATCATTTCATCAGCTACCATGTAAAATACTGCCTAGAAAGCTGGTCTAATATCCAGACCAAGTATTGCCCCGAGGGGGAAGAGGTGGTGGCAGATATCCAAAAGATGGAGCTGGATCTGGGGGATATGGAGGCTGGGGCGGAACAGGGAAGCTAGTCGCTGAAGGTTGAGTGGGATAAGGACATAGTGGCCTTCCTCCTGATGGAAAATAGGGAGGCTGCATAGGCTGAGGAAATCCTGGCGCTACTGACGGAGCCCTGAGAGGAGGCTGTGGATACCCTGGTCCAGAAGATGATGTTCTGGATGGAGACCAAGAGTACCTGGATGAAGGCAGGTCTCCTGTTTGAGGCTGGGATACTGGATTACTTGAAGGAACAGATGGGTATCCAGGACCTGAGGGTGGTTTATATGGAAATGGGGGCTGGGCACTTGGTTGAGAGGAGGCAACATGTCCCACTGTGACTGGTGCTCCTCCAAAGGGCCTTGGCTGGAGAGCCCCATAAGCTGAAGGGCCTGTTGGAATACAAGGTGATAGACCATAAGGTAAAGGAAAGGGTGGTTCCCCAGCTGAACGCTTCTGTGGCTGCTGATTTATAGGTCCAGAAGATATGTGGGAAGGAGACTGGTGGTTAAATTCATTGCTATCTGCTGGCTCCGGCAAGGACTGAGATTTTTGCAACACTTCTTGAAGTTTTTCCACTTTTACTCGTCGTAGATGAGATAATTTCCTCATGGTAGAAAACTGCTCAAGAAATGTCTCCAAAGGCACCTCCCCCTCCAGGAACTTCTCAGCCATCATCTGGAATAAAAAAAGAAAAATATTAAAATAATGCTTCCATCGGCATCAAAGGGAACATACAGATAGTCTTCAGTTAACAACCACTTATTTGGTGACCATTCAAAGTTGCAAGAAGTGGTGCTTACAACAGTTTCAGCTGTCCCAGCATCCTCATGGTCACGTGATCATGATTTGGGCATCTGGCAACCAGCTTGCGCTTACAAAGGTGGCAGCATCCTACAGTCACATGATCACCATTTGTGGCCTTCCCTGCAGGTACCCATAAGCAGAGTCAATGGGGAAGCCAGCAGGGCAGGTCCCAAGTTGCTCAGGTAAGCGTCTCCCAAGCTAAATGATGTGGCATTGCTTAGCAACAGAAATGCCAGTCCCAATTACCATTACTGTATTCTAATTCCTGACAATAAGACTTCCTTATCCCAAGCTATTCAAAATCCTCCTGCAAATGGTAGGATAATGCAAGGAAAAACAAACGGTTATTCTTCTCCACTTACTTTCTCTTTTTCGGATTCATGACTTTTATTGTTTTATCAATGTATAAAATACAAAAATAAAAATAGGAAATTAAGGGAAGGAAAAAGAAAGGGGGAAAAAATTACAGCCTCAGTTTTTTACATACATACATACATACATACATACATACATACGTCTTTGGTTATTTGGGTTTTCTCCCGCGTCAAATTGGAAGTGTCTTGGCAATGTTTCAACGAAGTCCCATTCGTCATCTTCAGACTGGTGTTTTCGGCTTCTTGCTTCTAGGAGCTCCTAGAACAGGGGTTCTCAACCTTGGCAACTTTAAGACTTGTGGACTTCAGCTCCCAGAATTCCTCAGCCAGCAAAGCTGGCTGAGGAATTCTGGGAGCTGAAGTCCACAAGTCTTAAAGTTGCCAAGGTTGAGAACCCCTGTCCTAGAAGCAAGAAGCCAAAAACACCAGCCTGAAGATGACGAATGGGACTTCGTCAAAATATCGCCAAGACACTTCCAATTTGACGCGGGAGAAAACCCGAATAACCAAAGACCTACATACAAACACCCGCGAAAACCTCAGAAAACATATATACTAATATTAGTAATATAGCCATATATACTAATATACTATATAGAGCCATTTCTATAACAACAAATCTATCTAATCGGCAAAACCAAAGTCAAAGTTTCATTTTTTTTTCATCACAAATACAAAATCCAGAAGTGATATCTAGATAAAAAACATAATTAAATATATTCTCCTCTTTGAATAAAGCAATCAATTTAACCATTTCTGCTTTATTTTCTTTGCTGTGGAAATAATATATATTTCTGCACTTAATAATTAATTTGCACTTAATAATCTTCATAAACTATCACCATTTATATTAACAAAATTCACTGTATTCTTTCAGATTCAAAGGGAAAAATCCTTTTTTTCATCCATTTTAAAACACTAAACTTTTGTTTAAAGACATTTGTAAAATCAAAACATTTTAATGCATCTTTTTAAACTTCCTCTTAACATACATACTGTATAGTTCACTTTCAGACCAATAACATTCTAATTAACTCCAATTAACTCATTAAATTTAGATCAATCTCTCCAAGTTATCCTCACAGAATAATTTTTTCTTGTTGTAACCATTCCTTTAAAAACTCTAAACCTTTATTTAAGCTAATACATCTTTTTCTTTAACTTTCTCTTAACACAGATACTTTCAAATACACTTTCAATAATATTTTACAAGCTTTGGGAATTACTTAAGTATTATATATAAAGGAAAAAAATACATTTTCAAACTTTATATTAAAACTTTTTTCAATTACAAATATCAGACCGATAAAAATCCATCCTAATTCTGATTGACTCATTAAGTTTAAGTCACTCCTTCCAGCTTATCTTCATGAAATAAAATCACCAGAAGTCCTCCAGTTACTTTCTCCAACAGAGAAAGTAAATGGAAGAAGCATGAGACCCAAGTTAAACGCATGAAGGATTTGAGTAAAAGGTGCAAGTTCTGTAAATTTCCTTTCATTCTTAAATAATAATGCCTGCTATAGTTTAGTCTGTGCTCTATTCATGTTTAGGGGACTAACCTCAATTAGCCTTCCAAGCAAACCTTTGCTTGAGTGAAACAATCTTCAAAATAGGTGAGATGACGCTAACAAACTATTAAACACTTCCTTTTGATGCCTCACTGAATTTACTCGAGAACTAGTTAGATGCTATGCACATAGTGAAGGATCAACAACTGGTTAAAAAAAAAATGCTGATTTAGTGCAAGCAAAATACCTGCCAGACCCACGGGGGACGAGAAAGAGGAGGAAATAAACTTCATTTCTTTGATCACTAGCCCAGTGGGATTTTCAGATGCAACAGGTGCCAATTTCAAAGGTAAATAAGGGATGTGTCTAAGAGCCATATAGAAATCACAGGTATTTGCTTGTGCAAATAAGGACAAAATGTGGGAAAGGACAAAAGGTGGGAAAGCTCAGCTGGACTAACTTTTAACATTCAATTTCTATTAAAATAATTTATTCCCTCTGGAATTTAAATAAGAGACCAACCTCAGATTCTTCTTCAATTTTGAGTCCTTCCACCTTCAGAAGATCTAACAGGGTATCAGGCTTTGTTGCTGCTGAGAATTGCTCTGAGAAATAAAAAATAGACACCTAAAAATTAGACAAAACCGCGCCTCTCTTCTTCCTTTCAATGCAAGCACCTGGTTATGCACATATACTGTACATGAAGGCAACCAGCTTCTAAAAGAAGAATTCTGTTGCTTTAAGAACTAGTGTCATGTAATCTGAACCCATAACCAAGGAGGAAGAAGGGAAGGGTGATCAATTAAACCCCAAAGTGCAGCTTTTGACTAATCAGATGGTAATAGTAATAGTAGTAAAGTTGGAAGGGACCTTGGAGGTCATCTAGTTCAACCCCCTGCTCGGGCAGGAAACCCTACACCATTTCGGACAAATGGCTGTCCAGTCTCTTCTTAAAAACTTCCAGTGTTGGAGCATTTACTGCTTCTGGAGGCAAGCTGTTCCACTGATTAATTGTTCTCACTGTCAGGAAGTTTCTCCTAGTTCTAGGTTGCTTCTCTCCTTGATTAGTTTCCACCTGTTGCTTCTTGTCCTGCCTTCAGGTGCTTTGGAAAATAGCTTAATTCCCTCTTCTTTATGGCAGCCCCTGAGATATTGGAATACTGCTATCATGTCCCCCCTTGTCATTCTCTTCGTTAAATTAGACATACCCAATTCTAGCAACCGTTCCTTATATGTTTTAGCCTCCAGTCCCCTAATCATCTTTGTTGCTCTTCTCTGTACTCTTTCTAGAGTCTCAACATCTTTTTAACATCGTGGTGACCAAAACTGGATGCAGTATTCCAAGTGTGGCCTTACCAAGGCATTGAAGAGTGTTATTAATACTTCACGTGATCTTGATTCTATCCCTCTGTTAATGCAGCCTAGCACTGTGTTGGCCTTTTTGGCAGCTGCAGCACACTGCTGGCTCATATTTAGGTGATTGTCTACTAGGACTCCGAAGTCCCTCTCACAGTTACTACTATTGAGCATGGTGCCACTTATGCTGTACTTGTGCATTTGGTTTTTCTTGCCTAAATGTAGAACCTTGCTTTTTTCACAATTGAATTTCATTTTGTTAGTTAGTGCCCAGTGTTCAAGTCTGTCCAGATCCTTCTGTATCTGAAGCCTGTCTTCTGGAGTGTTGGCTATTCCTGCCAGCTTGGTGTCATCTGCAAATTTGATGAGTTCCCCATCTATCCCTTCATCCCAATCGTTGATGAAGATGTTGAAGAGTACTGGGCCCAGAACAGAGCCCTGGGGCACCCCACTACACACTTCCCTCCATATAGATGCAGTTCCATTGAGGACCACTCTCTGAGTACGGCCGGTCAGCCAGCTACGGATCCATCTGGTGGTGGTTCTGTCTACCTCACATTTTTCTATCTTGTCAAGTAGTAGGTTGTGATCTACTTTATCAAATGCCTTACTGAAGATGGTCACTGGCACTATAATGCTGTGTAGGCTTGACTACTGGATAGTATCAACAAATGCACCCAGATGAGGTGCCAACCATACCCCCATAGCTATTCCATGTCCCAAGACCAAGATGAAGGAAATGCACAAAATTAATCTTGGCTAGAAAAAGCCTATTAGCCAATTCTGTTCCACCTCTATCCCCATCAGCCACAGCCATCTGAAAAATTTACCAAGCTTTGACTTCTGCTCCTGGCATCGCTCTATCAGTTTTTGCAGCTCTTGATATCCGTCAGAGAGGTTTGCACGTCCTGTTTCCAGGGGCTCTTGGAACTTCAGGTTTTGCTCTGCAAGACTACGATTTGTGGCCAGAGCCATCTCCCTTTGCAACTGTATATCCTGGACCTGAGAAATGAAAGGTTAGGTAGATATGGCTCATTTTAAAGAATAGTTTCTCTCTTCAATAATGTTCATGTGTATGAATGATTACCTCATCAGACTCCAATGCCAACCGCTCAATCTCTTCCAAATTTTCCTGTAGTTCTTTCAATTCATCTACAGTCTTGTCTCTGAAGGTCTCCATCTTTTGGGGGGTTCATCAATTCCTTCAGGATTAAGAGAAAAAGAAGATGATTAGTAAATTCATATCATCACCCAAGCATATTTGGTTGCAGGGTAATTTTCAGTTTAGGTAAGCCGTATTCGCCAGCAAATATTGTTATCAGAGGACAGCATAATAATTACTCGTCCTTTCTCCACTTTCGCATATTAATGTGAAGGGTAACTTTACATACAAGTGCCACACCAATAACAGAAGGTTTTGCCTATTAAGGCCGTACGTGTATTTATGAGCATATGTATGTAAATATATCATACGAAGTACTGCATTATCCACCTTAAAAGAGAGACCAAAACAAAGATGCAAGAAAGTATCCTTTATTGGCACACATGAACTATAATGATCCTTGGGCTCTTTGCCAAAGCACTGCAGAAGAGCCCCAAACAAAGCAACATTACAGATTATATAGTTTTGGTCCATCTAGAGCAGAAATAATAAAGAAAATATTGTAAATCACAGCCTGACCTTTACAGTCAGAATATAACAACTGATAATGTCATAGGGTGAATTTATTATGCTCTGACTCAATGCCTCTAAGTTCTGCATTCCTGCAAAAGCTCCAAGCCCACCACCTTCTAACATAAACAATATTTTATTTATTTAGATTTTTATCACAACTTTACTAATTTATAATAATTGTTGTGCAAAATCCCTTTCCAATCCTTCAGCCATTATATTTCCTGTCTAGCCACCATTTGATCTATAAAGCTGCATAAACCATTACTGGGTAGTTATTGGGTATTAATTAGTCACCATTCACACCAGGAAAAGACGACAAAAGCGTTTCAATTATCTGTCTCCTTCCCCTCCAGCATCATCAGATCCAGCCTCCTGCTTTTAATTAGAACTATTGCAGGCCTAGTTTCATTCATAACTTAGCCACCTTTAATTAACGATTTAATCCTCTATGAAAGACAAGACAGATAGAATTAAATATAATCTCTCTAGTACCTATCGCTAATAATAGGAATATTGTACAGCATTATTTGTGTGATCAAAGATGATCAAAGAAAAAAACATAAACCTTCCAAAAACTAAGTAACAGGAAGAAATGAAATGACACTAAGGTGAACTAAAATGTTCTAAATAATCTCTGCTTCAAGTTACTTTATGTTTCAGGAAGAATACTCAATAACTACCCAGTAATGGTTTGTGCAGCTTTATAGATTGCATGGTGGCTAGACAAGAAATACAATGGCTGAAGGACAGGAAGGGGATTTTGCACAACAATCTCCATTTGAATTTTGCCATCTTAATCCACCAGCCTATTAACTGAGCAAATAAGATCAGTTTAAGAATTTGCAACATTCCTGTGCAGCAGGAGGTTTTCGGCTTTTGGCTCAATCTAACATGCAACCTTGGCAACAAAAGCTAATGATATATATTTGTGTGTGTGTGTGTGTGTGTGTGTGTGTGTGTGTGTGTGTGTATACTGTATGTGTGTATATATATATATTTCTAAAATTTGGATTGCTAGCAAAGAATTAAAGGAGAACTAGAATAGCTATTTCAAACTCTTTAGTTCTTATCAACCAGACATACCTTTTCTGAGATTGGAACCTGGGCTGTCTGCATGTTAAGCAGCTGTGTTTTAACCTCTAGGCCACAGGCTCTTTCTCACTTTGCCAGCTGTATCAGGGAGGGAAGAGACAGGGGAGGAGAATTATCTTGAGTGCTATTTGATACACCCTGTCGACCCAAATATGGGAGAAAGAAATCTTTTGCCTTTTATCAGCTCAAACTAGAGCCATCCACAGGCATGTCAGTCACATCATATATATTTCTAAAATTTGGATTGCTAGCAAAGAATTAAAGGAGAACTGGAATACATACATACATACATACGTATATGTATATCCTTCATTTTCAATGTAATATTTTTTTAAAAAAAACTTTAATCTTTTCTTGTGCAGAATCCTTTTAAATCACTTGCTTTCATTTTTACAACAAAGAAAATTCAGTATCTTTTTCGCTGAATTTCCCCAATCATTACACAAAACTATTGTACAAAACTATTGGCATTAAATGACACTTTCCTGTTCAAAATAAACAAATAAATTTTTATCTTCCTTTTGAAAATTATGGTTTCAAAGAACGTCTTAACAGGTAAGAGAGATTTTTGATTCATTATTATTACTCACTGACACACAAAAAAGCTTATGGTAAGTCAAGATAGACAACCACTCCTGGTTTTTCGGCAGAAATCAGAATACATTTTTCAACTTCTTGTTACTTTCTACTATTTTCCCCATTGGTATGTATTAGTCCTTTAGTGTCATTGTAGCATCTTTCCAAACCTTATTGTGGTTTAATAATCACACAAGCAGCTTCTTTGTACAATAAAAATTATACTGAAGCAACCAATGAAGTTTCCCATTGTGACTGATCCTAGACAAAGTGGTCTTTTGTGATCCACTAGGGCCAGACAATTTGATGTTTGCAGTATATAAACAGATTTTGCAAGCAGCTTTCCTCAAGCCATATGTATAGGTACTCTTCAGCATATGGTTATTCAATCAACAATCATTCAAAGTTACAAAGGTGCTGAATGAAGGGACTTACAGACCCGAAGTTACAGCCAATGAAGAACCCCTGGTCACATGACTGCAATCTTGGCAACCTGTCTGCATTTGTGACTAGTTGCCAAGTACCCATTTGCAATCTTCCCTGCTGGCTTCCCCAGAAAGTCAACAGGGAAGCCAGCAGGAAAGATTGTAAGCTGCTGCTGCTGCCTGCCAATACGCCTCCCCCTCATATCTGGGGGTCAGCCAAAAACTTTGTGCTGAAGCCTAAGCAGGATTTTGCATGGGGCATTTTCAACCATCCCCTCCCCCCCCCCCCCCGAGTTGGAGAGGACTCCTCTCGACTCTGGGAGCTGGCTGAAAATATTCCATGCCAAAATTCAAGCAGAATTTTCAGCCAACAAGGATTTTTAGCTCCAGAGTGGAGAGGCTTCAGAAGATTGAAATTTCAAGCAGTTTCGAGGACCTTGTGCACTCTCCCTGACTCTCCCCCATATCTCCTCACTCCCTGCTTCACCCAGGAGAGCCTCAAGTTTGCAATCTCCTGCCAACTTCCCCATTGATTTGATTGTGGGAAGCCAGCAAGAAGTTGCCTCACCTAGCAACCAGGATATTCCCTTAACAAAGGCAACCAGGACTTCCTGGATTGCTGCTGCTAAGTGGCTGCAGTTTAAGAATGCATTGCTTAATAAGACTCCCAATCCCATCTTAGGTCAAGGACTATTTGTATGATATCATGGAGAACCGTGATTGAATATCATAGAACCAGGGCTATATAGACTGACTTAAGCTCTTTGAGAAAAGCGAAAATATAGCTCTAACAAATGAATAATATTCCTAAACATGTAACTTTGATGAGGGTCATAAGTAACTTTTTTGAAGTCTATCATAACTTTGAACAATCATTAAACGACCAGTCATAGGCTGAAGACTATTTGTATAAAAAATATTTTGGCAATCAAAATCATTGATGAAGCATTAATTTCAAAAAGAAATGGCATGATGAAAGGAAACTAACTGCAGAAAGATAAAAATCCTATTACAGCTACACTGTCTTTTAAAATAGCAAGGAAATACAATCATGGATCACATATACTGTATGTTCCGGCGTATAAGGCGACTGGGCGTATAAGACAACCCCAACTTTTCCATTTAAAATATAGAGTTTGGGCTATACTCGCCGTATAAGACTATCACTCTTCCAATGCACACCAAATAAAAATTAAATTTGTTATTAAAACTCAGTGCACTACAGTACTTATTGACGGGAGCCAGATTGACCAGCCAGGATCTGTCATAAATAACACCACAAATGCACCATGCAAGTTTATTTAGGCGGGGGAAAACCGCTGGAATAAGCTCGGTGGAAGTCGACAGGCAAAAGGACCGTGTAGCTGTTTTCTGTCCCCCCTCATTCCTGCTTCGTAAATCTGAGAGGAATTTAGCTGACACCCCTCCCTCCCCTTCCAGACCCATAGCCTCCTCCTCCTTCCTCCCTACCGTGTGGGGCACGAGGAAAGAGGGAACGCCTTGCACCGCCGCCACCTGCCTGCCCACCTCCGCAGCCGCCGGTCGCACACTCAGTATGAGCCGTCACTGCATCCCCCATGAGCATCTCCTACCGCCCCGCCTCCTTTCAAGCTCCGCCTCCCCCAAGCGACTCCCACCAGGGGTGAGAGGGCAACGCCGAAAAGGCCCCAGATGATGGCGGAAGAAGCACTAAGAAGTGCCTCGAATGGATGCAGATGCTTAGGTTTGTTTTCATTATTAAAAAAACCCACCCTACAACTCTTTTCCCCCTGGGCCATCCCTTTCTACTTCCTTCGAATGAATTAATCACGGGATGGCCACTACCAATCCGCAGTTCTGGAGGGGTGGGCAAGGGATTGGGATGGCGAAGGAGAGGGAAGAAGAGAGAAGGAGGCGGTATGCCAAACCACATGTGTAAAGGAATAAAATAGAATACCTGTATTTTCCGGCGTATAAGATGACTGGGCATATAAGACGACCTCCGACTTTTGAGAAGATTTTCATGGTTTAGAAAGTCGTCTTATACGCCGTAAAATACGGTAGTTAAGTCTCTTGTATTTAACTCCAATATCTCAGGCTCTTGTAAACTAGACAGAATTCTTGAGTAGCAGGACATATAAAAGAGACCATTTTAAATATATATATAGCCTCTTACTCTCTGTTACTGATGGTTCTACCTTTGGTTCAAACAAAATATTTCACAGACTTGTCTCTGAAGAGTCACCATCAGTATCTGCAAAAAAATAAAAAAGCCAAGTTTATATTTGCTTTCATGGTTCCCAAAGTGAATACTAAATATCCTCTAAGGAGAAATTATAAGTAATAATCAGGTTGTTCCATCTATATTGAACACTATTCTTAATCTAAGTTTATGAGTAACAAAGAAGATGCTTTACATATAACGTGAAAATGAAAGTGTGCCTCTGACAACTTGTTTGTGCGCAATATAATATTTTCCTGAAAGTGTGTGTCAGAAATAATTTTTCCAGTTCCTTTTTCAATAAATATTTAGCTAACATCCCCAGATCTTCTTGTACAACATTTAACTATTAATCCATTGTTATCTCATTGCAATGAAAAGACTCTTGGAGGCTTACGTAGAACATAAATCAGATAAAACTTTCTTGGTATAAAATTCCATAAAAACAACAAAAATGAATACCCACCAAACATAAAAAATATAAAGAATGAAAATAGAAGTTAAAGATAGGGTTAAATCAGGACAATGTTTTCTCATATATAATGATACAAGTACAGGGCCTTCTACTCCTATTTATCAATGGCCTTGACCCCAGGAAGAAATTGTCTAATTTGAAAAGAAGAGCATGTGAAATTATTTCCTGTGCAAAGTATATTTCAGATATAGCAGATGAATCCCCTCTGCAAGCCAATATTATCTAGTGATACATCTAGTCATTTTAAAGATTTTGAAAGTTATAAAATTGAGAATAATGTTCATGGTACCCTTGAGAATAGCAAAAGAAGAGGAAGCAGTTATCAGTTACCAGTAGGAAAAAATGACATCTGCAAAACTTTAATTACTATGGAAGTTGCTCTCTATACCCCAAAAGATACATAAAGCATACACAAATACCTCAGACTGGTGCCACTGATAAATCTGAAGCGCCCACCTGGGGTCCAACAGGGATGAAGGGCAGATAAATTTGGTGCTGCGTGAGATAAATGACAATACAACTTATCACAAACTAAGCATTTACAGCATAGTATTATAATTATGCTTTCACTGTAATTTTAGTCACAAATTACAGTACAATAAAACAACCGGCACACCTCTTCCAAGCTTATTAATACACTCAAAAGAACACAATCCCCCACCCTTTTAAATGTGAATTAAACATTTACTCTGGAACCTGTTTCGCCACTTCGCCACTGATACACCCTTCCCCCCCCCCCCAATCTTGTGCCTTCCCAATATGTTGCATTACAGCAATCTACTACAATTCCCATAATTCCCAGTTCAGCCAGTTCAATCCTGGGACTTGCATCTGGAGGACCCCAGACCGAGATTTATTTTAACCCTATGAAGGGTCCTCCTGACTCGGCGTGAGGCTCCCGTCACAGGGTGGAGCCTTCCAGAGCGGAGCGAACGCCAGCAGCCTCCGCAGCGCGCGGGCCTGGAAGGAAAGCATTGTCCTCCCCGCCCCTCCCCGCCAGCTGATCCGCGCGGGACTGCCACGCGCAGGGCCAGCCCGGCCGGAGGGCGGCAGGGGAGGGGAAGAAGGCATCTCGCGGGACACACAGCGACCCTACACCCACTGAGACCGCCGTTCCAAAAAGAAGGGCGGGGCGGGAGGGGGCTTCCTCTTTTCTCGCGAGAAAGGGTTAAGCGATTCAGCCCTCTGACAATAACGACGTACCTGTGAAAAGCCGGGGAGACGGAAGAAGAATAGAAGAAAGTACTACAACCCCGTGAAGTGAAGTTTCCGGGAGAAAGCCGGAAATTGCGTCCGCTCAATGGTCCGCTCAAGTTACTACCATGAGCGCGGGGGGGGGGGGGGAGGAAATTGATTCAAGTGTTCTTCCCACCCGGAAAAGAGATGGTTTATTCCACTGGCAGAGCCAACGAAACGTATCGCAAGCAGTTTGCTACCGTACCTGCGAGAGTCGAGTTAGACAATTTGACACTTGGTCTCTGTCTCACGGATCTCTTGTCTTGAAGATAGAGGCAATTTAAAATGCAATTTAAAAATTTGTATCGCATCCAATGTATGTGTTTTGTGAAAGACAGTCTTTTTGCATTTCATGGCGCTCTGATTTCTTTGGTTATCTACCCGCTATACGGTTAGGTTATTTGCATTGCAGAACTCCGGACAATCATTGGATGGAAGCAAAAGATAAATTTTCTTCATCTCTTTGCCACCGTCTAGTATATCGCATCCATACCCTACACGATGTTGCGTTTCAAAATAAAATGCAGAAAAGGAATAAGATATAATTCGTACAAATGAAAGGCATAAGATACGAAAAGGAAACGGCTATAACTAGTACTTCCTTATGCCTATCCTTCCCTCCGAATCATTTCTTTGGTCTGCATCCTTCAAATTGTAGTTCTAATATAGCTAGTTTAGTCAGAGAAACTCCATTTTGTTAAAAAAAAAAAAAAACACCCTTTATTTTGCTCATTTATGTTCTTAGATGTTTTCTGGGTCTTACATCCTTGCTCTAAAATTCCTGCAAGACCACATGATACATGATAGCCCTATCAAAGAACAGGTACCACTGCTTGCAATCATCTGGCACTCTTTCTGAGAGTAGTGGCTTCAAAGACTCTCAGAAAGAGTGCTAATGACCAGATGACTGCAAGGACTATAAATCCTTCCATTCTCCCCCATTCAGTCAGAACTGAAGAAGGTTCTTAGATGAGCAGCAAAACATCTAGCAAAAAAGAAACTTCAGTTGCCTTCTAAAAAACTATCTTTGGGATAAAGCAGGCTATTGTCTTTTCTAGCAGTGTAAAAAGACTCAATTGATGAACATAACAAACAACAGTTGTTTGTGATAACTAGTACTAGTATCAGAACAGAAGAGCAGAGGGAGAGACGTGTTTGGAAATACAAAAATTTGAAATCTCCAGAATGGCTGCCACAGTAAAGTCAGCTCCCTCATCTAATCTGATGTTAGCGTTCTTTGTATGAAGATTGTATAATAAATTCTGATAAAGACTTATAATCTATAACCCCGTAGACCTGGTGGCTCTTTGACATTTCTTTGGCCAGAAACTAAGTGACCTGTAAGTTTGTGCATATCAATAAACTATACTTTGTTGTAATATCTCCAAATGCTTGAGCTCTTTATTCAGTGGATATCTTTTCCACAACAGTCTTCAAGACAAGATTTTATAACATGTTACTTATAGATAAAAAATGATTCAGCCCCAATAACTATAGCATGAAAATGCCCCATTGACCTTTTAAGGGATTCATGCTCATGGTAGAGCCTTTGCCTTGTTGCCCAGCCCACTATATTTAGTTATTCTAGTTTTATGATTTTTTTTTGTTCTGTTCTGATCCTTCAAGACTTGCTGTACATGCATTCTACAATGCCTTGTTAACAATATAGGTGATGATGTGACAGAATATTGCATGTATGTTCTTACAGGTGGCTTTCTACCACTGCAAACCTGCAAAGTTGCTAAGCACAATGTTCCATACAGTATTCATTTTTGACTTGGGCTGCTGGAAAATTCAGGCCTCTGGCTTCTGCAGAGTCATATGCTTACATGATGCCGGACTTTGCAAAACAGTACTCCAGCATTATGTGAGCTCCTTATGGAAAAAGAGTCTAGGATTCTTTCTAAAAAACTATTAGACCAATTTTTAGCAATGTTAAGCAGCATTGTATCTATGTTTTAAAAGCAATGTGTTCAAATGGAAAGTTTGACTAAATTGGGAAAGAAGTTGAGTTCTGTTAATAATGGATGACTGGTTTTGTCCCAACTGATTGCATAAGGTTTCCACTGCGTCCACTGACAAGAGGTTTCATGTGGCTGGTTTCCTAGTGTATTTATTGCTACAAGAGGGAAACATTTGGGTTCTTCCAACAGCATTTTGGGTACTTCCATGGAATCATTTTAGGTACCTCTAGCCACAACCACATGCAGCATTAATTGATTTTGGATATTTGGAAGCTGGGTGAAATTGACAAGAGTTCTTCAATTTTGCCATCTGTTCTCTGAATCCAATATGAGTCCACTTGACAGAAGCTCAGGATAAAGCAGGAGAGAAGTCTCTTAGTATGCTTTGCAAGATCCTTCTTGCTTCATTCCAGATGATTTCTCTACCCCAACGACCTATCACGAAAGTTGCTTTGGAAAAGGCCCAACTGACAGGTTACTGTTGCAGAGCATATTCATGGTGGCAACCTCTCACTCAGGAAGTCTGAAAAATGGCTAAATCCCAGGCACCTGCTCCTAATGGTTTAACCACATGTTAAAGATAATTATTTTTCTGGCTGGGTGAATTTAGGTAATGAAGTCAGAGAGATCTACCAGTCGTTTCCTGTAAATTGCTCCCCAATAAAGCTATAAGAATAGGACTGCTCATAAATCTCATCACTAAAGCATGTTAATGTATGGTCATTAGGGCAGCATAAATTATAATGGCATATTATAATTAAGGAGAGAAAGGAAAGAAGGGAAGGAACATTAACACCATTGTGTTAATTGTCTTAAAAGTAACTGCATATTTTAAAATTGTATGTACAAAAATAGTCCTGCAGAGATAATTATAATGTTTTAGAGTCCCACAAAGGAGAGAACAATAGCTCTAAAGAAAAGAAGAGAGAGTCAGCAGCAGATAGTCCTTCCAGGGCTTGGGGAAAGGAAGCTAGCACTTGAACAACCTCCTGTTTTTCTTGCAAAGTTTGGGAAGTCAGACCGCACCCCCCAGAGAAAGAAATATTCTTGGAAATGTTTAAAAGGCAGAATATATTTCCCTAAAGGATTTTAAAAGAAGAAACCAACCCCACCCCCAAGTCCCTCTGTCTCAAACAGAAACCAAGTCTGTAGAATTGCAGATGTGATAATCTTGTCAGAAAGACTGGAGTCAGGAAACTCGGATTAGGAAGAAAGATCCCTAGAATCAACAACCCCTCACACCAAAAATCTAAGAGTCATCAGCCACAGCCAGGGAAGCAGGATATGACCTTTGGGACATAATAGGATTAACCCACCACCATCAGAATATCAGAAAGGCACACTCAGACTCAGGTCAAAGTTCATGCCACAGGAACAACTCCAAATAAATGGCTCCAGAGGGTATAAAACCCCACTCCCTACATGTGCTCACTGCTCTTTTCTTCCAGAGTCATCTCTCTGTCTGGCTCTCCTCTTCAATAAACTGCAACCTTCTTTCTAAAGCAGTTGCCATGTTGTTTATTCCTGGCTTGGACTGAACCATGATAAAAACTTTTCCTTCAACAAAAGTTTATCTTCTCCCTTTTTCTGCCTTACTCAATCAAATAAAAAATGGAAATGCAAATATTCTCCTCCAGCATCTTCTTTCTTTGAAGGAAAAAAGTTTTAGAGACTTAAAAATGCCCCTTTCTTCATTCCCTTCTCCCTTCCAAATAGTGACAAAGCTGAAAATAGTCACATTAAAATAAACTGAGAAAAAAAATATGAAGCACATTAACTTCAGCAGTGTTTATTTCTGGGCAGATATGGAGGGCATCAAACAAGAAGAGAAAATGATAAACCTGAATAACATGAAGATGGGGGTATTTGATTTTATCTTGTCATGGTTATGAGGCATTAGAACAGAGGTCCCCAACCCCCAGTCTACGGACCAGTACTGGGCTGCAGCATGCCAGCAACCAGTCTGCACAAACAAGCAAAGCCCCATCCATGGGATGGAGGCAGCACACAAAACAATGCACCCTCTGGTTCACGAAAAAACCTTTTTCCATGGAACTGGTCCCTGGTGCCCAAAAGATTGGGGACCTCTGCATTAGAAGTTAATTTTTAATGGAGGAGGGAGGAAATTAACAGAATAACAGAGTTGAAAGGGACAATGGTTCAAACCCCTGCTCAGGCAGGAAACTCTATACCATTTCAGATAAATAACTGTACAATTTCTTCTTAAAAACCTCCAGTGTTGGAGCACCCATAATTTCTGGAGGCGGGTTGTTCCACTGATTAATTGTTCTAACTGAAGAAACAAAAAAAATATCTCAATAGTAACTGTTCTTGCTCTGCAAAGTAATTCAAATAACCTATAAAGGTAAGTTGGTACAGAACACTTAGAGGGTGTCTTGAGATATTAAGAGAAAAGCTACCACATTTACTACAGAAAAACATACTTTTCCCAATTTCATTTTTCCAGATAATCTTCTGAGACAGATTACGTAAACAAAAGTAAAAGATATTTCTTTCTAACTAGGTGTAAGAATTTACATAGATAAACTTTGTGGGAGGATAGCACTCCCCCCCCCCAGAGAAAGAAATATTTTGGGAATATTAAAAGGCAGAATATATTTCCCCAAAGGATCTTAAAGGCAGAAACCACCCCCCTCCCCCAAGTTTCTCTGCCCCAAGCAGAAACCAGGTCTGTAGAAATGCAGATGTGATAATCCTTTCAAAAAGGCTGGAGCCAGGAAGCTTGAGCTGATGAGATTAGAAAGACAAAAGATCCCTAGAATTAACAACCCCTCACCCCAAAAAATCCAACACAGGACATAATCATCAGCCCCAGGGAAGCAGGATATGATCTTTAGGACATAATAGGATTAACCCACTACCATCAGAATACCAGAAAGGCACACACTGAACCTCAGGTCAAAGTTCATGCCACAGAAACAACTCCAAACACAAAAGCCTAAGAAGGAATAAAAACCCACCACTCTCTGCTACATATGGTCAGCCACTCCAGAGCCTCATGTCTTGTGGTTCTGCTCTGCAATAAACTACAACCTTCTTTCTAAAGCAGTCTCCGTTTTCTTTATTCCCGGCTTGGACTGACCCTGATGAAGACTTTTCTTTCTACAACTTGTAATGGGTAGTTAATAAAGATAAGTACATTAATATATTCCAACTGATATTAAGAGAAACCTCTGCATCATTTGTCTTTCATTACAAATTTAAGATATAATCATCTTTAAAAAATGGCATTATCATAAAGATATATTATGACCATTTTCTATTGCAAAATTCTTTTTTGAAGAATCCAGGAGCATGTACAGGAACCTTCAGCAGACTAAGATGGAATTGATCAGGTGCATATTTTTTCCGTGTCTTTGAGTACTTGTGAGATGCACAGTTCATGCTGCTGTTTTGTAGGGGAAAGTTAATAGTTGTCACTTCAGAACCCTACCAACAAGCACAGCTTAGCCCTGACCCAGATTTGACCTTTTGTACTTGGTAATTCAGGCTCTCTGTTAAAAAAAAAGTTCTCTGGAAAAAAAGTTAAAATTGGATTCCATCCAGTAGCAAATACAGAGTGCCAAGCAGTAGCTGATGAGTGTTATTTGAAATGCCATTTTCTACAATAGGATAAAGGAGGGCAGATATGCTTCCATGGCCAGCACAAGAATGTGAAGATAACACTGCAAAAGGACTTTTAATAAAGGTTGTTTTTAGATATTAGAAATTTCCACAGCCAGGACTCGCACAGAAATCAACATTACTTAGTGTTTGCTAGTCTTAGCGAGTTCCCAATTGGCCTAAATGGAAAGTAAATTCTCTTATCTAATCTTAATAGGATACTAGTGATAACTTTGGGCTTGGATACAACAAAGCTATTTGTTTTGCTATGCAATTAATTTGCAGTTGTGTGCCCAGATTCAGTAGCATCTTGGCTGTAACCCACAGTCTGACTGCTCTGATTACCCCTGCAACTGGGTTTTAATAATTATACACAGCAAATTTCAAGCGTATGGAATATCTGGGCCACTGCTCCTGCAACTATCATCGTCTTTCACAAGATGTTCTTGTGAAAGAACATCTTAACAAAACTGTTAGAGAGAATTTGAAATGGACCAGAAGGAAGCTGAGAATATTAGGCTTGTGCTTGTTGAAAGAAAACTTTTATTGCGCAACATTTTACAAGATTGTAACCACTTTTTTATTTCCTATCCCAAATGGCTTCAGGAACTTCCAGACACTCAGCCCCTCTGTCTTCCGACTCATTTGATCCCAGAATAAAATGCATCTAGGTTTGACTTGTGCTATTTTCATTGATTATAAATCTATTCCTCACCTTACTTTCCTTTCAACTTTCCCCAACCAAACCTTTATGGGGAAAAGTAAGCCTTAGTGAAATTGACTAGAACTTTTCTGATTTGGTTTCATTTTCCGGAACAGGCTAGAAAGAAAACAAATTGTGGGTTTTAGAGAAAATTATTGGCTTCAGACATAAGATTCTGGATCACCAGAGGATTCGTTTCTTGTCAGAACCCGGACTGAAACTTGGCGCAGTAATCAGCTGTTCCAGCCATTTTCTATGATATTTTTATTTCTGAATATCCATTCTGGTGAAAAAGATAGAATGGCTGCACCAAATCTTTTCTCTGGTAATGTTAGTATTAGAAACCCTCCATTGGTAAAGTTCTCTAATTGTGGACATTGACATCATGGGGAGAATTGAGAGTGGTAAGTCATGTCTATATCAACTCTCAAATAAAACATAACATAACATAAAAACCTAAGTAAAAAATCGTTATTGAACACCTTGTTAAAACACACAAGCATAATTAGTAGCCGAGTGCAAACCATTCATAACATTCAGGAGAACCACTGGGCAGGTTTCACATCACAACTGACTCCCTAAATAAATCCAGGTTTTCAGAGTCTTTTGAAAGGTTGATAGAGTCAGGGCCTGTCTCAGCTGCAAGGGATGATGCCCCAAAAGATGGGTGCCATGGCAGAAAAGGCTCTCCTCCAGAGTCCCCTCAGAGAAGGCTCCTTAGTGGATGGGTCCCAAAACATGCTTCTCCTGCTGTACCTGATGGGACAGATAGATGTATCTGGTGAGAGGTGATCCCTTAAATAACCCAGCATTTTGAATTGAAACCAGAAGCAAACTCATAGAGCACCAGCTGAACTTCTGTTTTTTGCAGAATGTTGCAAAGGCTACCAACCAGTCTAAAAAATCTTTCCCAGAATTGAATGATGCCGAGTATACTATATATGGAGCCCTCAATTGTAAAAATTAAATTTATATTTAATTCATTATAGTGTTTATTTTCTAAAAAAATAAAATTCCATCCAGATTACTTTAAAAAAATGTACAGTTTTGCCTTTGGCTCACATGTTGAAAAGTTATGGAAAACATTGCTTTAGTGCTCTTGGGATATACCAAGGTCTTTGAAATGGTTGCAATGTCACCTACGTCTAAGCGTGTTTTTAGGTCAAGAATGAAAAGAATGACATGGAAATTTCTTATTAAGGGCATTTGAAAAAAGATAATCATATCAGGAATGTCTGCCATTTTCTATGATATGCAAATATGATAAGAGAGTCTTGGAGCTATATATATGCGTGTAGCAAACCTAACTGTGTTGCTTAGAAGCTGGGACCCACACTTCATTTGAATCAACAACTTGGGGATAAAGGTGTAATCATGAAGTGCCTCTTACTTCTGAGCCTGGTGGCACTTTCCCAGTGTCTGACAACAAAGTAAGTGTTGAGCATTGTGCTTTCTTCCAAGAAAACATGTACCGTTTTCTTCAGAAGAATCTAATTTTCTTTCTAAATTATGTTCCACAAACTCTTCCAACAAACTTTCTATTGTGATTGGTGGGCGAGCCACAAAGCTGTAATGTGCCTAGATTTTCCACTGACAGTAATATTTTATTTCCCTTTTATAGCTATATCTGCAAATGTATGGTGTATTCATCAGGTAGAACATGCTTCTTTCTTTACAGAATATACCTAGATTTCAAGTCCTTCTTCCTCAGCAGAAATAAATCTGAAACTATCTTTCCTCATCTGAGGGCCTCCAGATATGTTGCAATTATAAATCTCATTCTAGCTAGGAATTCTAAAGGTTGTAGCCCTCTTAAGAGCATTGAATCAGAGAATGCTGTCCAAAATGCATTTTATTTCAATCTTTAATGCTATGAGCACTATCTCTCACTTACTAATATTTTCCTTTCCATTATTCAATGCTTAGGGTTTACCTAAAGAAAACAAAATCTGTGAGGCAAACCCTTACAGAACTTGGGCTGCTAGATGAATTTCTGAAGAAGCATCCTTACAACCTTGGCTCAAAATATTTCCCCAAGCTGCAAGATACATTTGCCTCTGAACCCATGCAAAATTATATGGATGTAAGTATTCCATATTAGGAGGAGATATTCAGCATTTAGCCAATGGACAAAGCTAGAAAATCTCAACACATGTTGATTTAACTCAATAGTCCCTTGCTCTGGGGAGAGCAGTAAAAAAGACATACAGATTTAGGAAGTTATAATTTTAAATGTTTGAAAGTGATTTGAGATCGTGGGACATGAATGATATTTTATTGTAACAAATTGAGCAGATTTGTATTGTTAAAAAGCTTGTCAAACTTACCTTTGTCTACAAAGAAATTTACATCTCTCTTGCCTCAAAAATGCTATGGAGATATCAGGGATGGGTTTTCTTTAGTATGTTCTGTCTTCTGCCTCCACAGCTGGAGTACGTTGGCTCTATCTTCATTGGCACTCCACCACAAGAGTTCGCAGTCATCTTTGACACTGGTTCTTCCAACTTGTGGGTCCCTTCTGTGTATTGCTCCAGTGCTGCTTGTTGTAAGTAGTCTACATAACTGATACTTTCAGAAAGAGGCTACTCTTTGTTCAAGCCTTCCAAATGTAATAGACCGTAAGCCCCATCACAGCACCTGTATTGGCATGTTAACTGGGAATCCTAAGAACTCCAATCACAAAACATTTTAAAGAGACCAGATCAGGGAGACTTCTTTATTCTCATGTTCATCTGTCTTTACAATGTGTTCAACATGGATCATACTAATATTAGGTTTATTGACTGCTTGAGACAGCTTTGGGGAGCTGCTACTCAAGGGGATCATTATGGAATAACAAAACATGTTCCTACATAGCAAATGTTTAGGCATGAACTTGGTTATAGAAGCGACATCATTATGGAATAACAAAACATGTTCCTACATAGCAAATGTTTAGGCATGAACTTGGTTATAGAAGCGACGGATGTAATGTAAGGAATAATCAAATCAGTTTATTAAAGCTATAAAACCAGATACAGTAAAATGTCTAATAATAGAACTATTACATATTTTTTTCCACATGACATAAAGGGAAAATATAACTATTTTCCTCCAAATTATAACATTGTTCAGGTTAGCTATGACAGAGGACAGAGTTCATACATTAGAGAGTATTGTACTGGGATGAGTTAAATGCCAAGATCTCTTTTACTCTCTATCACTCTGTTCTGTTCTGAAAGTTACATTTCAGTATGCCCACATCATACTACAATTACTTATCTTTGCAGCTGACCATCATAGATTCAATCCACAACAGTCATCCACTTTCCAGGCCACCAGCCAGAGCTTAGCCATCGCCTATGGCACCGGAAGCATGACTGGATTCCTAGGCTATGATACTGTCCAGGTAAACTGCAAAAAAAAAAAAAAAAGATTGAGAAGCCATCCTTTGAGAAATTAGACTGAGTCAGCATGGTTCTGGGTGGACAGACAGGGAAAACCTAATTGAATTCTGTATAGATCTTACTTATGGCAATTTTTTTTTAGCTCTTTCCAACTTCTGATCCTCTGTTAATCTCAGAGGCAGCCATGGTGTTTGTTTTGGGACTTTTCATAGTCAAGAAGAACAGGAGCTTTAACAACCTTGTTATGCATGCACTCATGAACAAAGCCTTGTCATGCATGCACTCATGACTAAAGAATTAAGAAATTCAGTAATATCCTAGAAGATCCAAGAAATTCAAATGTTCAATAAGCATTTCTCTTGGAAAGTGCTCCCATAATTGTTTTTTATTTGTGATTTGAACTCCCCCCCCCCATTTAATCATGGCCAATTTTCAGAGGCTGACTGGACAAGTCCCACTGTTTTCTTGGTAAGATTTTTCAGAAATGGTTTGCCATTTCTTCTTTCCTAGGGATGAAAGAAAATGACTGGTCCAAAGTCATCCAGTTGATTTTGCTTCTAAGACAGGATTAGAACCCTGTTTTTAGCTTGATGCATTAAACACTAAACTGGCTTTCTGTTCAAACTATTCATAAAACAAATTAGGAAAACAACCCATAATGCTGTAATGAAGCAACATCATTTTCACAAGATAATAGATTTTATATTTTCAAAAATGAAGATATTGGGCACTACGCATTTCATTTCAACAGACCTAGACGTAATTATGTGTGACAGCTCACAGCATGTATATCAGGGCAGGCAACCTGATGTCTTTGAGTTGTACATGAAATCACACCATTCAATTAGCAGAGATCCTTCATGATCCCTTTTTGCTTTTGCCACTTTCAATAGCAAGCATGATCATCTCATTATTCAACCCCAACCTCAGTTCATTCGTATCCAGGTGAAAACCATCAGTTCAAATGCTGATCTTTGGAGAACCACTTGTGCACATCTTGCTAATGCAAGAATTGCTCATTTATTCCTGCAGTTTAAGCAGTGGCCACTCCAATGGGGCACCTGATTCCATGGCGGCTGACTTTAACAAGAAGGACTTTTTGAGGAAGTCCAAAGATACAATTGCTATTGAGCCACTTGGCTTATCTGCGCATTGACACCTTCCCAAAGGTCTGGAAGGTTAGAGAGTTATTGCGGAAACCATTTTGGTTTGTTTTCATCAAAGCTCATCTTTTTCCTATCAACTTGTTTTGTCTTTAGTAATATTTGCAATTAATTTCTCTGGAAATAACAGCACGCTGCCAACTTTTATCTATTCTGGACCCCAAGAAAACAAAACTACATACCATTTTCATTTCTTTGCCATCAGCTGTAAGTTCATTAAACTTGCTGATTGAGCTTATGTTTGTTTCCTTAATATTGAACTTTAACTAATTTGGAGCATTAGCACAGATGTTTCACTTTCTATTTTTATTTTTATAATGAGATCTTTTTTTAAGTATGAACTAGCAAAACAGAGTCATTAGCATATTTCAGAAGCAGCACTACTTATTTTGATTCCAGCTGCCATTTCATCCCATCCTACTATTCTGTTAATATATTGCTGTAAAAATTAAATGGGTACAGGTCAATACTGTGGGAGATTCTTTTCACAGTATTGTGAGAGCTGATAATAGGGTTGACAGTTGTGACAACAGAGGTACTTTCTGTTTTGTCTTCATAAAAGAGGCAAATGTCTGTCCCTTACAGAAAAGCAGAAGGAAACAGATGCAGTTTTTGCAAGCCTGGAATCGCTTATATATAAATGTCTCATTTGAAAGTAGAATATTTCTTGGGATTCTTGTGACATCAGATTCATTTCTCTTCTAATATATACTATGAATCTTACCTTTTAGATTCTCATTTCATGGATTGTTTCTAGCATAGATTGCAGTAAAAGCACATCTGATAACTATGGAACTTGTCACATTCTCTTTTTAGTTCTGAATCATTCTGACTGTCCAGATTCACTTCCTATGGTAGCTTCTTCTCCACTATAAGGTTTCTCAAAAGAATAACGACCCATTAGTAATATACAGTATACCACATTCTGGCTTGACCTGTAAAGGCTTTGCTGTAATCAGTGAAGCAGTTGCTCTTTCTGTTTTCTTGTGCTCTCCATTATTCATCTGCTGTCAGTTAGCTACTTTCCCGCTCCCCAACCTGCCTTTACTGCCATTTACCTGTTCATTTCACATTTCTTTCTCTATGCATGCTCTGGCTTTTTTTGTGAGACATTAAATAACACTACTTGTGCGTGAAATTAATCTAGAGGTTTAATAATTGCATATTCTCTTGTGTCTCCCTTCTTGGGCATAAACACTGATCTTTTTCACACAATATTTCTTGACAACAAAGCTGTAAATAAAATTAGATTTGCTTCTTGTCTCAGAGTCAGTGGATTTTTCATCTGTCCCTGTCTGACAGCTGGTCTACTGCCTCTTCTATCTCAAATGCTACTTGAGTTGGTTTCTGAATATATTCCCTTCCTCTACAGATGTTCCTATTACTCTATAATCCCATCATAAAGGGTTTCAGTATAGCAAGGGTCTTCAAACTTGGCCCTTTTATGACTTGTGGACTTCAACTACCAGAATTCCTCAGCCAGCATGCCTGGCATTGGCACCTTCCTTCAATCTATATTTTTTTTCTATTAGATCTCTCCCACAATTACTGTTGGGTATCCTTACTTTAGCAATAAGGTATCCTGTGAGTGCTCTACTTTAAAAAAAACTTCATTTTTCTAGTTATTTTTCTCTGTAGAGAGTTTTTCTATCCTTTTTTGCTTGACAGTAATGTCAATTTCAGTCATCTTACTTGTTGCACGAAGCTTTAATTTTCTATCTTTCTCTGCTATTGTGAGGCCTTATTTTGAAAACTATGAGGATTTTTTCCCTCTTTGTATTGGTTTTCAGGTCTCCTTCTTAGAACGCCTCAGGCTGCCTGTCGTTTATATTAAAATATTAAATAAATGCCTCATGTTGGTCCCAGATTCTGTTTCTTTGTTCTTCTGATCAAATCTTATTGGCATACCTGCTCTCTTTATTTTTCTGAGTTTAACCCATATATTAAACACCAATAATTCATGGTCTCTGCTCCATAATCTGCAGTTGGAAGTATCCCGGCTTACAAGATTTCATTTTTCAATTGTTTGTTTCCTATTGTGTAATTGACTGGATTCAAGGTTTATATCTCAAGTGAAGTCCAAGTGTAGTATCTGTATTTGAAGTAGTTTCTGTAAATAAACAAATAATTATCTTTACAGAATTCTATTTTTTTTTGCTTTATTGTGTTAATTTAGCCAGCTTGATTATCAGATTTCCTCACATTTTTGCATTCCAGACAGTCATTTGTAATATTTATGTCCTTTACTGATGCTACTTCTTGTATTATCCATAGAATTCTTCCATGTCCACTATTGAATCTGTAGGAGATGTATATATGGATATATAATCTTGATATCAATGGATATCTGCTAATTATAATGGATAAGATACAGTCATTTATTGGATTATAGCTCAATCAATATTCAACAGTGTCTTTTTTTGCAAATTATTGCCAATTCTTTGCCAGGAGATTAATCCTGACTCTGTGTCAATTACACTCCTTTCAAAATTTAGATTGGGCAGAGAGAAATAGTTGCAGATGGTAAACTAATAGGACATACATAGAGACTTCCTTTGAGGCTATTTTATGAGATAGACATTAAACTGCCAAGCAGTTTATTTAAAAGTGGTGAATCAACTAGAATCAAGTGAATTGTATGAATCACTCAAGGTCTGTTTGCAAACATACATGTATCTATGCATAAATCTGCTTGAAACTAAAATTAAAATGTGTTGGTATGTGCTTCTGACACAGAAGTAGTAGCAGTGCTTGAAATTAAAAAGGAGTTCTATAACCAATTCTCCCTCTTGTTCTGCAAGGTGGCAAGTATTCAAGTCAGCAAACAAATCTTTGGTCTGAGTGAGACCGAGCCGGGCAGCTTCCTTTATTATGCCCCCTTTGATGGCATCCTGGGTCTGGCTTTCCCTAGGCTGGCTGCCTCTGGCGCCACTCCTGTTTTTGACAACATGATGAGTGAAGGTTTGGTATCCCAGGATCTCTTTTCCGTCTTCCTGAGTTCGTAAGTAACAATGATTTGTGCACATTTTTCTGAAGGAACTAATTATCTGTTGCCAGAAGGGAAAGGGCATTGATGCCAACCATATTACCTTCGAAGAAACTCAGCAGTAGACAATCCTTTTCAGTTTTACAGGTTTTAAGTGCATTACTGCAACTTGTCAAATATTATGAAAAATCCCCAGTGAGGTTTTTTTTTTTAAAGCATGCACATCACAATAGCAATATCCCTATAAAGCAGGGGTGTCAAACTCGCAATGTCACGTGACATGTCATGACGTATCGTGACTTTTTTTCCATTGCCGGCAATGAGATGGGCGCGGTTTCACCATGACGCATCCAGCCCGCAGGCCGGCAGTTTGACACCCCTCCTATAAAGTGATATGCATATAACTATTCACCATGAATAGCAGGTGGCAACATGTAAGTGACTATGGTTGATCATCAAAAGACTAACCAGGGTTAGTTCATTTAGTATTTGGATGGGAAACTATAAAAAAACTTCCAGGACTGCTGGCTAGAGCAAGGGTCCCCAACCTTTTGGGCACCAGGGACCGGTGCCATGGAGAAAGGTTTTTCTGTGGACCAGAGGGGATGTGATTTTGAATACTGCCTGTATCCCGAGGATGGAGCTTTGCTTGTTTGTGTGGCCCACTTGTTGGTATGCTGTGGACCAGTGCCGGTCCATGGACTGGGTGTTGGGAACCCCTGGGCTAGAATATTAAAAATATTTTAAAAATTCCTGGAGCAAGTCAATGGTAAATTACTTTTAACCCCTGTGAGTTCTGTTAGGCTGCCTCATTGTGGCAGAAGGGATATTCCTGAGAAGGAGAAGTGAAGAATACTAGGAATATATTCCAGGAGTATATAAAGGTAGTCCTCGACTTACGACCATTAGTTGAACAACAAGTTTTGAAGCACCAAAAAGAGTGATTTATGACTGTCCTTGCATTTACAACTATTGCAGCATCCCTATGGTCACCTGATCAAAACCCAGGTGCTTGGCAACTGGCATGTATTTATGACAACTGCAGCATCCTGGAGTCATGTGATTGCCATTAGTGACCTCTTCATGAGGCTTTTGACAAATGAAGTAAATGGGGGAAGCAGATTCATTTAACAACCATACGATTTGCTTAACTGCAGTGATTCACTTAATGATAGCAGCAAAAAAGTCCACAAGCATGACTCACTTAATGATTGCCTCACTTAGCAATAGATATTCTGGCCCCAATTGTCCTCATAAGTTGTGGACTGCCTGTATTCGCAGCAGGTCACCTGAGGCATAATGGGTATCACAGTTGCCTGGCGACAGTCATTAAGCTCCTGGCAGTATAGAAAGATGCTGGAGGCAGATGATCACTTTAGTGGCAATGGCTAAGGCATCTTTTCTTACTGTATGGAAAAAGGAAATGATAAACCACTACAAAGTAAACTCATGAGTAGATAATGTATATTGAATGACAATATAGTGCCTCATAATGAACCTTTTAGGTTGAGTTACATTCACATACTATTGAGGAAAAGCTGAGGGACTTTTGAAGTACAACTAGTGTTTATTACACAACTAGATTAAACATGCAGGGATGTCTAGTTGCTGATCTTGCCAGGCAGAAAAAGAAAACCTGCCAGAAAATCTGAAGTATAAGCCAGTTCATACCAACCCAAATAAAGAAAGTTTAGCACAGAATAGAAATTATAATACCATATTCTTAATTTCACATGCTAGCAAAATAAAACTTAGGATCAACCAATGCGGGTTACCTGGAAGAGGAAATGCCAGATGTTCAAGCTGGCTTTAGAAAATGTTGAGGAATAAGACAATAAAGACCAGGACTTTTTTTCTCATAGAACGCCCAGAACAGAGTTCCGCCACCTTTTTTGGATAGAACCTTGTAGGGTAGGCAAGGCGGATTGTATGACGTGTGTGAGTTGCAGCACCTTTTTTTTTTTTTTTACAAAAAAAGCACTGATAAAGACAATTTATTGTTGATGCATGCTGAATAATTGAAAAAACAGCAAAAAAGAATTCATGCGAGCTTGTATAGATTTCAGAAAGTCCACTGACTGTGTTGACCATGATCAAAATGTCCTTGGGAAATTTAGAACCACAGAGCATTTTATCTCCTTACATGAAACTTATACATGGACAGTAATCAGTAGACCAGGGGAATATAGTGGAACAGATTGGTGCCAGGTCAGCGAAAGATTAAGATAAAATGTACACCCTTTTATTTATGAAAGGTTAGAGCAGGGGTCTTCAAACTTGGCCCTTTTATGACTTGTGGATTTCAACTCCCAGAATTCCTCAGCCAGACATGCTGGCTGAGGAATTCTGGGAGTTGAAGTCCACAAGTCATTAAAGGGCCCAAGTTTGAAGACCCCTGAGTTAGAGTATATGCCGAATATATATAGGGAAGGAAATGGACTGAAAGAATCTGTAGTTTTACAGCTCCTACACCAATTCCCGGAGCTTTCCCTTTCTTAAATTCCATTTCTTCAACAGCATTTACCCCCACCCTCATAATCACTAGATAGAAGCCAAGAGATACAACTCTCTAACTCTTTGCTACTACCAGTATTTTATAGGTGAAACAATCAACTAACTAACCCATCATTTTAAGGATATTATTTTAAAAAAAGATTCAATTGGTCAACAGTATCATAGGAAAAGAAAGAAAAGAAAAACATTTGCAGTTCCTCTGATTGACATGTTCTTATTTGTTCATTTTTCAGCGATGAGCAAGGTGGGAGTTTTGTAATGTTTGGTGGCATTGATGACTCCTACTATACTGGAAGTCTCAACTGGGTGCCCCTTTCCGCTGAACTCTACTGGGAGATCACTCTGGACAGGTAACTCAATTCCTACACCTTCAGCCTTTACATCCCCGCTTTGCATAGATGCAATTGAAAACAAAGCGCAGGATAATGGCAAAAGAAGATGCCTGTCAGTTCTACAAAGTAGGCCAGATTAGAAAATAGATGCTTTAACGATTATAGGAATATAGTTTAGCATTGTGATATATTATAATAGACTCTTGAAAGCCTGCCAGAGTTTCCTTTTGCCCCCCCCCCCTCTTGTAGGAAAAAAAAATCAAGGTGGATTATTTTGAATCTTTCTCATTCTTCTTCCTTTCCCATGGCAAAGTTTTATAATTTCAAAAGGTCGAGATAGTTTTCTTTCTCTCACCTTTACCTATTTCTTTTCAGTATCACCGTTAATGGTCAATCCATTGCTTGTTCCGGTGGCTGCCAAGCTATTGTTGACACTGGTACCGCCCTCCTGGCAGGTCCCACCAATGGCATTGCTAGCATTCAGAACTTCATTGGTGGTAGCCAAGATTCCAATGGTCAGGTAAGCTTGATAACAATGATATGAGACTATAATTCATATACATAAATAATTAATCATTACCAGTAATGAAAAAATGTTGGGAACATAGAGTAATAAAAAGTATTAAAAATGATCAGGTTAAAATGTCGGATTTCCAAATACAAACAAATAAAGTTTTGACTAGATTTAACTGTTTGACAGTACACTAAATTTAACTCCTGTTGAAAAGAAGAAAGCATGGATAATTTATGTGGTCGTACTAGAGGATTGGAGAAGACAAAGAATTGGATAAGATCACAAAGCATCAAGGTCTGAAAATCAGAATTGAAAGGTTATAAAGTAAAGCAGCTGTGGTGGTTCCAGTGGTTATCAGTACACTGGGTGCTAGATCAAAAATTCTTGGATGACATTTAGAAAATCTGTGCATTGACAAAATTTCCATCTGTTAATTGCAAAAGGCTACATTACTTGGTTCCACCCACATGTTACACTAATACATTGTGACATCCTAGGTTCTTCAGAAGAACTCAATACGTATGAAGGCCAATACTAGCTAAAGAACTGGCAATCGTGATTTCCACATTATTGTGTATATAATAATTCTTAAAGGTTGAGAGAGGAAGACAGACCAAGCGTATTGTGCTAAGATATCTTTACAGATCTATGGTTCACTGATTTTGTGAATCTTAAGAAGAGGTTTTTCAGGTAATTGCTAGTGTTTTTTGCTATTGTTATGTACAATCCATTTTCTCCCTCTATTCCTATTCTTATGCAAGATTCTTGGTTTGCCCTAATTTCCTAATGTGATTAAGCTAGGGAAATGCCATTTTCAGCCCTAGTTAATCAGCAGTCTCATATAATTGCCATGCAGAATAGAGTGGTGCATGTATGGAAGACAGTGTTGCTCAGATCAATGATTGCAAAGACCATTACACCAGACCCTCATCATGGACCATGTATCCTCCACCAAGCCCTCGCTTCAAGTTCCTTTGATTCCTCTACTAGACCAAGATTACACATAAAAATGAAAGAAAGCAAAACCCATAAAGATACAAACTGATTATTACTAGACAGGCTCACCTTCTTCCTCTCCTGATATTGTTCTGCTGACATGTGGTAGGCCTTCCACACTGCAAACAACTATCACTTGGAATATAATCCTGAACTGAGGTCATCACTGTTGAATCTAAGGACATCTTATTCTAATGCAGGACTGAGCAATTAATTTTCTCAAGGAACCACATGAGAAACTGGGACTATTGTGGAGGGCTGAACCAGTAGGGCTATGAAGGTGCATAGGCACACACGTATGCACATACGTAAATTGAAAAAAAATAGCAGTCATCTTCAAAATAAAAGCAATCCACATGGGACAGTCAGAGAAAGCCAAAAGATCAAAGGTGGCCTGGGGGGGGGGGGGGCTGTAAAATGCCCAGGTCTGTTCTAATGCATTTTTTTCTGGATAATTTCTAGTCCATAACGCCCAGATTTTTTTTCTTTCTCAAATATTATGGGGCTGCTAATATGTGTTTTCTGTTCATCCTACAGTACATAGTCAACTGCAATGCTATCAACCAACTGCCTGACATTGTCTTCACCATCAATGGCATTGAATACCCTGTGCCTGCCAGTGCCTATATTCGCCAGGTAAGATCTGTGATTTATCCAAAAATTATCTCAAATGATTTAGTTCATACAATAAACCTCTAGAGAAAAAAAAAATCTGACCCATAAAAGAATTATAGCAAGACAATCTCAGTCAGTTATATTCAAGTGGGAGACATCTTCTGACATTTGAGGTGTTTTTGATAACTTTTAGCAAAGCACTATTTTCATTATGCATTAAGAATTAAACTCTGCAACTCTGAACATGAAATTCAACACATTTAGTGATAAGATTATTCTCATATAGATCATACTCATTTTTAGTAGATCTCTTTTCTCTATAGTAGACCATCCCCAATATGTTAGACTTCAATTCCCAGTGTTCGGCTATCTAGGGGATTATCAGAATAGAAATCCAACACATTTAAAGAGAACCAGGTTGAGGAAAGCTGTAGGAGATTATTTTACAGAAAGAGTATTGTATCAGCTTATCATTTGGGACTCAAGAATAACTACTGTGCTTAATCACAAATATTGCAATATAAACCTAATGTTCATAGTATGGAAGATATACGTAAAGTGATTCTTTCCTTACGGCATTATTATTTCATTACGCCACAGTCCAAGGAAAGCACGGTTAAATGAAAAAAAAAAAAAAAAACAAGTATGATTCTCTGTTACATATTATTCATGGGGCTCTTTAGAAAGTTTCATACAGAGTCTGAACATGATTCTCAGCATCCCTGTCTTTCCCTTGCATATAACTATGATACAATCATATTCTAGCAATGATTACTTTTTCCATGGCATTGCCTTCACTTTCTCCCCAACCCATGTTTTAGTCAGTGTTAACTATACCAGGATGAACATAGCATTTTCCCTTACTCCAACATAAGTCAACAGCAGGCTTAAGGTACGCAAAATCTGTAAGGGTTTGTCACCCATCACCTTGGAGGGAAATCAGATGACTCCAAATTTAAATAAGGTAGACAATGGAGACAACCTATTCAATGCAAATATGGTTTTCTGTTACTCCAGCATGGATAAGGAACAACTCAACAGGAGAGGGAGGGAATGTCAGCTTCCAAATGCTTTGTAATGGCTCTCTATTTAGGCCATTCAAATTCATCATTTATTTGAACTTTTCTTTCAGTTCCAAAGTTATTGCCAGAGTGGCTTCCAGGATATACCCTTCCAAGCTGATTTTTGGATCCTTGGTGATATCTTCATTCGTCAGTACTATTGTGTCTTTGACCGAGCAAACAACCAGGTTGGCCTGGCTCCTATAGCACAGAAATAGCAACAGCTTATCGGTCATATTTTAGCCTAAGGATAATCTTGACTGTTTGGAATTAAATTTGGCAATTATGCTCCTGATCCCCATGCTTTAATGTCAGCAACAATAAATAAATATAAAAATAAATGACTTTATATTCACTGCACACTAAATGCACGTCAACTAACAAACTGAAGTTAATCCATTTCAAGTGAAATTTCCCAAGTGAATATGTCCAACCAAGGGGAACCCACCAACATTGTGGATAATGGATATCACTGTCAAACAACTCTTAATTTTAGGAAGTTTTTTCCAGCATTCAACAAACATTTAACTTTCCTACAATTAGTAAAGAAGTCAATAAATATACTTTCTAAAGCTTATATTCCTCTATATAGAAAGCAAGCCTTTTAGAAATGAATTATATCAAACTATAAAAAAAATCCAGTTTAAGAATATTCGGATTAAATTTATTTGCCATAATTTTTATTATAATATACATTTTAGTTTTTAAAACCAACCATTTTGTTTAAATGGAAATGTTCACAGCACAGTAATACGAATTTTTTATATCAATATATGAAAAACAGAGTGTAGGCATTTATTTTGACATGGCAACATACCAAGGTAAATTCACATAGAAATGTCCTTTAATTCCTGCCCAAATGAATACATGCATGTGTGTAGTGGCAATCTCAAAGGGGCTTTATCATATCTATCAATAAAACTTTGCATGCAGATGAGTCACATTGTCCAAGAGGTGGCATCGAGTGATGTGCCCTAATCTGCCCTAATTTAGGAAATTGAGGGGGGGAGGAAGAGTGGCAAGAGAAAAGGATATAGCTGCCTTGATAACCAGACAATTCACTTTAAGCCATAATCCATTGTTAGACCAAGGCATAGAGATATGAGGCTTAACAGGTTTTTATTCCCCCTTCCACAAATGTGGTTCCATGAAAGAAAATTGGAATCTGGACCAGTGAATTTTTAATCTCCTCATGTTTTTCATTTTTAACCTAGCATAAAATCATTACATGCACTATGAGGTAGGGTGGTTTTGATAGATCATAAACTGAATCAGTTTGAGAACCTTAGCAAAGTCAGTCAGAATGTCTGTGGCATAATGTATCAAACACTTCAGACTCCTACAGTTAATACGTGGATTTGCCTGTCCAGCTACTACTGTTTTTGCACTTTCTGGATTTTCAAAAATTGTACTTTCTGGATTTTTAAAAATTGCAGAGAAGAATGCCCTTTCTGAGTAATGATTAAGGCTTAGAAGCCAGAAGCTAGAGTTGAAGATAGATGGGCTCTACCTGCCTCAAGGAAGTTGAGCCAGCCAGCGAAGGAAGAACTGTGGATATATTTCTAATCACTTTTCAAATTGCCACTGGGTGTGTCCAAAGTTATATTTCATGTGGCTGTGCTGCCCTTTGGATTCAAAGGCAAAAGGGTGCTCTAGAACAAATGCATCTTTTCCCAATAACACACTATTACAGCTGCAAAGGATAGTCACGTGATACAGGGAAAAGATGCAGTTGCTTTATGGAGACACAGCACCATTGTGGCTTTGAAACTGAAGCACTGCACTGCTCTAGTACAGTACATAATCCTGCACATTTACATCAGACCCAAGGCTACTGAGGAACAATGATGCTGGTTATTAAATTTTAGGAAGCACGTAAGTTACATAAATGATTATCCAATGAAGACTTACTGAACATCTCACAAAATTAGAATTCCCAGAGACTGAAATGGAGGAAAACAACAGCAGTCTTTTTAGTTTCAATTATCAAAAGTTGATATGCCCTTACAAAACACCCCTTTGAGGTAGTTGACAAAATTCAGTCATGCTGCCTATTTTATGAATGGGCTGCACATGATTTTCAAAGCCTTTCGAAAACTGAATATTCCTGAAGACTTTAGTGGCTGGCAAATTTCACCCAAGAAATGTTAAACAAAATTCTCATAAGCTTAGCTTGGAAATGTACTTTTAACTATGACATAGAAAAATACATTTACCTTTAGGTATGATGCTATGATTTTAATGTTCATAAAATATATTTCATATTATAATCTGAATTGCAGAATTCTATATACACCAGAACAAGGAAGTGGAAATTTTCCACTATTAAAATAGTGTTGTACATACCAGTATGCAGCGCAGTGTTGTACATACCAGTATGCAGTACATTGTCTATAAAACAATGTTTAGTTCATTTCTGACTTCATGGAAAGCTAACCACATTTCTTCAATATGTATAATCAGTCCTGAAATGTCCATATAAGACAGTAAGCAGCAACAGAATGTCTATATTAGACAAAGTGTGAAAAAATTTATTATGTGACTTCTGGCACAAATTGTTGCTTCCCTTGCTAGCATTAGGCCAGCCACACAACATGCAAAACAAGAGGTTGAATTAGCCTATGATTCTACTACTTGTCATGCTTCCATTCTGAAATCTTAATGCTTTACTGGAATGTTTATACTGATTTTGCAAATAAAAGCCATTTTTCTATTGTCTTCTAAATCCAATGAGGTATTAGTTAAGTAAGAACTTCAATGCAATCAAGAGCTGAAGTGAGGACCTGCTTTCTAGGAAGCCAGAAAGTGATTATTGCCATGAATACGTAGTGGGAAATCTAGCAAACAGCAACCATATAGGCAGATGCTCTTGTTTTTATGAGATTAAAGTGGTTATGTTCCTCTTATTCAAAATAATCTCCAATCTATGGAGATATATCAGTGAGGCTATTCTCATCACTAGAGGTTAATTTAGAGTTGTTCCCTACATTTAGGTGGCGCAAAGAAAAATGTGTTATGTGGGTTGGGCTACTAGGAAGCTCTTGAAAAGAATCTAGATTAGAACTGGCTGAAGAAGAAAATGTTTCAGCCAGAGGTTGCAAAAGAAGGTTATGAATGTTCGAACGCTGAAATAAGGCCATTATAGACTTTTCGAGATTAGCTGGAGTGGATGGAACAGAAGTATGAGCAGCAGGGGGGGATGCAGTGGTTCTGCTTGTTCTTAAATAAAGAGAAGACAGGCTGGAATGAGTCATGGAGGACCCAGCTGATTTGCTAGGAGGATCTCCAAAGCTCTCTGGATTATTTAGAAATGGTACAATGGACTCCGGTTTTATTTGAGGAATTGCTGAGTGGCCTAGCCAAGAAGGAGGGATGATACTTGGTGGTTCATTGACATGCAACCTAGTGGTCTCTCCTGGTCTGTTTTGGTGGAGTCCAACATTCCCTAGTGCAATTGGGTTCGTAAGCACAGTCTTCTGATCATTTGCATTACTTGCTTCAAGATGATCCTCTGGAGTAAGTGAGGCAATGTTAGGGGTAGAGCTATCAGACACCAGGGCTATAGGACCTCTTTGAAGATTTTGCAAGGGTGTCTCTGCTGCTCCATCTTCCAAGACAGGGCTGGCTAGTCTATTCTCCAGGGAAGCCAAATCATCTGATGTGAAAAAAGCAAACTAGATTGAATATTCATTGCTCTGAAGCACTGTGACAAATGTATTACTTATTACTTGGATTCTAGGCTGTACAAATCTCAATCCATAGTGAATTTAGCTGTGCATGAGCATACACAAACATGTGCAAACACTTCCCCATCCTGCTGGATCACAAAGGTAGATGTAATCACTCATGAACAAAGGATCATTTCATACAGCTTGAACAGAGCATAATTGGGGAACCTAGAAAGTACGTTGTAACATCTGCAGCTTTGAATATGTTAAGAAACCTCATTACAGAACATCTGAATAGAAAAGTGCTTGCACACCAGTGACTGTCAGAAGATGGAAGGCAGACTTTTTTAGAATTTGTTCATCAGATTTCCCCAAAGAGTCTCAAATACCCTATAATCACAAATATAATATCTCCTCTGTTCTGACTTCCACTGCCATCCCAGACAATTTAACTTTGCACAACAGACTTAATGCAGCTTCTGTAATCTGCATAGAATATTTATATATTTCCTTAAAAGAAGTTGTATATTTTTTTTATTTTTTATTTTTAACCAACAAAACAAAACAAAGCAAAACATAACACACATACACACACAATATATACTCCTCCTTTTTTTTTTACAGCAATTGCATAACGGTAATCTATTATTTACATTTCCCCCCTTATTCTTCTTTAGAATATTTGTCCTTATTGCCTCGTTATTTCTTATTTACATTTTTCTTCCTTCATGTTCTACTTAAAAGAAGTAGTATAATATCACATAATTTTTTGCTGTGCTCCAAATTGTTGCATCCTTGTTGTAGACCTGAGAGGACGGAACAAAGAGCAATAGATTCCTTAGACCAGGGGTAGGCAATCTTGGCTCTTTTATGACTCATGGACTTCAACTCCCAGAAATCCTGAGCCAAGCTCAGGAATTCTGGGAGTTAAAGTCCACGAGTCATAAAAGAGCCAAGGTTGCCTACCCCTGCCTTAGACAGATGTGACAAAAAAATACTTACCCATGACTTCATTATTTTGGCAGTCTGGGCAGCAATGAATTATAGGACCAAAGGGCTCTGTACAAGTCTTTGGACAAGTCTTCTTCTCACAGCTCACCTCCCCAAGCTGAAGGGAGAGAAAGTAAAAGAGGTGTTCAAACCCAGCAAGAAACCACTGATTGCAGCAGGTGAATCCATTGCTTTTCAATGTCCTCCTCTCCTAGGAATGTTCTATTTTACTAGGATTACTATACTGTACTGTACTGTACTGTACTGTACTGTACCATATCGTACTATACTAGTATTGCATGGCATAGTTGGAAGTTACACAAAGATATGTAAGGGAAAAATTAAATTTAGAGCTTGAATACAGTATGTTCTCTTTGTTGTAAATTGCTGTGAAACCTGGATCCTCAACAAGGTTGAAGAAATTATGCTCTTGAGATATCATGCTAGAGAAAATTGATGAGAATATAATGGATTGTAATACTGGGAGAAGCAATACCAAACTGATCACTGGAAGCACTAATAATGAAGCTGTTGTGTATTGTGGGAAGAGTTACAATTATATTGCTTGAAGACAGGGCCTCTGTTGTTTTTAGGCCAGGGGGAGTTATGGCTGTTGCTTAGCGGGATTTCAACTGCTACTGATCAGATTTCTTTTGCTTCTTTTTTTTGACCCGTACTATACTATATTTATCTACTATAGATTAATTAAGTTATTTGCTGTGTTTACTATGAATAAATGTTTGTTTAGAGACTCTGCAGTTTCTGCTGCCTACCCTGCAGACTATTCAACAGAAATTAAAGCAATTATACTGGATACATAATGGAAAAACAAAAGTTATGAGAGAAGACACACACACACACACACACACAGAGAGAGAGAGAGAGAGAGAGAGAGAGAGAGAGAGAGAGAGAGAGAGAGCTGGAAAAATCAGAGGCAATCAAGAAACAGGCTGACAGGAGACAAGGTAACTGGTGGAACAAGCAGGAGTTTATAAGGACTCAAAGAAGAAATGGTTGACCTATAATACTGTCAGTGGAGTCATCAACCACATCTCAGTGAGGCCTATTTAAGATTTCAAAAGAACAACAGGAAAGAGTGTAAAGAAATGGAGGGCATTAGAACCTCTTACTTCAAAACCTTCACATCTCACCTGGCAGGTACAATAAACACAGGGTTCATCTTCAGGAACAAAGTTGTGTCCATTGATTACTTTTCTTCCCTTGTAATTGCAGTCTATGGGGAAACATGCATAAGAAATACAGTTTCAACCATGAACATACTATCCAGAGACCTGCTTATTAGGCAACATGACCAGATTATAATATAGTGTCATATAAAAATTCAATACTAAATATTACTCAAGATTATTGGAACATCCCAATTGCTGACTGTTGCACAAATGATTGTATAGATGAGAATTCCTACAGCAAGAGAGGTAAACAACCCATCAGATATCAAGCTGAATATTTAAGAATCAAACCAGTTACTAACAAACTTCTCTAACGTTTTAATTTTTAGTCTCATCGAAGCAATAAAGACCATGCATATATTTTTACCAACTATACAGACTGTTTAGTTTCTACATAAATAAATATCAAATGCAGGCACACTGTTTTAAACAAATTACACTGCATGAAAATATGAAACACACAAGTTATGCCAACTTTTCATTAGTTCACAGAGTAGAACATAGTACAGTACAGTATACAAAAATAAATCTGTAAGAGAACAATGCATGTTTTTTTTTAAAAAGTTGCAGTCCTTTGATTGCTCACTTTTTTAATAAGATTTTTTCCAAGCTTGATTTATAGCATTGCTTACTTCTGGACTGGCCAAAAATTTCAGTTCCGGCACCATTCCAACTAAAATTTACTTCAAAGCATTATTCTGGCTTTTTAGTGCCTTTTACTAGCAATTCCCTCCCTTCAGCTTCTGCTCTTTTTATTGCTTCCTTTTCAATAAGGAAGTGGCATTTCAACTAAATTTTCTCCTGCAACATAATCAGTTCTTATGTACATTGGGAGAAGCAGGATGCTGCAATGCTAAAATAAGGTTATTTTATTATTATTTATTTTCTCCAATACTTTTCTTTAATTCCATCTTAATAGCAAAATAACTACAAATAATTGTGCTTCAAATGCAAATCAAGATGCAAATTCTCTTGAAAAGCAATAGCAAAAAATGCAATTAGTAGTACAGAATATAGGTTCCATTTGGAATAGTCTTTTAGAAAAGTTACATTGCTGTGATGCTTACCATGACAAATTGGACAGCACTCGCCCTCTGGATGGAAAGGGTATGTACAGGATACGACACAGTCCACAGGAGAACAGGCTACAGAGCCCAGCTATAAGATCCATACACACACATGCAGACGCATGCGCAAGCACACACACACACACACACACACAAAGGAAGAACCTATATTAATGGCAAAGCAATATTATTATACTACAATTTAAAATCTTCATCTCCTAACACATTTTTGTTTAGGTTTCCTCCCCTCCCTTTTTCCTTATTTCTATTTCTTCCTCCGCCCCCCCCCCCCAGAATAGCGCATTCCTTAGTAATAGTTGTAGTCAGGGATATACTTCTTGTAGTATTACAGAAGAATGTATTTCAAAAATAGCAAATAGATTTGTTTTCTAAGCGTCAAGCGAGGTGTGTTAAATATAGAAGAAAAGGGCAAATGGAACATTATGAGCAATTTTCAGCTTATTCTTTCTTGTGACTTTTCCCTTGAACTGACTCAAGTCCTATTATTTCAGTAAGAAATGTCAGAGGGTTAATTCTTCCCCTTTTTAGTCATATCCAATTTTCTATGTCCCTACTCTCTTGGGATATCCTGGGATGTTTTTACATGAAGTCTCGCAAAACCCCATGCATATAAGCATGACATAAATTACATCTGTATCTCTCTGAAAGGTTAAGAGAGAGTGGAGTGGATATACCATTTTGATTCCCTCTTGGGAAGTGGCTTCTTAGCCCAAAGAAGGTTATTAACAGTTTCTTTCTTTATTTGTTTGTTTGTTTGTTTAGAAAATGTATATAGCCACCTACTCACTCACAGAGACTCTTGCTCACTCACAATTACCAGAGTTTTAGCATTTTTTTCAGCTGGGTAAGAGAAGCAGAGGACTTACCAAACAAATGCAACTTAGACACGGGTCCAAGACAGAGGGGAAGGTTTCATTGTTATAGAAGATCTTCCCTGCATAGGTACAACCTTTTGTTGTGAAAGGGAAAAACGTATTTACTTGGTCTACTTGAGCCAGATGGCCTGTATAAAAACCTTCAAGAAAGCATAAGGCAGGTAGACATCATATGGATGGATGCTTATTTGGGATGGGTGGACAAAATAACTGCACAATGCCTTGTGATGAAACTTTAGGAAATGTTCATCTGAAAGTACTCAAGTGTAATGTAAACAGCATCTGCTACTGTTAAGTATTGAAAAAAACAACTACCACAAAAAGTAATCGTTTTGGAAATTATTTGCTCGGCTTACAATGACTTTGCCTATACATATTGTCTTCTCATAATGAGTACCAGGATACATTTTTTTAAAAGCAAGAATGTTCATTTGAGATAGGTTTTTCACATTTATACATGAACAGAACAATATTCTGTCTACTTTAAAAGCAAAAGGCAGAGTCAAGAAGCAGAATTAAATGGTATTTGATCTTTTATTTATTTATTAAATGTGCGTGCTACTTGAAGCTCAGTGACTCTGGGCAGTCTTTTTAAGTTTTGATTGTCTTCATTTTCTGTACAATGTTGGTATAAAAATGTTAAAGATTATGTATGCATTGTTTTTCAAAACAACTGTATTTATGTTGTACAATATGGATGTTCTAGGAACACCCCTAAGAAAAAAACAGCTTTTTAAAAGGTGGAATTTTACCTGCTGAACAATCTGGACAGCATTGTCCAGGGATTTGGATTGGATGAGGACACATCTCCAAACAATCTGTCCTCTTACAGCTCACTGAACCATCTGCCTGTAACAGAAAAGAACTTCACAGAAACCCACAGCACAAAATGCTGGTCTATTTTGGACAGATAGGCCCTCCATTGCCTCCACTCCCCAACAGAAGTATCAGTCATCTATTAGTTGCCTTCAAAAGGTTCTAGAAGTCTTCTGTTATTTTACACCCAAATAAGGTGAGTGTTGAATGGTATCATCTTGGGAGAATTGATTACAATCTTAGCATTCATATCCTAGAGCCTCACTAGTACTCTGCCTGCACTCTGCAATTAGGATTAGCCCAGAGATGCCTAGTTCCAGGCATCAGTGCAATAACAGAGAAGGTGTCATAACTTCTACCCAATGAGGCCTATGGGGACATCCTAGCAAATGAGCAGGCAGCATCTGGAATGCTGGGGAAACTGAGAAATTACTATCGAACCAGGAGATTGCAAGCAGTGAAGAAACAATGACAAGAAAGGAAATGCAAGACTGTTAAGTGTGGTTCTATTGATTTATAATGTGAATATGCACTATTCTATCTGGCCAAAGGTGTCAAAGCATAGAGAGCACCAGTGCTACCCCTCCCTCTGTATAATTCTAAAAATGCAAAATTTCACATTGGTAGGAGGTGATGCCATCATTCAGTGTAGCCAAGGGGTGCCATGATATACACTGGAGTCAACATTGCCTGCAGACAATGGGCACTGTCTCTCCTGGCCATTTTGGTTTAGACTGCAGGAAAAAAACAGATCCCTGATGGCTAGTGGATCTGCTCATGTAATGCATAGCTAATATTTGTCTGCCTCAGGCTGATTTTTGAAAGGCTCTTTCTGAAATAGCAATAGACCAATGTCTTTTGTGAATTGCTGGTGTTGTCAGTAGTCAATGGTAGTCGTTTTCCTCACTGACAGACAGCACTTGGTATGAGGAGAAATTAAGCCATGTGGTTTCCTTTCACTTTCCTTAACTTGTCCAGCATTCAAACAGTAAAACGGCAGCCTCATTATTGAAGCAGACTATGGATTGTCAAAGAAGGCAGCACAATATACGCAAGCATAATTTTTTGTCCAACTAGATACTGGAGGACTGCATTTAATACAAATATTTGACTCTGTCCAAGATAAAAATATGATGATGAGGATGAGGTTGATATAATAATTGGTCTCTCCACATGTCATCCTTAGTGAAGCATGCAAACCAGCATCTGCATTTCCTGCATCGGATGAGGAGAGCACATCTTTCTCCTTCTGTCCTGGCCCCTTTTTACAGAGGCACAATTGAAAGCATTTTAACAAACTGAATCACTGTCTGGTCTGGTGGCAGCAGTGCCTCATATAGAAGGTCCATACAGAGAGTGGTACTGTATATTCTGGCGTATAAGACGACTTTTGAGAGTGTCGAAACAGCCTCTGAACTCAGGGGTCGTCTTATACGCCGAGTCGTCTTATACACCGGAAATAAGGTAGTTTCTGGCGTATAAGACAACTTTCTAGGCATGCGACTCGGCATCGATTGTCTTGCGACTCGGCGTCGATCGTCTTGCGACCCGGCGTCAAACTAGGGGGTCGTCTTATACGCCAGGTCGCCCTATACGCCGGAATATACGGTAAGTACAGCCAAGAAGATCATAGGAAGCTCACTCCCTGGTTTTCAGGATGCTGCTTATAAGTGCTACGTGCTTAGAGCTCAAAGCATTGTTAGAGACCCCCACACACCCACTTCACGGTCTGTTTCTGTTACTCCCCTCTGGGAAGAGGTTTCGAAGTATTTCTAGCAGGACTACCTGATTCTGTAATAGCTTTGTTCCCTATGTCATCCGTTTGGTAAACACAAGATTCGTGTTTCTTGCCATGTACATGTATACATAACCGGAACTAGACTGTTGTTTCTCTGTGTCATATAATATATGTGGGTATATGCATAATTCTGTATTTATTTATTTATTTTTGTCATATTTATGTAGTGTATATCGGAGGTGGTGACCCTTTGAAAGCTGTATGCAACGAAATTTCATTTTAATGTATGCCAATTAGTGTACATTCAAAGTGAAAATAAAGTTATTATTCTATAATAATAATAATAATGTGTGATAGGAGATTGGAAGATTGAAACTAAGTGAAGTAGAGCAGGTTGTCATTCACCTGGCAGATGCATAACTCACAGGGATCACCCGGTGACCAGAGCTGTCCTACTGGAAATTCAATTCCATTATCATCTATAAAGCAACCTGTCCAGAAAAGAGAGACAATGAAAAGAAACATCTCAGAAAAATAAAAAGGCTCTCTCTTGCCAGCTTGCTTGCTAGAAGAAGTATTATCAGGAATTTACATCAATATGTCCATGGTCGTAAAAGAGAGAATCAAAACCTGCATGGATAACTAGTTTGATATTTGGTCTGATATGTTCCATGTGTCTTAACCATAAAGAATCTCACTGAAGAAAGTAATGCACTGTAATTTTTTTTGCTACAACTCCTAGAGAGGCTTCTAGGAATTGTGATCCAAATGTTTTTTTCTACTTGCCTTCATTTATACTGGCTCTGGCTGGGCCAAAGCTATAAAGCAGTGGTTCTCAACCTATGGGTCAGGACCCCATTTGGGGTCAAACAACCATTTCACGGGGGTCGCCAAACGCAGTCTGCCATTTTTTCCCCCTTTTCCTTGGCTGTGCTACTCCCTTTTATTCTATTGACTTTTGAAAGCCAATAGAATAGACTCTCTTGAATAGAGTCTAATTCTATTGGCTTTCAAAAGCCAATAGGAATTGTCCAGGCTGTCTCTGCCCTGCTGAGCCCGCCAAAAGTCTCATTCTGCAAATGGTGCTACAAGTTGTCTGCAGCGAAGGCGAGCTGTCTGGAAGTTTCCACCCCTCCCTGCTGAGCAACTACTAAAAATGTAAGTAAAAGAGGGCCAGGGGTGGGAGGCTGACAGGCGCAGGGAGGGTTGCTGGCGCGCATGGGCCCCGGTGGGTGCCTTACCTCCCTTGGGCTGGGCCAGCTGGTGGCCCAGCCGGTGGTTGGCCTGCGCCATCTCTGCCGCTTGCCAGCTATGCCTCGGCTGGCGCAGGGGGCGGCACCATGCATGTGCAGCGCTCCCGGGCAGGGAAAGTCCTCGACTTACGACCGGTTGGGTAGTCCTCGACTTATGATCAGTTGGGGGTCATGGCATTAAAAAGGTTGAGAACCACTGCTCTAAAGGATCCTTCCTGAGGTAAGGACAATGACAACAGCAGGGCCCTCTCTGAATGACTGATTCCAAAGAATGCTTTACTTAGGGAGATCAGAAGCCAAGATTATATGATCTACTAATTTTATCTTGACTTTATATTTGCATGTGCATTGATATTTGCTTGCTGTGTGTATCTTATTCTTTTGTGTAAGTATTGAATGCTTGGGTGTGGATGTTGATGGTGTTACTGTGTCCTTAAGGGAGGAGAATGAGAGAAAGAATAGGATGCTCTTGTTGAAGCAATTTTGGACCATAAGGAGTAGGGATAAAGTTTGCATTGTGAAAACTAACCAGATAAAGAAAACTTATATTAGATGTTTGAAAATTATCCTGTGTTTTAATCCTCTTTCAGCAAGCTAGCAAAAAAGTGCCGGGCCAGTCTGCCTTCTGGTCTTATGGACTAATCTTTTTTAATTTAATATCTTTATTTTTCACAATGCAAACTTTAATCTTACAAAAAGCTTAAAAATTAAAAATGTAAACTAAATGAAACTAAGCTGGAAAAATATGTATCTTATATATTATATTTATCAATAGTCACTGGTTCACCAGTGAATTCACTACTGCAATGTAAACAATAGAAAACATTATTGTAAGATATCACAAAATCTCTCCCATAATGAAAACTTACTGCTGCATCCTTTGATTTTTCCAAAACAGATAGATGCATATTTCTGACAACCATTTTTTGGCATCTTGAATAATATCACTTTTCCAGTTTCTTGATACTATATAATTATTTTGTTTGGCACCCTCAACACTTGATGCAACCACAATAAAGAATCAAATTCCAAAACTTTGGCATATAATTTAACATTACATTAACATCTTAATGTATATTAATTAAATGCAGGTAGTCCTCAACTTACAACAGTTTGCTTTGTGACTGAAAAAAGTGAGTTATGACCATTTTTCACACTTATGACCATTGCAGCATCCCCATGGTCATGTGATTTACATTTGGATGTTTGACAACTGATTCATATTTATGACGGTTGTAATGTCCTGGATTCATGTGATCATGACAGGGGAAGTCAATGGGTAAACCAGATTCACATAACAACTGTATTATTAATTTAACAACTGCAGTGATTCACTTAACAAATGTGGCAAGAAAAGTCATAAAATGGGGCAAAACTCACTTAACAAATTTCTCACTTAGCAACATAAATTTTGGGCTCGGTTGTGGTCGTACGTTGAAGACAACCTGTAATATTCCAGTAGCTCAGTAGTTAAGTAATCTTTAAGTGTTAGATTTCCCATAAATCTACTAATATACATTAATACACAATTCCCCCAAAGATATTTAATGATACTCTATTACTACTTCCAAGAACCTTCACATCATAGATGCATGTGTTCTCACATGCTGACTGCAAGGATCTCACCTGTCATGAGTGCAGTCTTCCGGCAGGTGAAGCAGCACTGTCCTGGAGCCAACAGCCAGTCCTCATGGGGACATCCCGGGGTAGGGCATGGAATGAAGGAGCACTCCACTTCACCTTGCTGAAGGAGGATCAGGTACCATTATTAATGAAAAGAATACAGAGAGGAAGTCATCAAGACAGGCGTCCACAATTTCTTTTTAACAGAAAATTAAATTAAATTAGGGGAATCTCTCAAGCGATGCAAAGTTTCTCTAGGATTTTCTGGATCTGTTTCAATTAGTAAGTGATCTACTGTTGGCAAGCGCTGGATGGAACAGGGTGCCATTGATCTATTTGTCTTATTTGGGTACCATCATCTTAGTAGCTTCAGGGCTTCTTCAGTTAGGCAGAAGGGATATTATTTGTAGAACGCATTCCCACATGATAGTATTTTAGCCCAAATAGCTCCATATTTAGGAAAAGGATAAAAAAAATCTCCAGAAATATGCCCTTGGAGTTGTTCCATGTGATTTTTACATGTTATATGTTTTTAAACTGAGATTGACTGTATTTGTTTATTTGTTTGTTTTTGCATTTTTAATTTGTCAGTGCTTTTTAAAAAATGCTTCAACATTGTCTGTCTGGCCCCTTCTTTGCCACAGAGCATTCGAGGGCTATTAATAAGCTTTCCCTTCGGAGGCCTAATTTAGCCAATTTCACAGTTGACATATAGTTCTGGAATACCAATAGAACTTATGTAATAGTTTCAAGTTTCTGCAGTGAAGCAGAAAAAATGTTTCTCTTTTAACAGATAAGAAAAGTTACAAAAGTTCAAGAAAACCAGAAATAAAAGAGATGCATGGTTTCTTAGGTAAAATGATGTAAGCACAGTCTTAAGCTGCTGCCAATGTTTATATCTCATCACATGCTTTTCATTGGAAGAGAGAAAAATGTAACACTATAATAGTGTGCATTTGTGTGTACGTAAGAGAAAGAAATCAAGAGAGATTGTGTATACTAAGTGAGAAAACTTAATTGGAACACCCTCTGAGATAAGTAAAGGTACATCTGAGAAACTGTAAAAATTGTATAGAGGTGTCTCAAATATTGTTGGAAATGTAATTGTAAAGAAGATAGTTTTTATCATCTTTGGTTGACTTGTGGTAAAGAAAGAAATATTGGGGCCAGATTTATATTTTATTCAGAAGATTCTGAATTCAGAAGATTCTTAAAACAAATACAAAATGGAAGCCAGATTTTTTCCTTTTAGGACTATTAGACAAAGAGCTTGGGGGGGGGGGGAATGGAACTTTGTTCTTATATACATTGACTTGAGTGAGAATTTTATATGCACAAAGATACATCAATTCCTGCAACGGAAAAATGAATGGAAAAACTGATGGAGCTGACAGAGATGGCAAAATTAATTTTTTTAATAAAATAAAATAATGTATACAGTTTTATTTCTACTTGAAACTGTTTCTGAACTTTATACTCAAAACACACAAAAAAATGAAACTTTGATCTTGGCTTTTGATGATTAAACTATAGTTATAGAAATGGCTATGTGAAATAAAAAAAATGAGGTTCCATCTCTATTTCATATTTTACTGCCCTGAAAAAGGTTGGAAGTCACTGCTTTTAATAATAATAATAATAATAATAATAATAATAATAATAATAATAATAATAATAATAATAGTAAAGTTGGAAGGGACCTTGGAGGTCATCTAGTCCAATCCCCTGCTCAGGGAGGAAACCCTATACCATTTCGGACAAATGGCTGTCCAGTTTCTTCTTATAAACCTCCAGTGTTGGAGCATTCACCGCTTCTGGAGGCAGGTTGTTCCACTGGTTAATTGTTCTAACTGTCAGGAAGTTTCTCCTTAGTTCTAGGTTGCTTCTCTCCTTGCTTAGTTTCCACCCGTTTGTTTCTTCCCCTTTCCTTTTCCTTCCCCATTCCCTTATTATCTTTGTTTCTATGTATTTTATATTATAACAAATTTCAATAAAAAGAAAGGTAGATGAATAAAGGTAGATAAAATACATACTCTGCACACACAAGTGGTACAGTTATCACCATCTGGGTTGAACTTGGACCCTTCTGTGTATATTTGCCCACGGAAATGACATTCTGCTACAGAAGAAAGCAACATTCATAGCAGAAAGATTGGTTACCAGATAAAAGGCCAATTAATCTAAGGCATCACATTTACAAATTTATAGCTCTTATGTTCTTGTGCCCATAGCTCTTATTATGTAAATTTATTAAACTTTATACTGTGAATTCTAGCATCACCTACTCATAGGATATTCTATTTTAGATGAGGTCTTTCAAAGAATGACTTCCCATTATTTCTACCCTTCTTGTTTTACACTGTGTCTAAAAAACAAGATGTTTTTATGGCAAGGATTAAGTAATCAAGATCTACCTGGCTGGCAGGGACAACAGTCTGTCTGAACAGAACTGGGACATGGACTGGGTGTACATTCTGGAGAAATACAGGAAATGTTGCCTGCCTAGAATGAAAAACAAACATTGTAGTGCAGATTGTTGATTTTTCATTTTCTGCAATGTAGTTTCAGCCTAATATCACATCTGAATTATATTTGTGAATGTCTTCCATAAACTTGTGGCATCAGGAGAATTTAGATTTCAGCCACTATAATTTCTAGGCAACAACATGAGAAAAACTGTGACAAAGAATGAATAGTTTATCATGAACATAATCCTTCTCCTCCCAAATGCTCACACCCATTGTTTCCATTAGATTCCAAATGCTCCTCACTCTGGAACATCTCAGTGCATTTTGCCACCTCAAATAAGCAGTACATGCTCTGAGTCAAGTGTTTAGTACCAAGACCACCAACACTATTTTTGGCTTTGGGACAGAGACATCCTACGGGCTTCTCTTTGGCAATAATTAAAATACTGATTAACTTAACTCTGGGGAATATGCTCTCCTTTCGTGACACCTACTCCTAACAGTAGGATTAGTATTGCTCCTAGCCACAATGTGGCTGATAATGAGTCTCAGTGCATCTCACCTACAAAATTACCCCTTGGAAAAACTCTGCTCACCCAATCAATTCTATGCACTCTTCCTGGATAGCAGACTTCAACCACTGGAGACAGGCATCCCAGTGATTATGTGGATAAGAGTGCTAACAATGAAGGCTGAAAAGGAAGAGAGTACAGCTTGTAGTGAGGGGTTTGTAAAGGCTATGGGAGAAGGATAGTAACACACTATATCCTGCTCCTGCCTGTGGGATCCTTGCACAGGTTTTAAATCAGAGGGAACCCTCCTTGTATGTGCCTCTGAACAGCCAGGTTCAGAAAAGGAGTTTCGGTGGCATGAAAGCAACATGAAAATGCAAGTTTGATAGAAGCTGAAAAATATTTTGTCTTCCACTCTAGTATTGTTCTCCCTTTTTTCTGTATTTTTGTTTTTGAAACTTGGCATCTTTGACAAATAGTTGAAAATTAATGACCCAAGATATGGCTACATTAACCAGTTAAAATCATGTGGGGCTAAAACTTCATGTTAAATTGGATAATAATTTGTACTAAAGTAAAATGGAGGAGGAGGAGGAAGAAGAAGAAGAAGAAGAAGAAGAAGAAGGAGGAGGAGGAGGAGGAGGAGGAGGAGGAGGAGGAGGAGGAGGAGGAGGAGGAGGAGGAGGAGGAGGAGGAGAAGAAGAAGAAGAAGAAGAAGAAGAAGAAGAAGAAGAAGAAGAAGAAGAAGAAGAAGAAGAAGAAGAAGAAGAAGAAGAAGAAGAAGAAGAAGAAGAAGAAGAAGAAGAAGAAGAAGAAGAAGAAGAAGAAGAAGAAGAAGAAGAAGAAGAAGAAGAAGAAGAAGAAGAAGAAGAAGAAGAAGAAGAAGAAGAATTCCATCTCTTAATTCAACCCTGCTTTCTGGGCTATTGGTCAAAAAAACAGATGCCCTTCAAAACATTTACAAGTTTCAGTACAATGTTGTTAGATGGCTCCTAGCAAAAGCTAGGAGCTTGAAGCTTTATTTCCATCTAAAGATACATGTTAGCAAGTATTAATTTATATGTCCTCAAAGAAATACCAGCCCCAACTCCCTGAGGCTCACCAGGCAGACACAGACTGTGCAGTTCTCCTCAGAGAGAGAGAATACGTCCCCTTCAACTCTGGACATCCCATAATAGAAACAGCCTGTAGGAAACAGGAATGAGAAGATGCTTCTCTGAAGGGACAAGAACTAAGGGAAATAGGCCCCATTACACCTTTCTCTTAACTGGGAAGCATGTAAATGTTTTCAAAAACTTGCTAGATGCTCTCCAATATTCCATAGAAGAAAACACTTGTAACAATATCACCATTCACAAGTCACAGATAATTCAAGGTACCTTTAATTGTGTTGAACACAATTAAAAGCTCTATTTCAGTTACGTCCAACATGCAAACCTCCATATATATTACACTATACATTCCTATTAGGCCCAATAGTCTTAAAGAAGGCCACCAAGTTGGGAAACATTGCTCCATCTGCTGTATGCATTCCTTTTTTGAAGATTTTAGAGCTATTTTTTAAAGTAAGGTTAAAGTAAATCTAGGTTAAGGAATGTCTGTGGGTACCAGGATAGACCTGTGATACTTCAAATGATGTCGATAATGTTTGAGAGCTAGAGTAGCATTGTGCTTGGATTTAGTTCAACTCAGTTCACCCTTAGCCATAGAAATTCAATAGTGTCTTTGGGCCAATTACTCTCTCAGCTCAACTTGCCTCATAGGATGTGTGTGTGTGTGTGTTTGTGTGTGTGTGTGAGAAAATCAGATGAAGGGAAAGCTATGTATGCTGCCTTGAGCTCCTGAAGAAAAGATTAATTAATAAATAAATTCACTACATTAAAAGTGAATGAAATTGCCAAATCTTACAAAGTTCAAACAATACTAGAATCAATAGATGATATTACTGAAATCTTTTAAGACCTGAAAACCTCATGAGATTTTAACCAATTCAACTTTTTAATTTTAAAATTGGTGGGACAATGCAATTTATTTTAGCTTTCAATTAAAAAAACCTTCAAAACTATCCTATAATTTATTAACTGTACACAGAATGTTGCATAATTCAGTACTAGAAGCCAAGCTTGATTCACATGAGCATTTACATTTTACATAAAATGATAGATTGCACAACACATAGCACCTGTCTGAATAAAGATGCATCTATCGTGTCCAACTTTCAGATGCCCTAGTGAATGAGATGATCCATGAAATATGATAATTCAAGAAACTTAGAACCACATTATATAATTCCCAGGAAGCAAAGAGGAATGGGGGCTTATCAAGACAAGTTCCAGAAATCAAGGACTGCTTTTGATCAATTGAGGGGGAAGAGAGTATATGATGAAAATCCTCCACAGCTAGAACAAGGGAAGACCCACATGATCCAATATGACACAAGCATATAGAGCAGGGGTCTTCAAACTTGGCCCTTTTATGACTTGTGGACTTCAACTCCCAGAATTCCTCAGCCAGGCACGCTGGCTGAGGAATTCTGGGAGCTGAAGTCCATAAGTCATAAAAGGGCCAAGTTTGAAGACCTCTGATATAGAGCCTTGATCTAGTGGGTATTTTTCTCACCTGTGCAAGTAGGACAGCACTCTCCCTGGGCTGGGAGAATTGGGTGAGAGCAGGAAACTTCACACGTCACAGCTCGACAAAACACTTGTCCACCCTGAAATAAGACAATACAGGCAGTACCGACATAATACTTGAAGTTGGAGACTAAGATAAGAACTCAAAATATGCCACATACCTCACAGGAGCAATTCAGACATGGTGGCTCTATCCAGTAGCTGTTATCTTCATGAAGAACCCCTCCATGCCAGCAGGCAGATGGCAGGGTGGGAATTGAGGGAGTCAAAGGGCTTGGGGGAAGAGATGGGCTAACCTTCTTTGGTAGCAGTGGTGACAGAGGACTTATTGGTAGAGAAGGCCTGGCTGTTCTGGGCCAGAAGGAGGTGCCAAAAGAGGAGCTGTGGGGAGGAGATGAGGAAGTGGGGGAAGATGCAGGTGGAAGCACAGAGAGAATGGGAAGGAGCAGGAAAGGAGATGGGGTTCCAGGTACACTGGAGGGAGCAAGTGCTGGGGAACCCCTGGGCGGCAATACGGGTCCTATGGATTCTGGAGAAAGGCGTAGCAGAGTCTGTGGCTGTTGAAGAGACTGCAAAATAGAAGAAGGGGCCAGGCTGGACTTTGAAAAACCTGTGAGGCAGGAGGGAGGAACAGGGAAGAGAGAGAGACACACAAACACACACAAAGAGAGAAACTGTCAGCCCTCACAGGTAAACCAAACAGGAAACATAACTGGATAAACTAATTCTACTTTGTTGTAAGGCTACATTAACAGAATCTTGCAATTCTGAAGCACAGACTTCCTGCCACCACTTTTAACTGCCGGAACAATTAGGACAGATCCTTCCTAAGTTTCTTCCTCTGAAACTGTTAATCCAATGGGGGCTCCTCCCTCTCTTGTCTGATTGTTTCTAGGCAGCATCTCTTCCCTTTATTCCCCAAGGTCATTCACATACTCCATTACAGAAATGGCCAATTATATTCAGAAATCCTCCCCACCTTCCCTCCCATCCTGCCCAAAACGCACAGCTTCCAAGTCGCTATTGGGAAGATATTTCCATGAATAAGAGCGTTTACACTGCACTCTCAGTTGTGCCTTTTACCCAGCTTTTGACTTCAGTCTTATCTGATTATAAAAACAGAGGCTTTTGAAAAGCCTTGTTAATGGAACCCAACGGATTCATAAATTCTGTATTTCTAGAGTAAACAAAACCCCATTTTGAAAAAAAATAGGGAGCATCTGTCAAAACAAACTACTTATGGAGCAGGTAGAATTTTGAGTAGAGATTACTCATTTCTGTTTATCTGCTAAAAAGTTCACATAAAAATATCATTTAAGAGACACTCAGGGAAAAAAAGACATGTTTCTAAAAGATGCAAACAGAAAGGTTTATTTTTATTAAAAAATATCAAGTGCATAGAGTGAAAAATGTGTATTGCAAAATTGCGCTTCAGGGAAAATTATGTAACAAACGAGGTCAGATAAATTTGTATAAAGTGTTTCTTGGAAATGATTATCAATGTAATATGTACCAAGGGTGATTGCATACCAAACTCTACATGACAAAATACACTGTTAAAAACTGCTGCCAGTTATTTTACAGATCTTTTAAAAGCGCATTTTAAAAAATCCTGGCTATTCCTTCCTGTCTGTCTATTTGTCGGTTACTTTAGAGAAATATATTCCTGCCCCGGAAAGCTGATCTGGTGAGTTCCACATGTTCACTTAATCCAACAGACTGAGAACCTCTTTGAATTGATCTTGGTTTTTTGAGTTGGCCAAGAATCAGCAGGCGTAACTAAGACGGGGATGTCAGCAAGAAAGAGAAAGGGGAGGGATTTTGATTGATAGTTGTCATAGTTCTGTTCCATTGGAACAATACATTTGGCAAAAGCACTATCGTTGATGAAACTCAACAAGACATTTACCAATAAAGATAAGATGAGCAAGGAAGGGGAAACAACATGCTGACTGAAATTGTCTAGAAGAACAAATGGAACCACCATTCTAGGCAGTTTATAGCAGCAAGTCAGTCTCTGCTGGGCTGTGTCATTTTGGCTTACTAAACATGTGGATCAGATTTCCACATTTACCAACATATCCCTATTCTCCCACTGACCACATACATATTCCCATTGTCTCAGGACTTTTCTAGTTGATCAGTTTGCACCACCATAAACAAATAATTGAATGCAAAGGATCAAAAAGGCTTTCTTGCAGGATGAGCTATATGACAGTCCTTACCTTCACAAGACAATCTGTCCACACTGAGTCGGTAGCCTGGATGACAGCTGCACATAAAACTCCCCAATGTATTGTGGCAGGAATGTTGGCAGGTTCGCTTCTCACTGAGTCGGCGGCATTCATTCACATCTGTACCAGACAGACGCAGGGTGCTAGAGGCTTACAGCACAGCTAGGTCAGCCCAAGCTTGTAGCTGGGCAGAAATTAGCCATAAAGGGCCAGAAAGCATGAGATATTGTGACATAAATAAATAAATTGTATTGTATACATATACATAAATATTTGTTTTCAGTTTGCTATTAATATTTTCTTATAAGAACACTTTAAGGAAAATATCTATGGAGGTACTCAGTCATCCAGGTCATGGTTGTCCCAAAAAGTGCTTTTTTCAAGCAGCAAGTAGAATTTCTTGAACATCTTCAAGGAAAATCAAGAAAGTCCTGTTGCTGTTCAAAGAAAGCACCTTGTGGGATGACACTTTAAGCAATTCATATGCATGAGGGGAAATCTCATAGGTCTGATCCTGAATGCAGCTTAGTGTCTGCATGGGGGGGGGGGTGTACCTTGTACTACCACAATATTGAACAGGAAAAGTTTTCCATAATCATTTCTCAGTTTGGGAAAATATCTCTGCTAAATTTAGATATGTGACGCTGTTAGGTTTACTAAAAAGAATAAAGAACTCAAAGATACTATTCAGCTCATTTTCAAATGTGCAGTTTTAGGAGCCCAAATAGCTGTTGTCACTCTGATTTGCAGCAACAAACCACACTGCAGCCTCCTGAAGTCTCAGTCAAAATAGGCTGTTTTCCAAAAACTAAAGCAGTGATGGTAACATACCTGCCTGGACCTCATTTCTGAAATGAAATAAATCCTTTAAATGATTCAGTTCCAATTTGTTTTCCAAAAAGCTATAGCTGTCACAGAGCTTTTAAGCTAGGGTAAACCACTCATTTTAGAAGAAAGGTATCTGCTGAACTCTCCAACAAAAGCAGAATCACTCACCCACACATGAATGTCGGTTGCCGTGAAGGTAGAATCCAGGATGACAGGAACATTGATAGCTGCCGATACTGTTTTGGCAGTGCTGCTGGCAAGGTGTTGTTAGGCACTCATCAGTATCTGGGATCAAGATGGTCAACACTATTGGCCCATGACAATCCATCCTACCAATGTTCCTTCTGCAATTTTTATAAAAAACCTCATCCAGACCTTCCTTCTTACAGACCGAGTTTGACCCACCTTGACAACTGTGCCGGTCAGTCGCAAGTTGCATCCCTGGGCCACATTCACACACAAAGCCCCCTTCTGTGTTCACACAAAGCCCCTCGCAGGAACCACTCAGGCACTCATCAATATCTGCAGAAAAGAGATTTTTGTGGGTCAGCAAATATGAAGGCAGAAGAGACCAGCTGCACTAAAAGACAAAAATGGAGACAATTTCAGGGCTAAATGATCATAGTTGAAGAATGAGACATCTCTTATGACAGCAATGCATTTAAAGATATTCCCCCCCCCATCCCTTCCCCAGTGTGGGTGGAGTTTTCCAGAACCAGTGGAAAACTGATTATGCATTCATATGGGACAGAACCAACAATTTACAGCCGGCAGGATATCATCTGGTATAAACCAACTTCTGCGCCATGTAGAAAAAGAGAATACTAGTTCTGCTTATTAAACATAGAGCTAGGGCTTTTTTTCCAAAGAGTGCTAAAGCCATAGTTTAAAAGACAAATTAAAAGATGCTCTTTGTAAAGAGGGTTAAAGTCATACATACAAGTCACCTATGAGTGATTGACTAGTGTTGTAGTCTGTGGAAATCAGACATCCAGTCTCTACAATAACACAAGTCAAAGTGCCCAGGGAGGACACTACTGAGTGATCAGAAGGTTGGCTAAGTGTAACAGAGTAGTGGGTGGGATTGAGAACTTGGAAACACATTTCAGAAGAAGGCAGTGCAAATCACTTTCATAGCATCATGTCTGTGATATCAGAGTTGAGCTTGACTTGAATAGATTCCTTTTACTTTTTGATTTATACAGAATCATTTTAGAACACTGAAGCCTATCCTGACCCCTTTTCACCTTAGCACAGCCTCAATATTATTATTTTGGTCAGGGCCGGTTTAGCATTGAGTTGTTGATATATTTGTGCATTTGTGTAAAGAATAAGTGTTTCAGTGAAAAAGATTTGTAGTGTATTTTTTTAATGTAGTAAACAAAATAAACATGCCATTGATCAAATGCCAAACCCAGATACATTATCTTTCCTCCAAATCACAAGTCTTATGCTCAAAAATACATTTCAGGATACTGAAATGCTGGAAGTGTTACAATTATTGATTGAGCTTTTAATGAAGTTGCAGGCAATCTTTTGGACAAGGGTGACCCCTTTTCTTTTCCTCTCCTTTGCTCCCAATCCCCACCTCTTAGGGAGTGCTCTGAAGTATGTAAGACCTATATGGCATATGATGTTAAGAAAATGGCTAGGACTGAAAATTTTGGACTTTCTGATTACTTGTTTCTCATTTGGGGGCAAAAAAGTGAAAACGATTGCTCATACCAGATTTCAGCAGCAGGGGATGTTCTGGAGCCATAGCTGTGTGGTCAGATGTTGACCAATCTTGCTAAAGCTAAGGACCAATGACTTGCTCAGTCTAAAAGGGTAAAAACTCCCTATGACCCCTGTGTTGAAGGTCCATTTCTCCTTACTCCCAGGGAGGGAGTTACCCCATTTTCTGGCTTACCCACACAACGTACACCATTAGTTGTTTCAGTCATAGAGAATCCCAGAGGGCACACTCTTGCCACCTCCTGGCAGCCCCCATGATTGCAGGTGAGATCACAGCCATACTCCCCACAGGCTCCAGGCGGGTCTGTAAAAAAGCAAGATGGGATAGTTTCACAGAGAGGTTTCAGTTAGGGGAAATCTGTAAGGTAATAAGAATGCAAGGGCTGTGAGATGGGACGAGGTAGAGGAAAGCATCCTCAATTTCACTGCTGCATGAACAGAAATGTCTATCCTAGCATCTTTAATAATGATGATGATGGTGGTGGTGGTGGTGGTAGTGGTGGTGGTGGAAGGGACCTTGGAGGTCATCTAGTCCAACCCCCTGCTCAGGCAGGAAACCCTATACCAGTGATGGCGAACCTTTTAAAGACCGAGTGCTCATACTGCAACCCAAAACCCACTTATGTATTGTCGGGTGCGGGCGGGCATGGCCCATTGGGTGGGTGTGGCTGCAGTGGTAATGGCAGACTGGGTGGGACTAAAAAGTTCAATCAATCAGTTCCAACTTTGCGAGATCTTTTTTTTCCCCCGAGGGAAGTTGAAATTGATTGATTGAATCTTTTTGGGGGGGGGGCACACGGCGGCAGAGGCCTAAAGGGAAAAGGTTTTATAAAACCCAGCTGAAGGCCTAAGACTGGGGTGACAGCGTGCGTGCCCTCAGAGAGGGTTCTGCATGCCACCTGTAGCATGCATGCTATAGGTTCGCCACCACGGCCCTATACCATTTCAGACACATAGCTGTCCAGTCTCTTCTTAAAAACTTCCAGTGTTGGAGCATTCACAGCTTCTGGAGGCAGGTTGTTCCATTGATTAATTGTTCTAACTGTCAGAAAAGTTCTCCTTAGTTCTAGGTTGCTTCTCTCTTTGATTAGTTTCCATCTGTTGCTTCTTGTCCTGCCTCCAGGCTCTTTGGAGAATAGCTTTACTCCTTCTTCTTTGTGGCAGCCCCTGAGATATTGGAACACTGCTATCATGTCCCCCCTCATCCTTCTCTTCATTAAACTAGACATACCCAATTCCAGCAACCGTTCCTTATATGTTTTAGCCTCCAGTCCCCTGATCATCTTTGTTGTTTTTCTCTGTACTCTTTCTAAAGTCTCAACTTCTTTTTTACATTGTGGTGACAAATAGAGCTGCAAAACCTGGAATGACTAGAATGGTAGCAAAAAGGATTTTGATAGAAGTTAATATTTGTAGCTCAAGGTTGAACTATGGGGTCCTTGGTGCTCTCTGAGCTTGGTGGTTTACTTGCAGACATTTCATTACCAAACTAACACCATCAATGATGATAATGATGATGATGATGCACTAATTGACAATGTTATCTAGTTTGTAATGAAACGTCTGCAAGAAAATAACCAACTCAGAGAGCACCAAGGACCCCACAAAGAGGATTTTCTGTTATCCTTTTACTAATCACCCTGTGATCCTCTGCAGTTCTGCAGCTCAGAACTGGCAGTCCTGGAAAAGATCTTATAGAAAAGGCAAGATGCACTGGCAGAGCCCACAGAAAGGAGAAACCCCCAAGTCCAAGAGCTCCAGTATCATTTTCATTCAGCTGTTCTTGGGTCTGCTTAAAGTGAAAACATCAAACATTATTTGCCTGTTACACTGTTAACACAGATTACCAAAACAATACACATCCCAGAATCAACACCAATTTGATGACGTAACAAATTGATCACTCAATCACGAAGAATAACAAACTCCCCACTGGTAAGGAAATACAAAATAGTCTATGGCTTTCCAGGGATGATTTACATGCATTGTCATATTAAAGAATGAATGAAACGGAATCAATGACATTAAGCATTAAAAATGGAGAGGGTGGAAATTTGATTCTAAGAATTTGTATCCCTTGCTGGGATCACTATAGCACTGGCTCTAGGAATATCTGGCTATCCACAAGTTTATAAATTGTGGTTCCCACAATCGTGGAATCAATTACATGATTTCAGTTATGAGTTTAGTTTTATTTAAATCTTTAAATTTGATTTAAATGCACTGATGTTAAAAGTTATAACAACTTTTATTATAATAAGATATAATAACAATATTAACCAATAAAATAAAGTAAGTCCACAATTATTAATCATTTAACTTAGACTGATGAAGATTATAGCCTAATACTAGATGAGTACAAGTTTTTCCCTCCTGTCTAAACTGTCCAAGAGGCCATATGAGCCATATATAATGAAGTGTATAAAAAGCACAGTATCCTTGGTAATCATACACCATAGCAAGCTGTATAAATGTTCCTACAAATATAGAGCAGAACTTTCCCCAGTCATTTTGTAATACAGACGATCTCATCCTATCTCAGAAAACTGTTCCCCATTTTTCAGTTTTTCAGTTCTGTCATCTTTCACTTTGTTCTCCCTTTACAGAGCTATAATGATGGGAGGAACTGCATCACAGGGTGTTTTTGACTTTGTTATTATGGGAAAATGATATACAGTATAACTAAGATATTAGAATGAAATAAAAAAAATTGCAATCCACTCCATAGACTCTCTCTTATGGCTCCCAGATTTTAAAATATATCCTAAAGCCACAAACTGAAGGTGTCATCTTATGGTACCAGACAAACCCTCCATAGGAATTATGCATCCTGTTGGTAAACAGTACTCCTGATAGTATTTCAGGAAGTGCAGCTTACCTTGACAGGTGACACCCTGCCTTCCGTCTCGGCAGGCACAGACATTGGGAGCTATGCAGAAGCCGCTGCCACAGCCAAAGGAACAGAGTGCTATGAGGAGGACCAAGAAAACATCCATTAGATTTGGCAAGAATTGTATATACGTGTGTGTGTGTGTGTGTATGTGTGTGTGTGTATGTGTGTGTGTGTGTAGAATTGCAGACAAAATGGCTATGGTATGGGAGGCTGGTAGTTATAGTTCAGCAATACCCGGAGGACTGTAGTTTTCTAGCTCTAAAGTAAGCAACACTTCATCAAAAGTAGAAAAGACTATCCATAGAGTAATTAGTGTAAAATTAGAGTTCCCAGATTAGTTGGAAAATGAAAATTCCCTAAAAGCTAATCTATTAGCTGAGCTTCAGTGCTGAGTATTTTACTGGAGTGCAATCATCTATAACAGTGATGGCGAACCTTTTAGAGACCGAGTGCCCAAACTGCAACCCCAAACCCACTTATGCATCGTCAGGTGCTGGGTGGGTGTGGCCCATTGGATGGGTGTGGCTGCAGTGTAACAGCAGACTGGGTGGGACTAAAAAGTTCCATCAATCAATTCCAACTTTGCAATATCTTTTTTTTCCCGCAAGAAGTTGAAATTGACTGATTGATTGAATCTTTTTTGTTTTTGCACACGGCAGCGGAGGCCTAAAGTGAAAAGGTTTTATAAAACCCAGCTGAAGGCCTGGGACTGGGGCGACGGTGCGCATGCCCACAGAGAGGGCTCTGAGTGCCACCTCTGGCACCCGTGCCATAGGTTCACCACCACTGATCTATAGCATGGTGGGATGTTGGTCCTACTTGTCCCATAAAGGGCAGCTCTAGTCACTGTTCATATCAGTTGCAGCGCTATCTGTTGCTGTTGCTCACTGTCTGCTTTCCTTTGGAACCCCTTGTGTGCTCTCTTAAGATTATGATAACCCTTGCAGCAAAACATTAATGAACATCAGTTTGCTAATATTTATTTATTTATTTATTTTTAAAATTTATAAGCTGCCCCACTCCCGGAGGACTCTGGGCGGCTAACAATAAAAACACCATAAAACATAACAAAACAAACAGTACAAGAACAGTCATCCAGAGGTCAGATTTTATAAACCCCAGGCCTGCCGGAAAAGCCAGGTCTTAAGCAGCTTACGGAAAACCAACAGGGTGGGAGCGGTCCTAATCTCCGGGGGGGAGCTGGTTCCAATATGTGGGTGCCATCACAGAGAAAGCCCTCCTCCGCGGCCCTGCCAAATGGCACTGCTTGGCCGACGGGACCTGAAGGAGGCCCAGCCTGTGGGATCTAACCGGACGAAGGAAACTATGAGGTAGTAGGCGGTCTTGCAAATAGCCTGGCCCTGAGCCATATAGGGCTTTAAAGGTAATAACCAACACCTTGAATTGGACCCGGAGACCAATAGGCAACCAGTGCAGCTCACGGAGGATAGGTGTAACGTGGGTGTATCAAGGAGCACCCACTATCACTCGCGGATGCATTCTGGACCAACTGTAGTCTCCGAATACTTTTCAAGGGTAGCCCCATGTAGAGCGCATTGCAGTAGTCCAGACGTGAGGTGACAAGGGCATAAGTGACTGTAAGGAGAGCCTCCCGGTCCAGGTAGGGTCGCAACTAGTGCAACAGACGAACTTGTGCAAAGGTCCTCCCAGCCACAGCCATCAAATGATGTTCCAAATTCAGCTGTGGATCAAGAAGGACACCCAAGTTGCGAACCTGCTCTGAAGGGGGTATATTTTCCCCCGCAAGAGTCAACACTGGACATGATCTTTGGGAGGCAACATCCAAAGCCACTCGGTCTTGTCAGGATTGAGCCTGAGTCTGTTAACCCCCATCCAGACCCTCACGGCTTCCAGGCAACGGCCCATCACATCGGCCGCTTCACTGAGAGAGCTCGGGGAGGAGATATATAACTGGGTATCATCAGCATACTGATGAAAGCTCACCCTGTGCTGTCTGATGATCTCACCCAGCGGCTTCATATAAATGTTAAATAGGAGGGGGGAGAGGACCGACCCCTGTGGCACACTGCATTCAAGGGGCCTCGGGGTTGACTTCTGCCCTCCCACCAATACCGATTGCGACCGGCCAGAGAGGTAGGAGGAGAACCACCGTAAAACGGTGCCTCCCACTCCCACCCCTTCAAGTCGTCGCAAAAGGATACCATGATCGATGGTATCAAAAGCCGCTGAGAGGTCAAGTAGCACCAAGATAGAGGAATAACCCCTGTCTCGGGCCCTCCAGAGATCATCCATCAGCGTGACCAAAGCGGTTTGTGTGCTGAAGCCGGGCCTGAAGCCAGATTGAAAAGGGTCTAGATAATCCGCTTCATCCAGAGACCGTCGGAGCTGGAGCGCCACCACTCTCTCTACAACCTTCCCCAAAAAGGGGAGATTGGAGACTGGACGGAAGTTATTTAAGTCAGCCGGATCCAGGGTAGGCTTCTTGAGAAGGGGCCTCACAACCGCCTCCTTCAAGGATTGCGGGAAAGACCCCTCCCTCAATGAAGCGTTGATCAACACCTGGAGCCAGCCTCGTGTCACCTCCTTGGCAGCCGAGACCAACCAGGAAGGACACGGGTCCAATAAACAAGTGGAGGCGCTCATTGCTCCCACCGCTCTGTCAACATCCTCAGCGGTCACAGACTCAAATTCATCCCATAAAACTGAGCTAAGACCTGCCCCAGTCATCTCAGAAGGCCCTGCCCAATTGGAATCTAGGTCTGTCCGAATCTGAGCAATTTTGTCTGATAGGAATTGCACAAATTCCTCCGCTCTACCCTGTAAGGGCTCCCCGGCTTTCCGAACGTTAAGTAGGGAACGGGTCACCCTAAACAGGGTGGCGGGGCGAGATTCTGCAGACACAATAAGTGCGGAAAAATGCGAACATTTTGCCGCTCGTATCGCCACTAAATAAGTCCTAATATAGGCTCTTAGAAGTGTCCGGTCGGATTTGGAGTTACTAGCCCTCCAGCGTCGCTCTAGACATCTCTTCTGATGCTTCATCTCCCGTAGCTCCTCGGTAAACCAAGGTGCCCTCCAGGATCCACAATCACGGAGAGGTCGCAAAGGCGCGATCCGGTCTAACGCCCCTGATGCCGCCTTATTCCAAGCAGCGACCAAGGACTCGGCCGGTTCGTGGAGGAGGGAATCAGGAAAACCCCCAAGCGCTATTTGGAACCCCTCCAGGTCCATTAAACGCCTGGGGCGGAACCACCTAATCAGTTCCGCCTCCCTGCTGTAGGGGAGTAGGACCGAGAAATCTAACCTCAACAGGAAGTGATCCGACCATGACAAGGGAGAAGTAACTATACCCCTTAAATTGAGATCACGTCTCCACTGCCCCGAGAGGAATACCAAGTCAAGCGTGTGTCCTCCCCTATGGGTCGGACCCTGAATTATCTGGGTCAGGTCCATGGTTGTCATGGAAGCCATGAACTCCTGAGCCACACCAGAGGATTCACCGAGTGACGGCAGATTGAAATCCCCCAGCACCATAAGCCTGGGGAATTCCACCGCCAACCCGGCTACCCCCTCCAGCAGGTCAGGCAGGGCTGTTGTCACATAGCTGGGAGGCAGGTATGTCAACAACAAGCCCGACTGGACCCTTGAATACAACCTCAAGAGAAGGGACTCACACCCAACAACCTCTGGGGCTGGGATCCTGCGAGGTCTCAAGGATTCTCGGACAAGAATCGCCACTCCCCCACCCCTTTCCTGGAGTCACGGTTGGTGCATTATCTGAAACCCGTCTGGGCACATCTCTGAGAGAGGAACACCTCCCTCTTGGCCCAGCCAGGTCTCACTAATACATGCCAGGTCGGCCTCCTCATCTAGTATCAAGTCCCGGATGAGGGGGGCTTTATTAATAACCGACCTGGCATTAAGAAGCAGCAACCTAATAAGGATTAAAAGTAATAATAATATAGTGCTGGCCACATAATGTAGTGATTCTGCAACAGGTTCTAGAAACTTACGCAGAGTGCATTGTCCACTCCCTGGAGATGGTATCCATCCAGGACAGCACCCACTTCCAAAACCAGAGAGACAAATATGTGGTCCAATGCGACGCCTACAAGATGGAAGAAACAGTTTAAGGACCAACCTACCTACCTCCTTTCCTTCCTTCCTTCCTTCCTTTCTTCCTTCCTTCCTTCCTTCCTTTTTTCTTTTTTGTTTGTACATAGTAATTGAGCATTATGTATGCAGAAAGAGATTTAAATACTGTGGATAAAGTGCAAACCAGTCTGACTTGCAACTGTTTAAGCCAGCCACAGAGCTTCTCTAGCTGGACACATAATGCCAGCAAAATGTAAGAGCATGTTAGACTAAAAATGTAATTGATGCTGTGTTTGAGACACAAGGAAAGTATTTGGATGAAAGGTACAGTGGGTTAAATTACATAGAAAAACAATTCTTCCTTGGCAGGAGGGAACACAGACTTGCAGAAGTTATCACTTTAAAAGTTTATAGTAGCCAGATTTGGTGGTTGTCCAAAATATTTTGGAGAACAAAATAACATCCTATCCAGCCTAGTCAGAGGACCACAGTAGATAAAGGCAGACAAGAGATTTTGACCCAAGAGGAATAACATTGTGAGCATCTCTCTTCATCCTTAGTAGTAAGATCTTAAGAAATTAAGAAATTAAACTTCAACCCGCACACCAGCCTCCGCCTTCTAATTGTGGCTGTTGTGCAAGTGTCTACTCTCTGGGACAATAGAGGATGAGGATAGGGAAAGAGAAGGACAGAAAAGCTGGGGAAACAAACAAATTAGGTTTCCAGCAAGCATCCCATCTCATCACTCCCTGACTGCATTTGCGGCATATAGAAATATATATATGATCATTGTGAAAGGGGCTGAATGGAAGACATTGTGGTGCCCTGGCTTCAGAGAGAGTAGGAGAAATCCCAAGAGGAGATGAGGCAGGAATTCTCACCAATGAAAAGCTTCTTGCCCTGCAGCACCAGAATAAATGCTACAAACCGTCTTCACCAAGTTCCCTCTGGAGTAAGAGTACTGTTCAATGTTGAAGAGTTGGGAAAAACTGCCACCATCATGGAGACGGGGCATGTGTTGTTTATTGGCCTGGCACGGCTGCTGTTGGGCTGGCATGAGTCCAACAAATGGAGACAGAACAGAGGAGAAGAAGCTTATTTCTAGCCGGAAAGTGCAGCTGCGCTGTCGGGCAGGATGATGAATTGACCTGGCTGCCAGCCAGAGCTATTGTAGAGAGATGTTGAGACAGCAGTACTATTGGTTCAGGCTACTATATAGGTGTTGTGGAATAGAGGGGGGGAACCCCCATCTCCTCAGTTATTTGGGTACTGCTGCCAGTCTGATCCAAAGTTGGAGAGAGAGATTGCTGAAGAGGAAAGAAAGGGGGGAAAAGGCTGCAAAACAAAGTGACTGTAGAAAAAAAGTGGAAAGTGAAGATATACAAATGTAGGAGCAGTTGTCAATTCCTAGTAGGGAGGGGTGGAGAAAAAAAAGTCTACAGGAGTTTTCCCTGGAGGAAAGGAAGGGAAGTGATGACATCCTCATATACAGTATGACCCAAGACAGGAAGAAGGGAGGAAGGAGACAACAGTGTTCACAAAGCCCTAGGGGAGAATTAGCCAGAAGACCCTGAAAGAGATTCTTTCCCCAAGGGAGGGAAAGGTGATCAGTGCTAAGCACACAAGCCATAAATCCAGCATATTCCTTCCCCCCCCCTCATTTTTCTGAGCCAATTGCTATCTTTACACACTGAAATGCACCTCCAGCTCTAAAAGAACTAAGTTACACTATGATAGAGACACAGAGATGTGGATGTTGACCAAAGATGGTCACAGTCTTTGCATAAGATGTGCCAGAGAACAGAGAAGTCACTCAGTCAAGCCTAATGGTTATTTTGCTCATTGCACAGGTTCAGAAGGATTATCTTCATGCATAGAACAGTGATGCAATCATTCCCTGTGCTGGGTTCAGGTTGCTCATGAGCTATAGAAAAGTGCCTTGGTGTGATTGCAGGATAAAGTTCTCTTCCCACAAAAAAGAAAATGGAGCACCTACCTTACAAATTGCATTTATAAAATGAGACAAAGCTGTTGAAACAAAAGAGGACTTGGAGTATGCAAAAAAGAAAAAGCTACACCCAGACACATGGCATGGATAATCAAAGCATAAGTTCTTCCTAAGACTAAAATATAATAACTAATCATCATCGCTAACATGAACTGAAGCACATCTATGCCTATTGCCACAGGTGCAGAAACATGGGATATGTTGACATCCTGAAATCAGAGCACTCAGTGAAGGAAACACATCATTGCCCCCTCTATCTTGCTTCCAAGCACAACCCCTCAGTTGTGTAGCCAGCTGTTTTCCTCATTATGGCAAACTGGTTTAACTGGACGTTCAGTCCTGAACTGCAACTTTGGACTGCACAACCTTCAACTGCTTGGTCACCTCTAAGATTCTGCCAAGCTGGAGAGGCATGAAAGGAAGGAAGGAAGGAAGGAAGGAAGGAAGGAAGGAAGGAAGGAAGGAAGGAAGGAAGGAAGAGACAAGAAGGGAAGAAGGAAGGAAGGAAGGAAGGAAGAAGGAAGGAGGGAGAGTGGAAGGAAGGGAAGGGAAGAAGGAAGGAGAGGGAAGGAAGGAAGGAAGGAAGGAAGGGAAGAAGGAGGGAGGGAGAGCGGAAGGAAGGGAAGAAGGAGGGAGGGAGAGCGGAAGGAAGGGAGGGAAGAAGGAAGGAAGGAAGGAAAGAAGGAAAGAAGGGAGGGAGGGAGAGCGGAAGGAAGGGAAGAAGGAGGGAGGGAGAGCGGAAGGAAGGGAGGGAAGAAGGAAGGAAGGAAGGAAGGAAGGAAGGAAGGAAGGAAGGAGAGTGGAAGGAAGGAAGGAGGGAGAGTGGAAGGAATGGAAGAAGGAGGGAGGAAGAGCAGAAGGACGGAAAGGAAGAAGGAAGGAAAGAAAGAAGGAAAGAAGGGAGGGAGGGAGAGTGGAAGGAAGGGAGGGAAGAAGGAAGGAAAGAAAGAAAGAAAGAAAGAAAGAAAGAAAGAAAGAAAGAAAGAAAGAAAGAAAGAAAGAAAGAAAGAAAGAAGGGAGGAAGGACGGTGAGAGGGAGGGAGACCAATTCCCGCTTCTCAGAGCAAGCGCCGCCGTCTCCCAGCACGCGCACCAACGCTGCCTCAGAAGGCACCGACTCCCTCCCGCGCCGCCTCCTCCCTCAGCGCTCGGCATGCAAAGCGCTGGAAGCGCTCGCTGCCCAGCTCGTGTGGCGCGGGGGTGGGGGGGGGTGGCGAGGGGGCGTCGTCCTCTCGTTCTCCAGTCAGCCTCAGGGGAATTCGGGGGGGGGAGAAGGGGGGAGAAAAGTGTAGCTCTGCTACGGCAAGGCTGTCCCCGTCGGTGGATGGATATCGGCGGCGGCGGAGGGGTACCTCTCTGCGGCGAAGTTGGCAAGCTTCCTCCTTCCCGTGTAGGCTCTCCCCTGAGTGCCGTGAAGGAGCACAGCCACCCAAGCAGCCTGGAAGAGCAGCCCGGCCAGCATGACAGCGTCTCCCAGTCCGCAGAGATGCTTTGCTCCCTCCGAAGCCTCTTTCCCTGCCCTGCCCGCCCTCACCCTCCCCACAGGCCCCCTGCTACAGCATGGCTTGCACTGTCTGGACTCTTCCCACCAAAGAGGCGGCCGGGGGCGCTTTCAGGGCAGAGGAGGGGAGCGAGGATCAGCGCTCTCGAGCTGGGGGCGGCGGCGGCGGCGTGGGGAGAAAGCTCCTCCTCACGAGGCAAGGTTCAGATTGTGGCGGGGCTCCCCAGCCCGGGTGTTCCGAGTGGAAAAAGCATTGCCTGTGTGCGAGGGCGTGCGTGCGTGTGTACAAAAGGGTACTCGCTTCGCCCCACCCTCCGCGGGGTGGAGGGGGGGGCGCAGAGTAAAGGAACCAGGAGAGGCGATGTGGGGGAGGCTCCCGGGCTTCAAAACACAGCAGCTTTGTTGTTGCACTAAGAAGAGCCCCCCACCCCGCCCCCTTTTCTAGGAGTCTCCTTTCCCCACATCTGGCATGTGGAATGTCCCCTCCTCCCCTTTCTCCTCCTTGGACTGCTTTCCCGTCTGGACCGAAGAGGAGCCGCGGCAGATTAAAGGCTTCCAAAGCAGCTCCGAGGGGGATGAGGACCCGAGGCGCATCCGATGTGAATAGCAGACTAGGCTGCTGCCCCCTTGCAATACATTGGGGGCCTTGTTCCAGAGAGGAGCCGCAAAGCTGGGGCCGGAAGGGGGGAAGGGGAAAAGCGGGGAGAGAAGAAGAAGAAGAAGAAGAAGGAGAAGGAGAAGGAGAAGAAGAAGAAGAAGAAGAACTCAACCAAAATCGCTTCAGTTGCCCAGCTGTCGTTTCGGATTTTCCACTTGTGAAAAAACAGGTGTTGTTTCAGGAGGTGAACAAAACCACGCTCTGAGACACCAGCAATCCATGTTAAGCAGGGCTTGCATAAGCTTGGTTTATTGAACAACCCTTGCTTGCCTTATCCTGATAAACTAAGCTATTAAACCTGGTTTAGTAATAACAATGATTCACACAAACTATACCAAAACCAAGCAACCAACATTAAGGTTTTGGTGTAATGACTGCTCCGTAACTGGAGATTACCAAGCTGTGCACATTAATGCATTCATACAAGTACATATCGAAAGAGCTTAGCCCACACATATTCTTCAATAGAATCATTAATAGCTATCATTAAGAAAAAAAGAACACTTATCCCAGAGCAGAAATAGACGCAGCTATTAATATGATTCACTCTAATCCAGTTCAGGAGTTCAAGAGGGAAATTCATCAGAGAGAAAAGCATGAAAATTAAGATAGATTCTCTCGAGGGATAGGCAAAAAGGAAAGATTAAACACAGGGGAATTGGATCTCCTTAATGAAAAATACCAAGTCTTGCTCAGTAGACATAAGGAATCTATTGTGCTGTCTCAATAATTACAACAGCAGCCCAGCCTCCTCCAGAGATTGCATTTTCCCCACCACTCTAATAACAAAGATTCCCTTCCTCTACTAATGTATCATTTGGAATTGCCCAAACAGCCATTCTTGGCTCAACTAGTGTTACCGCCACAGGCAACTCTTATAGGTAATAAGCAATCCAGTACCAACCTTCGTCAGGGTTATGCAACTTGGGGAATGTAAACAAGTTTTATGTTTAGCAGATGCAGAGCACTTCCCTGTAACTCTTAAACTTGGAAATGTTCAAAGAATCACTCAAAGCACTAACAATCCTATTGAAAAAGCAATTAAGCAATCTTTTAGCATTTTAGAGGCTAAAAATATTATTCTCTTTTGCAGATTGTGGTCCAATTCATGAATCCATATTTTACCAAAGACCCCCCCCTCTTGGCCACCTATTCTATTTTACAATCTGAAAGATTAATCCATCAAACTTATTTTCTGTTGATTTTTCTCAAATATAAAACTGCACTTATCAAATATACTCTGGATTATTATCAGGAGGGGCTCTCTTCCAATTGGGATGTGTCACGTTTGCCTGCATAGCGCAGTACTTGCCTCCTGGTTCCACTAGTGAGATTAAGAAAGCAGGAGGGGGAATTTATTGTTCTCTCCTTCAAAAACTTGATCTGCGGATGAAATTATTGGGAGGTGGGGAGAAACTACACACGGAACATAATTAGAAATTGAGAATTCGCCTTTCCCCCAAATCTCTGAGAAACCTTTAATATCTTGTACAAAAAGTGAGTAGGAGGAAACCAGAAGAGAAAGCATAAAGGAAACAGTACTATGGCTTTCATTCTCATCCAAAGTATTTGGCACCATCTTTCTGCCTCCACCCCACCCTTTCCAGAGAGTGCTGTAAAGCAGTGGAGTGATATATATGTCTAAGTGCTATTGCTGTCACTATTGCTATATTTGCACCACAATGACTCTAACAAGTCACACTGTTTTTTGGAGTAGGAGGAAAACAAACAACATTATGTTTGCTGGCTTCATGGATAAACTTACTCCTTACTTACTTGCTTACTCTGCTGCTACCTGGGCTACAAAGCCTATAGCTCTATCAAGTTGTATATGTTCATGTTGGAAAAAGATACCAAGATTCCTTCAAGAAAACCTCTTTTTGCTGTTTATTTGTAATGCTCTACAATTTTAGGTATCATTTTTTTTTATGGTCAGCTGAGCTACAGGTTCAGGGGAAAAGTGGTCCTGGGAGTACCAATTAAAAATTGGGTGATGAAATAACCTTTAAGGTTCACGCTTCTAAGACTTCTGTCAGTATTAAGTAAACAATTTTGTATAGGAAACAGGAATCTTCTACATAACATGCTGGCTTTCTAAAACACGAAGATTTCTAACAGTTATGCATAGGCACATTTTGAAATAAACCCTAAAAACGACTAACCTTATTTTTATTTATATTTTATATATTTTTTCTTAATAAGCATTCAGCAATGCAAATGTCCTGATTTTGTGGTTTTTACAGGTGAACTGTAATCTCTCAATTGACTCCCTTTGAATCAAAAAGTCCTGGACATCAGTATGAGATCCACTGCATCTAGGTATTATGAATTATTTGTATTAACTCAAAAAGTGCTTTTTTCTTCAAAAGGCAACTGGAATGTTTTTTTTTTTTCTTTGAGGAAGAAAACATTTTGCTTCTCATCCAAGAAGCATCAGTTCTGATGGGGGGGGGGTGGAGGGTGGAAGGATAGATATTGACAGTTGAGACTGGATAGTGGGGAGATGGAAGGATCGGTTCTGATAAGATGGTAGGGGGGGGTGGAAGGATTGTATTTCTTTACAGCACAGGTGTCAAACTCGCCACGTCACGACATGTCGCGACATATCGTGACACTTGTTTTGCATTGCCGACAATGGGGCGGGCACGCCTTCAGTATGATGAAACTGGTCCATGGGCTGGCAATTTGACACCCCTGCTTTACAGTTGTCTGGTCATTAATACTCTTTGAGAGTGTTGAGGCCACTTGGGGGTTTATCTGTGCCCTCAAGGTCACTTGAATCTTTTCATTAACTATTTGTATTAATTATCTGAACCTTTGTTAATTGTACAGCATGTGAATACATGCCTTTTTTTAAAGCTGTGTTCCCAAGATGCTTTTGCTGAAGTATTATAAGTATTATACAGAATATATAACTTACATAATGTAGGGATGTGGTTGATGGAAATACTAATATGCAGAACAGATAAAAGGCAAGAAGATCAAAGGGGTAATGTGTAAATGACATGGCAAAGCAGTGTGAGATGGTCAGAAGCTCCCACCTTTTCTTAGCAGAAAGTGTTGATAAAGGGTATTTGTGAAAAATGGACTCAGAAGCTAAAAATAAGAGTATCTGTGTTGTAAATAGATTGTCTTTAAAAGTCAGTATTGAAAATGAAAAGTTTTAAGGTACAAGACAGACTGATGTGAAAGTGGATTTTAAAATGACAGGCTGTAAGAATGATATGGGAAAAATGCTACACAGAAAGTATAAATCAGTGGTTATCAATCTTTCTAATGCCGCGACCCCATAATACAGTTCCCCATGTTGTGGTGACCCCAAACAACTTATACATCACCGGGTGCCAGGGGCGTGGTCAAAGAAAAGGGGAAAAAAATGACAGACAGCCTTGTTTGGCGACCCCCGTGAAATGGTCATTCGACCCCAAATGGGGTCCCGACCCATAGGTTGAGAACCACTGGTATAAATGAAACCAGGTTATGTCTTAATCATTGAAAGGGATACACAAATATCAAATCAAAATTGATATGACCTGGACAACTTTTCTATATTGGATTTACAAAAGAGACTTATTAACATTTTGAAGAATGTCATAAGGGACAATGAAAAAAAGGAAATTAAAATCTAGGATATTATTTGAAGGGATTAGAGATCAAAATTGTTAAAAATAAACAGGAATATAAACTTGGTTTATTTGATCAAGGTTAAAGTTGTTATCTCTGCTAACCCTTGATTTTTGCTAACCACGACTAATCCAGGAGGCATTAAGTATCATTTGTAGATAAGAGAGGGAATATGGAAAGAAAAAATCATTTATTGTAGTTTAAGAGGAGGTGATAAGTTACTAAAATATTTATATGTTGTGATGAAGGGTGAAGTCATTTATATATACATATATATTACTATTTTTTTCTTTTATACTTTTTCATTTTTCATTTGTATTAGTTTTTATCTTTTTAATCGTAATAGTTAATAAAATTACTATTAAAAAGAAACAATGGCACACTGCAGTGCTTTCTTGAAATGATTCTTTGTAACATTATAGAAATATATTCCCTTTCTAAGCACTGCACAGCTATGCAAATACTGGAAATTCTCTTCTTTTCTCCCATTTTGTGTACTGGTATCCTATAAAAAAGACTATTTTGTATCAATTGTAATCTGAAGCTCAGTGTGCTAAAACAGGAATCTATTTCAATACATTGTACAATATTTACTACATATTACTGCATTGCCTCTTGTATTCATTTGGAAATATAAGGCAAGCATAATGTAGATTGACGGGGGGGGGGTTCCTTCAAAAAATATGTACAGACCCCTTCCTTTAATAGCAGTTTTGACCTGTATGGTTTCCCCATCTGGGATACTTCCCAACTGTGATTTTACAATAAAATAAAGAATTAGAGGCATCCACAAGGGGGACAAATAATGAAAGTAGCATTCTGCCATTGTGAGACAAGTATCACACGCTTTGTTTGTGTATGTAACGGAACAGAGCTTTCAAAATTTTAACAAAATCCTTCAATATCGGAAATGCATATGCTCAGACATCTGAATATTCATGCACACCAGGTTCCCTACAGCAGGGACAACTCTTAATGAAAAAAATTAAAAGCTTGTAGTTTATTTAAGGCCATGCTAAACTAACTGCTAAATGCAGTTAGTCTTAATATCTCTGAAACTTCCGATTTCTTTCATTATTCCTTCTAAGAATAGAACCAGGCTTTTGGATAGCCTTCCATTCTACCAAGCAACTTAGCTATTAGTATCAC